TATGACAGATTTCCGTGAGAAGTGCAGGAACATTCCCTTATGTTGAATCTGCTGTAGAAATCTAATACAACAGATTCCTGTGAGAAGTGCAGGAATTGTTTCCTTATGTTGTATCTCCACAGGATGTAACTGTAAAGATGAGTAAGAGTAGGTCTTGACTAACCACCTTGAACACTCCATTCAGAGGCTATGCAGCATGTCAATGGTTAAGGTGATCTTGCTATGCTATGTCAAGTGTGGGGTGTCAACTTCAGTAATAGCACAAGCATTTGTAGTGCTTGACAGTTGAACAACAATGTGGCAATGTCTGGGCTGCAATAAGGTATTGCCTACAGATAGGGTTCAAGCCAGACCTCAGTGGAGAACACTGCCTTCAGAGGATGACTGGACTGCAGTGGATACACTGCCTTCAGTTGATGTCCCAAGGGTGATACAACACACATGTTTGAGATATCTTGCAATGCTCTGCAATTGCAAGGGTATGGATACAAGTAAAGGGTGTGATAAGTAGTAAATAGAGTTTAGTGGATGGGGATTCACTTGTATGCTATGATAGAATGGAAGTATATATGTGTTTGTGCAGTGTTGCCCACAACACTGCTCCTGCTCCTCCTAGAAGTGTAAACACATCTTAAGTGATGATGCTCCCTCTTTTGAACAGTGTTGATCCCTTCTACACTGCTCCTTGTCAGAGGTCTCGTGCCTAAAACCTGATATCTGTAATAGAAACACATCTATTACGAATCCTGTCAAGATATGTGACAACATGTTATGTATTACTGTTCTTGTTGAGATATGTAGTAGAGAAGCCTCTATGACTTTTCTCATCCAAAGATGTAGTAGTGTGTTTGCTATTGCAGGTTTTGACTGACCACTGTGGACACCCCATCCAGAGGTAGCTCAGCATGATCAATGGTTATATGAACTTGTACTGACACCAAGGTCTGGTGTGAATGTGATTGCCAATGGCACTGACACAAGTGTCCAGTGTGTTGACTAAGTGCTTGAGGTGATCCCCAGACCACAGTGGACAACTGCCTTTGGTTCTAATTGTTATCAGGACTGCTGGTTACTATGAACTGCCTTCAGATGTCAGTGAGCAGTGATACAACACACATGCTACCATGGAAGCAACCTACTTGTGATTGCAACTGTGCTGACTGAAAACTAATGTATACTTGTGTTGAAGTGATAACTAGTTTGTATGGTGTAGAGTGGATGGGGATCCACTCAACTGCTTATGATGAGAAGGCATGGTTTATATTTATTTTTGCAGTGTCGCCTGCAACTCTGCTCTGGCTCTCTCTCTCCAGAGGGTACCATCTTTGTTGAGTACTGTGGTAGAGGTCTTTACCAATGTGTCATCACCTTGCTGAGCCCTGCTTCTCCTGCTCCTGAGTCGAGGAGAGCCAGCATCATCTCATTGCTGATAGGGGTCACCCCACTTCATCCTAATGACAGTGCATGCCCCCTCTTCCATCTACCTCCTGACTTTGGCACCCATCTCCTTACACTGATTTCATCATCATGTAGGGTCCCTACCTCATCTGGTGGCAACCTCAAATGTCCTTGTCACTAATCCTGACTGGATCTGTTGTATGATCATCCTTGCCACTAATCTCTGCAGGATATGTCATACAATCTTGTTTACTACAGATCCTGGCAGGATTTGTGATTGCATCTTTGCTTGTGCTGATCTAGGTGAGATCTGCCATAGAGCTGTTTCTTCTACAGATCTTGGTGAACTCTTCTGCAAGTCCCACAATCTGCCCAATTCCTCAATTCCCAAGCTCCCTTCATATGAATTGATGGATCTTCCTGCTTCCTGCACATCCAGGCCCATGACACTCCTCTTATTCCTAAACAATGTGTCGGTCCCCTTGACACAGTTTCCTTGTCTTGTGAATGCCACTGTCCACATGGACACTTCTATTGTTCATTTCCTGTCCTTGTGGACACTTCTGTTGTCTGCCTCCTGTCCTTGTGAGCTCATCCATTGTCCTCCTCCCCATCCTGTGTGCTACCATTTCCCTGTGTGGTAACCTCACCAAATGCTCCTATGCTTGGACCTCCTATGTGCTTCCAAGTCCCTTATTGCAGTTTGCATGGCTAAACCAGTTGAACTAACTCATTATGACTGTTTTTACTGAAAATGATTGTAACTAAGCAGTCCAACTGTTTTTGCATTTCTGTGTGCACACTGCACATCCATGCATGTACAGGATTTTCTGCGCAGACCCTGTGACATGGTACTCATATACCACTTGCATGGAAGCCAGGGATGATGAGTCAGGAGCACTTTAACTACAAGGGTTTTTACAGCATGAACATCACCCTGGTCATTCTACCTCATTCTCTTTGCATTGTGGAGTCAGTTGTTGGACAGCCTGGTAGTGTCCAAGACTCAAAAGTTTGGACTTCAGGCAGCAACATCCTCAAGAAACCTCAATTGTACTTGGACAAGGGTGAGTTTATCTGGGTTGATGGTGGGTATGGTCACTTTGCCTTCATGGTTGGACCCTTCTCACACATAGCTGCTGAGAAAAGCTGCAAGCTGCATTTCTTCAACTACTCTCTCTCTTGAGTCCAGGTTCAGGTTGAACATGCCATTGCCTACCTCAAGAATTGATTTCAAAGCCTGAATGGGTACAGAGGGAACATTTATTGCATCAAGGATCATATGATGGCAGCAAGGACTATCCCAGCATGCATTGTCATCCATACATTTGCAAGCCAATATGATTGTCCAGACATTGTTGCTGAACTCCTTTGCCCATCCTTCCCAGAGGAAGAAGTTGATGAAGTTGTTCAGACTCCCAGTACAAACTCAACCCAGAGTGAGGACATGCAGAGTTAATGGCAGGAAAATCAAGTACAGTATGAGGAGGAGAACATGGTGTAAGCGGTCGCATGCCTGAAACCTGAATTTGACGATCCTGGTTGATCTCGGTGAGATCAATTGAGTAAGATCTTTCTGAACTGTTTTGGTGAGAAGAACCAGAAGGCTTAACCCTGGTGTCAGAGGTCGTGCACCTGAAACCTGAGATCTGTAGTAGAACCGCTTCTATTACAGATCCTGTCCAGATATGTAGTATCATGTTTGGTATTACAATTCTTGTTGAGTTATGCCGTAATGTTGTTGCTCTGACTTTACCCACTTGAAAGTGTAATAGAGTAAAAGCTATTGCAGATTTGAACTGACCCCTGTGGACACTCTGTTCAGAGGTAGCTCTGCACAATCACTATTAATGAATGAATTGTGATGACACCAAGGTCTGGTGTGAGTATGTTGTTGATAGTGCTGACATGAGTGTCCAGTGTGTCGACTAGTGCTTGAGGTGATCCCCAGACCACAGTGGATGACTGCCTTTGGTTCTATCATTATCCAGACCACTGGCTTGTTAGAACCACCTTTGGATGTCAGTGAGCAGTGATATGACACATGCACTACAATGGAAGCAATCTATTTGATTGCGACTATGCTGACTGAAACTAATGTATACTTAGACTGAAGTGATAACTAGTTAATATGGTGTAGAGTGGATGGAGATCCACTCATCCACCTATGACGAGAAGGTATGATTATATACATCTTTGCAGTGTCACCTGCGACACTGCTCCAGCTCTCTCTCCAGAGAGTACCCTCTTCATCGAGCACTGTATAGTAGTCCCTATCGAGGCGCCTCCTTCTCGTTGGGCCCTGTTTGTCTTGTGACAGCGCTTCTGCCCTACTTGAGCTGTGTGTCGACTTCTTCGACACTGCTCCTCCTCCTCCTGACCTGTATGCCAGTTGTCATGGGCCTGGATGCTCAAGAAGCAGGAGGGTCATGGGTTCATATGGAAGGAGCACAGGTATCGAAGATCTAGTCGAGATCAGTAGAGAGCATAGTGCAGTCTCCATGGAGACCATGGACTCCTATGGACTCACATGCAAAGGAGGGCCAAGCACAGCCACGAGGAGGACCAAGCTCAAGGAGCAGGCAGATGGTTACCACTCAGGGGCTCGAGAGACAAGAGCCAAAGGAACTGTCACTGGTCAAAGGAGGAGGAGCAGTGTCGAAGGAGTCGACACAGCTCAAGAGGCACAGGGGTGCCAAGCAGGAGAGGCCCCTGAGCAGTACTCGATGAAGAAGGTACTCTCTGGAGAGAGAGCAGGAGCAGCATCGCTGGCAATGCTGAGAAGAGGTATATAACCATGCTTTCTCATCATCAATAGGTTGAGTGGATCCTCATCCACTCTACTCACCATAACTAGTTATCACTTCAGCATAAGTATATATTAGTTTCAGTCAGCATAGCAGCAATCCATCAAAGGTTGCTCCTCATCGTAGTGTATGTGTTGTATCACCACTACCTGACGTCCGAAGGCGCCCATAGCAGGTTAGCGGTCCGGATCAAGATAGAACCGAAGGCAGTAGTCCACTGCAGTCCGGGGATCACTTCAAGCATCAAGTCAACACACTGGACACTTGTGTTGATGCCACCAACCTTATCACCAACACCATCAACCTCATTATCATTGACATCACCAATCTCATCACCAACACCATCAACCTCATCATCATCAACACTCACACCAGACCTTGGTGTCATCATAACATTGATATTGATCGTGCCGAGCTACCCCTGAACGGAGTGTCCATAGAGGTCAGCCGAAACCTACGATAGTATATACAACAAACGCCACCTGCTGTCACTGCACAACTTGATAGTCACCGATACCGAGACAATAGCTGTCGCACAGTTTGATAGTCACCGAGTATCTCGACAGACCGACCTGGGTTTCAGGCGCGAGACCCCTGACACCAGTCTCCTTGACACAGCTCTTCCTTCTAACCGGCAACAGTTCTCCTGATCCCTGTCTTGTGAGCCCCTGAGTGGTAACGAGCTGCATGCTTCTGAGCTTGGTCCCCTTCTTGGCAGAGCTCAGTTCTCCTTGCATGTGAATTCATCATATGATCATCCTTGCCACTGATCTCCATGGGATCCACCATATGATCATGCTTACTGCAGATCCTGGCAGGATTCATGATATCACCTTCACTCATGCTGATGTAGATGAGATCTGTCATAGAGCTGTCTCTACTACAGATCTCAGTGAACTCTACTGCAAGCCCTACAATCTGCCTGATTCCCTGATTCCTGCGCTGCCTTCATATGAATCGATGGGTCTTCCTGCTTCCTGCACATTCAGACCCATGACACCTGGCAGATTTCGACTGACCGCCTTGAACACTCTGTTCAGAGGCTATGTGGCACATCCAAAGAACTTGCTAGGAGTACTATATGATGCAGTCTCCCATATCAGCACAAGTGTTTGTAGTGCTGCTTGTTGCTTGATGGTATCTGATGGTATCTGGACCACAATAAGGTTATCGCCTGCAGATGAGAGAGGTACTGGACTGCAGGTGTTGAAGAACACTGCCTACAGTGAGAGGCAGGACCACAAGTGTTGAAGAACACTGCCTACAGTGAGAGGCAGGACCACAAGTGTTGAAGAACACTGCCAACAGCTGATGTCTGATGGACACACACATTTGAGATGTTGTTGCAAAGCCCTGCTATTGCATTGATACATAACTGAGAGTTAAGTCAAGAGTAAACAAAGTATAGAGTAGAGTGAATGAGGATCCACTCATATACTATGGTGAGATGAGAGTATTTATGTGTTTGTTTGGTGTTGCCTGCAACACCGCTCCTGCTCCTCCTGAGGAGTGTTATCGACCTCTTTGTCACTGCTTCTCTTCTCACTGGACAGTGTGTCAGTTCGTTTGACACTGCTCCCCATCTCCTTGCTCCCCTTCACTTGGAGATGTGTTTCGACCTCTTCAACACTGCTCTTCCTCCTCATGGACTATATGCCAGTCTCCTTGACACAGCTCTCTCTCCTCCTAACCAGTGACCATCCTCCAGCCTCCTATCTTGTGACTCCTCTGACTGCATAATCAACCTTATTGTCCTGCTCCCTGACCATGCAGTCACCCCTGTGGCTGGCTTCATGTGGTTGTGAGCACATCCCTCTGTGTGGTAACCAACCACATGCTGCTGAGCTTGGCCCCCTTCCTCACATGTGATCTTCTCCTGTATGACTCCCTTGCCTTCCAGTGCTGAAAACCTCCTCTTCTGAACCTCCCATTGTTTCCTTGTGAACAATCAACCTATTCTGTACCAATGGGAGCCTCTTGCAGCATGTTTGGTGAAACCTACTGAATGGGCTTGTTCTGATCCATTTCAGTGAGATCAATCAGAAACCCATGCTGTGTTTGATTTTGCAATTTGTGTGCACAACATGCCTGATCAGTTCTTTGACACCTGATGTCCGCTTCAGATCTTCTGCGCAGGACCTTGTGACACATGGCAAGTATGCAAAGCATGATGCAGCCTGCCTTGACATGGCATCACAGTTAATTGGTGCATGATCTTTGAGAGCAAATGTTTCAGGCACTGTTCACTTCCACTGGCCAACAGCAGGAGGACACAACTGCATCCTCCAGGTGCCACAAGAGGACAGCCAAGGACTATGATGCAATGTTGGCACAGAGCCAGTTGTCCAGGCAATGTGGCCCAATTGACAACACCTTTGCAACCCTAGTGTCTTAGTTCATTGTCATACTTAGTGAGATCCTTCTGCAAAAGACTTGATTGACCATGAATGTCTGTAACAGTGTGAAACATGTGCTAACATGATACTGACAGTAGCTTCAGTATCAATAACATACATGTTATATTGAATTATTTGCTGCCTTTGCTGCAAATGTGTTTTGGAAACACATGTTTTTATGGGTGCTCAAAAATGGGGTGCTCAAAAACGGGAAAAATTCATGATAATCGAGAAACACATGTTTCTAAAAACACTCAAAGTTTGACACCCCCTCATGTTCAAATTGGGCAGCGAGACGCAGTCGCGTTTCGCCAGGCACACCCGCGTTTCGCCAGGCACACTCAGCGACTTGGTAATCATCTGGGCCAACCTCGGTCACAACCTTCTAGCTCAACTTCTTTGTATTGCGGTAATCAAGAGGGAAAGACCCGGGTAGCATTGAGTGGTGGCCTCTATTTCTTTCTCACCGATACCAGAAGTTGAGGCTTGCACTTGTACTCAGGCTCTGAACACAATGGTACCAGCCCTGGGGGATGTAAAGGACGTCGCCTGGGCCGAGCTCAGTGAGGAAAGCATCTTCTGATGCGAGAGCAGTAGCAAGCAGCGGTCGATCCTCTGCCGGATGAAGAAGCTCTTGCTCTGATGCGATGGTCGAAGTGTTCTGCTGCGGACCGCTCTTGTTGATATAAAGATAGGAAGCGAGCTGTGGGCCGAAGAGATGGATACGCTTGCGGCCGACGACCTGTGCAAACAGGTTCTCGTAAGGGTCTCGATGAAGAGGAGTATAGGTGCCTGCTGGACCGATCCAGACATTGCTACGCCATTGTTCCTGTGCACCTTTAGGACCTGCACTGGTGTGCGGCAGACCTGGAACTTCTGAGGCCAAGGCTGGGGATTTGGAGAGAAGATCGAATTGGGCCAAATATCCTACGGGCGGTTGCTTCTGTGCATCTGGACTTGTCTGCCATGGGATCTTGCGCTGGATGAAGGCGTCGATGAATAATGCTACGACGAGGAGGAATTCAATGCAGACACGCAACACGTTTGTCAGGATATGTTAGCCTTGCGCAACAATGGTTGGGAAGAGAGCTAACTCACAGAATGGCAGCTCGATACGGTCCCACCTGCTTACACCAGCATTGTAGCCAACGCCCTGCTGCGAGATCTCTACTGGTACAATGAGGTCGTTCAACTCAGGCCTCTTGAGACCTTCAAGTGTTTCGTTCCCATCAGAATCGATACTAGACCAGGTGGATAAAGCTGGCCAGACAACTTTGTCTTGCGAAGGTCGAGTGGTCAGAAGACCTTGGAAGTGACCCGGACGTCTCAGCAGCTGAAACTCCTCGACGAAGCGAGAGGTCGGCAGCCCGTTGCGCAGCGATGCCAACGACCTGATTGACATCGCTGGGCTGCCTGTAACCCACCGTGATGACGATTTGAACGATAGTAGGATGGATGGAAGATCCAGGTTGAGAAGGTGTCAACAAGTAAGTTGAACTTCCGGTCCGAGGTGCAAGACACTTAGCCGGCAAGTGGAGATGGTTGTCGGTAAAGCAATGTCTTATTATAATGCCAATTTGCCATTCAGCTCGGATGGAAGGGTCTTTAGCTCAGCAGTAGAGCGGCAGACTTCGGTTCTCATTCGAAGATTCTTCATAGGTATTCTGCAGGTCGCGGGTTCAATCCCCGTAGGACTCTCTTTTTTTTTTCTTTTTTTTTTTTTCCTTTCTTTTTTGCAATGTCGCTCAACGTTTTCCGACAGACATCGAGAGGAACCTGAACATCCAGCATCACATCCGACCGACCTGCGGCGACCAAGAGTCAGACAGAGGTCTAAGTGCTCGTGCACTAGCTTGATGAAAATGAATGAAAGGCCGCAGGGGGGCCTCTCACGTCAAGCGAAAATCTGCATAGCCGAAAATTCACGTTCACAAATAGCAAGACCGAGAAGAAGAAGTGACGGAGGTAGGCATGTATTCCTCAATGAGACAAAGTCCCTAATAATACAATGAAATGAAGCTGAAGAAAGGTGATGACGGTATAGAGCAGTGCTCAGGTATGATGTATGCAAGCAGAGAGGCAAGAGGACGAGACAAGAGGACGAGGCAGGTTTTCACATCAACCAGTCCCAAAAGCGCTGGAGAGTGGAACGAGTGCGCTGGGCCTCCTTTGCCTTCTCGGCCCGCTCGTTCTCGTCAATCTCCCTACGACCTGTGTCGAAGTCCATCTGAGAGAGGCTGACAAACTGAGTCTTGTGGTAGAGCTTCCAGCCGAGCCAGAGAGCCAAGAACATAGGGATGCAAATGTAGGTGGTGACGAAGCTGCTGGTGGACCACTGCCCCTTGAGGAAGACGGTGAAACCGGCGAACAAGAGGACGAGGTTAAGGAAGGCGATACCAAAGTAGGTGAGGTAGGGCTGGAATGGGGCTGTGTAAGGGAGAGTGCTTCGTGGGATGGCGTGAAACTTGAGACCGTGGTAGAAGCGGGCGTAGGTGCAAAGGATGACAATCCAAGCAATGATGATCGAGATTGCCGAGACATCGTACAAGTACTCGAAGGCCTGCTCAGCGCCGCCAGTGCCGCAGGAGAGGTAAGCTAGGGGACCAAAGAGGGAAGTCAGAGCGAGAGCCCAGAGGGGAAGACCGCTTTTGGTGCACTTTCGGAGGAAAGCGGGAGCCTTGTTCTCGAGAGCCAGCGCGTACAGAGTCCTCGAGGAAGCGTAAAGGTCACTGTTAGCTGCTGACCACGTAACAATCAAAAGCACAGAGTTGACTATGTGGGGTAACACCTTGATGCCTGCGTTGGAGATAGCCAAGACGAAGGGAGAGGCGCTGGCATCGTCGCCGCCATTCAGAAGACGAGGGTCGTTGTAAGGGACAACAAGTCCGACCATGAAAATGGCGAGAACGTAGAAGAGGAGGATGCGCCAAAAGACACGCTTAATTGCCTTGGGCACGTTCTTGCGAGGGTTCTCGGCCTCTCCAACGGCGACACCGATGATTTCAGTACCAGCAAAGGAGAAAGCGGACTGAACAAAGACGTTCCAGAAGGCGAGGAAGCGACCAAAAGCACCGCTGATACCGCCGGTGGGCTTGCCAGTGAGGGGGTCGGGTGACCAGAACATCTGAGCCATCGGTCCAGGGTGTTTCCAGTAGCCAAAGCCGATGCGATCACCCTTGGGACCTCCACCAAGGTCGATGACGAGCGAGGTGATGATGAGGACGATGATGGCGATGACCTTGATGAGACAGAACCAGAACTCGGTCTCACCGTAATACTTGACACCGAGAGCGTTGACACCGATGACAAGGACAAGAAGGATGGAGATCCATACAGCGGGGTTGATGGTTTGGTCGGTGTCCCAGTACTGAATGACGATGGCAGATGCAGAGATCTCAGTGGGGATGGTGATACCGTAGGAGTACCAGTAAGTCCAACCGAGGGCGAAACCGAGACTTGGGTCAAGGAAGCGAGTGGCGTGGTGAGTGAAACCACCGGGGACGGCGAGAAGAGTGCTGACTTCACCGAGGGCGACCATCATGGAGTAGACGACAACACCCATGATCATGTAGGCGATCAGTGTGCTGACAGGACCTGCGTTGGACAATGAGCCACCGAGACCGACGAAGAGACCGGTTCCGATGGTACCACCGAGGGCAATCATGGAAATGTGCCTCTGTTTGAGGTTTCGCTGAACAGTGCCATCAGGTGAGTGCTCATCCATACCAAGACGCTCGAGAGCGGAGTTGGGTGTGGCGGAGCCCTTTTCGATGGTGTCGGAGGGCGGGTAGGAGCTCTTTTCCATGTCTGGAGAGAGAGCCCCAAGGGTAGCGATATCGTTGGAAGCCATATCCTATCTGATCCTCTCAGCGGTCAGGCTTGGGGAGGGGTTCTATGGCAAGCGGAAGGGGAAGATGGGGTGAGGTAGGAAGGGGGGAGTGGAAGTGGAAGTGGAAGATAGGAATGGATATATGGGAATGGGCTGCAACGAGGAGGAGGATGGGTTGGAGAGAACCAATAATTCGCGAGGAAGAATTTTTTTGGCAGGTGTGGAGCGGAATAAAAAGGGCGTCGTTTACGGGTGTCAAAGATCGCCCGCCAGTTTTCAGGTAGCAGAACTTAGATTGCTTATCCAGTCACTTGATGGCCACTCTAGCAAGCATCCATTCAGGTCAGGCTTGCGGGCTAGAGAAGGATCGCGATTGACGATTGAAGAGGCACAAGCGACGAGGGACAAGCGACAAGCGACAAGCGACAAGCGGACGATCAGGGATAGAGGGCAAAGGTAAGGTTTGCAAAGTCGGGAAATGACTCGAGAAGATTGGTCGGACAAACATCATCTTGCATGTCTACAAAGCTTGTCCTCCCACCTTGCATGTCTACAAAGCTTGTCCTCCCACCTTGCATGTCCACAAAGCTTGTCCTCCCACTGATTAGCATCGCTGGTTGGACAATGATAAGACTTGAAGCCCACATGGATCGAGAGGCGCACATTTGATTCTGCCAAATCGGTGATCGGATCCGATCGGGGAGGAAAGCGGCTTCACCCAACCAGAGCCACTGTTAGCAAGCCCGATTTCAAACATTCGAAATTCTCCTTTCTTGAACCCTGAAGCCGCCGGGGCTGGGCCTTTTCTTTGTCAGCATTGGATAATTCAGATTTTTTGGGCTCAGCTCCACTTTTTGAAATCCTGCAGCTTCCTTGTCGACCCACTATGACTACCACCACAACCAGCCCGTCAAGCGCAGCGAATACCCTCACGCTAGCACTTGATCTGCCTCCGAAATATGGCAAGTCTCGCCAAGGTCAAGTCGTCCAAGCCGGCCACAAGGCCTTCTGCCTTCAACGACTCGGATGATGAAGATGGCAGCCCCCAGAATGGCTTGTCTAGCCAAAAGGAAGAGATCGTCTCTTTCAGTCGCGATGGAGCACAACCACCTCGAGCTTCGCCCAAGCCTGCTGCGACTCTCATTATTCCTGTCGCTTCCAATCTAGACTGGCGACAGGACCGCAAGCAGCGTCTAGGTATGCTTTCGAATCTCCAATCTCTCGGTCCTCTTGTGTCTATGCGCCGCGGTGACTCTTCCGCTGTACCAGGCGCAGGAACCTCCTCGAAATCTAAAGTGAATCTTGATGCAGATGCGATTAATACCGAAGAGCAGAAGAGAGGCCTTGAATTGCCAACCTCACGTCTCAGGCAAGACGAAGCAGCAGAACACAGCTCAGCCGATGCATCTACCTCAGATCCTTTGGCGAGCACAGAAGCACCGACTACCACCTCGCAAGAAGCAGGAACGCATCAAGAAGCACTCAAAGCTCTACTAGCAGGCCAAGGAGTAGGCACTAGCAATACAGGCGAGCCGCTGATCATTCCGCAGCAGTCCGACCCTGAGATGCTCCAACATGACATTCACTCACGACCCGAAGCGCCAACTCTGGACGACTATGCTGCCACGCCTATCGATCAGTTTGGTATGGCACTCCTACGCGGTATGGGCTGGAAGGAAGGCATGGGTGCTGGAAAGGGTGGCAAAGGTCCTCAGCAAGCTGTTGAACCAAAGAAGAGAGCAGCTCTGCTCGGTCTAGGTGCCAAAGAAAGACCCGCAGGCTCAACCAGCTTGTTATCCTCATCTTCATCTCGTAGTCACAAGCCAAAAGACAGGCGAGACTACAAGTACGTCCCAGTCACCAAAAGAGACAGTCAGCGCCGCTCAAACGGTCGATCGAGTACGCCTGAGTCTCGTCCGCCAGAAGACAGGCATGCGGATGTCCGGTCCAGAGATATACCTGCTCATCTCAATGATCGCAGGAGCGACAGGGATGGCCGTCATTCAAGCTCGCGCGATAGTCCGCGGCATGAATCTTCACGCTCCTCTTCTCATCGACATCGCTCGCGAAGCCCAATGACTAGCAAAAGCAAGGATCACGATAGACATTGCGAACGACGCAGAGATGATAGGGGCAGCGAAAGGCGATCCCACGCTTCATCCAGGTCAGATCGTGATCGCGACGATCGACGCAGGGATCATCGGCGTTGACAAGCTACCTCACACTCTCATCCCACCTCAATCGACACGCTTTATTATAGATCTCACTCGAACCTCACACAATATACCCGGGCTATAAGCAAGATGCCGATTACAATCCTCACGCTGATGGTCTGTGAATTCTGAGCTTCGCTAGAGGTTCCGCATGACATGAGCTTGATCAGGTGACTTACTGTGACTCTGCCTTGCTTGCTCCTCACGTGCCTCTCAATCTAACAAGATTTCCATCTCGTTTTCTGTATCGTCCGACTGATTCTCATCTGTACGGCCGAGTGAGTCAAGCTGGGATAGAAAAATACGCCGTTTCCGGTCCGTTCAATTCGCCGTGTTCTTCTTGATCGATGCGCTCCACGTTTGGTGCTGCATGTGTTACTTTGCTTTCAATGCTGTTCCGTCTTCTGGCTATGCTTCCTACATGGCACTCCACTTGCTCATCTTTCCGATAGACATACCTTTCCACAGAGGCACCATGCCTCAATCCACTCTCTCTTTCGCCCACCTCGGCGACAATCTCGATGCATGGTCACGCTCGCCCCTACACCCCACTCTGCTACCCATCGGATTCCTCGCCCTTGTCCATGCAATCAGAGTCAGTCATGCAACTCGACAAGTCGCCGGTAGCCACAGGAACAAATTAGGAACATGGCAGAGCTTCCTTTTGAATCAGATCCTCATGTTCGGAGGTGTCGTTGTGAGCGGGATGCTGTTAGGCATTCCTTCGCCTTTGTTTCGTGGATCGTCGGTGGTTGTGCTTTATGGAGGAGTGCATTTGGTATTGCATGTCGCCGGGCTGGGGAATTTGTTGCTAAAGGTGCAGGATCATGTGTTTCTTGGGACGCTGTAAGTCTCGCCGATGCGCTAATTGGGGATGTATGTAAAGCCAAGTTGCAGTCTGGCTGACAACCTTGCTTCTCATCTGTGTTACAGGATGGACCTCTCCTTCGCACTGTTAGACGGCATTCTTCGAGCAGAAGGGATCATCGATCTTGGTGTTGAGCCCGTACGTACCGCCAAAATGCCTCTCATATCCTCTGTCCGCCTACGCTAAGCCACTTCTTTGCCTCGTTTGTGTTGCGACAGGTCCGACAACACCCCTCACCAGCAATCTCGTCGTCACTGTTCGCCATTCTCCTCAATTCTGCCATTGTCGGTGGTGCAATGCCTCTTCTCATCGACCTCTTCCGTCTGGACTCACCGTCGGGAGAATGGAGCATCCGCAGTCCTACTTGGGCCAAGAACCCGTTCAACGGTACAAACGATCTCTTCAGCTCTGCTTTTCTTGCGCTTGTCTACACAGCGCTCAGCAGTCCAGCTCCAGCACAATTCCCCCTGATTGGTGGTGTGGTGAAGAGTTTCGGACTGGAGAAGTTGAGCGCAAGGGATATCAGAACGCTATGCTCGCTAGTGCTGGGAGCGATTCTTTTGCTTGAGAAGGCCACTGTGTTGGCTAGGAGCGGCGATCTGGTCTTGAAGCCAAACAGGCTCAACGGCGTGGTGAAAGCGAACAGTCACAACAATGGCACAGCGAATGGTGTCGTGAAGAAACATAAAACCAAGAAGCAGCAATGATTTCTTCTCCCACATGTTGCGCACCCACGCTCACTCGATAGAATCAAGCCTCAGACGGTCGCGCAATCAGAATGACGTTCGAAATGCAGAATCACGACTGCAATTGAATGCTTGCGGAGAGGAGAGTCTACCAAATGCGAGAGCGAACCATATTGTAACGACTGACCTCCATCAATGAGGTTTCTTTCTTCACCTTTGCCTCTCCTCCACCTGCCTTTGCCTTTTCTGCCTTGTCTTTTGCTGGAGGAAGGACGTGTGTTCCATCAAGTTTGATCTGAATCGCATCGTAGTCTGGCTTATCGATGAAGTGGCCGAGTGACTTATCATAACTTCTCTCATCTTTGTTCGTTCCGATGGGAGCGCGATCCTTGGAATTGAGATTCTCTTCATTCTCCCTCTCGCGCATTGTAGCATACCTATGCGAAGCAAAGCTAACCAAATTTGTCCCCAACAAGAGCTTGATAGCTACCAAGAAAGCCCAAGCAATGACAGCAGTCAATGCCCAAGCCGAACGTCTAAGGAAGAGGTCCATCGCCCGCATCCAGTCATTGTCAATATCTACAGCACCGAGCTTGCGTGCCACAACACCGATCCATCCCGTTTCGCGAGGATTAACAGGGGCGATGCACTCATCAATGTGACTCGTATCGCCGATCATGCCAATGATTTGCAAGATGAGTCGGACAAGAAGACAAGCCAGTGGAAGAGCAGCAAAACCAAGTCGACGGCTGATGATGGGGCTTTGGTCGACGAATGTGTGCTTGCGGCTGTTCTCCTTGGTTGATGGACCTCCAACAACGAGATCACGACAGAGGACGTCCATGAAGCGACCATAGACAGCTGGTCGAATGTGGTTGAATTTTGTGATGAAGGCGTGTTTGAGCCAGTCGACAATGCATTCGCTCACTAGAACGATGCAGACGGGCGTCAGAACCGTCTCCAGAAGACTGAGACTAGGGAAGACGGTGAAGCTGGTCGGAAGTGGGCTTGAGGAAGGTTCCAAAGATCCGCCTGATAGCTCGATAAGGTTACGCAAACCGATGGCGGAGAGCATCAGAGTCAGTTGGAAACGCTCGACAATGTCGGCACACGTCATTTGGAAGACGTTTTCCTTTTCGAACTTCTTGAACACGCTCGACTTGATCTCGACGAATTGGTTCGAGAGAAGAAGTGTGAGGAGAGCATTGTCGTAGCTGTTGATGGCGACGTTGAGCGTCACTAGCTGGTAGAACAGCACCAATGTGTGTGCGAGCACGTAGCAGAGGCTCAGCAGGAAGAATCCAATGGGTCGCAAGTAAGGTTGCTTTCCATTCTTGCGCCGCGCCAGCGTGCTGCGGGAGAAGAGCGAGTCTAGCAAATCTTGGCCAAAACTGCAGCATAGTCGATCTGCAATCTCAAGCACGTTGAAGATGACGGACAGCTTGACAACATCTTGGCCTCGGACTGAGTGATACATCTTACTGGCGTCAGTGATGCGCGAAAGGATGACACAGCTGAGCACTATGAGAAGCATCTTGAAGATATCGCACTTCTGTGATGATTGAAGGTATCGCTTCTGGCCGCCCAGGATCCACCTTGCGCTGTTGCCGATCCACGTCCACATCGCAACGCCGAAGCGCAGCGGCAAGATGGTGAATGTGTAGAGAAACGAGTCCAAGCAGACCACGAAACCAAACATGATGATCTTCTCCATCCAGAAGGGAATCGAGATGAAGTTGGTGACCCTTTCCCACTTCATCTCTTGGGTGGCGTCAAAGTCGGTAGCCAGCACTTCCTCCTTGAGGTAGTCCCACAAGCTAAACGGTCTTGTATCTAGACGGTTTGCTGTAGCAGCGACAGTTGACCTCGGCTGTGTAATCTTCTTTTCCTCATCCTCGCGCATCTGCTTTTCTTGTCCGTTCGAAGATATTGAATATTTAGGTTCCTCGTGAAGCGTGGTGGGACTCAATCTGGGTGTCATGTATGCTTCGGATGGATCATGCATATCCTGGTCGAAGATGAGAGGAGATGGCGCCAGGCCACCCTGAGGGCGGCCTTCCTTATCGCCAGCACCACTGAGCTCACTTCCGCCCCTGTGCAAAGGGGACGGTATCGATGGGTGAATGTTGGTCAGAGATGAACGTGTCCTTGGCGACGGCGGGGGAGGTGCAAGTCGTTCATGCCCCTCGCCGTTGCTTGCGACACTAAGCACGTCGGAGGCTGCGCCTTTTGGTGCCTGGGAATGCTGTTGATCGTGCAGAGGCTTTGTATCCTCGTCGAACGAGAGTCGAGGTTCTGACTTGACTCTGCTAGCGCTCGAATGCCGGCTATCTGTAGATCTGTCGATGTGCATAGCCTGCTTGTCAGAGTCGGAGTCATACCGTAGACCGTCAGTCCTTCCGCCTGCATTCGCATTATCGACTGGTTCTGCCGTGTCTGGCTGGTAATATGATTCGGATGGATGCTCTCTCTCGTAAATCGAGCTTGATGGGCTTGCAGAAGCATCGTGGCGCACTGTTGGGGAGGCACTACCCAGGTTCTCCGATGAAGGTGAAGATGCAAAGGAGGACAAGCCAGACAGAAGGAGAGCCCGCCGACTCTTGCGGTACTGTTGGTTTGCTTCGCGATAAGATGGTCTGTGTTTGTTGAGCTCCTCCTCATCGGCTCCGTCGGAAAAGTCGGAAGCGGAATCTTGGTAGTCAGGGCCTTCGTAGATGATATTGCCATGCTCGTCCATGAAGATGCTGTCTTCTTCGTCCTCCCATACGTCCTCATCATCTTCTGCAGGGTTGCTGCCATGTCGACGACGCCTGTCTGCGGGCTCGACGGTGGACTCTGGCGAATATGAGCCTGATTGCTCAGGCGAGGGCGATGCGGGCGAGCCTATTGTATCGCCGTCAGAAGGCGGGTTGACATACCCATTCGATCGCTGAGTGGACTGTGAGAGTAGCTGAACAGAAGCCAGCTCTGGTACCACTGACCCAGGATCGTCGTCGTCGGAGCGTTCGCGCCTTAATGTCTCTTGGCTGTTGCGGTCAGGATGGCTGTGACCGTTAGTATGTGCCACCGTACCGTTTGAGACAAGATCGATGTCGACAGGGCTCGCCGCGCCATAAAGCGGCGACGCAGAGTCGCCCACAGCATCGAGATTCATGTAGAGGGAGGCATTAGCGGTCGAAGCCAGCGATGGATGTGGAAAGTCATGGTAAGGGGGAGAAGGAGGATGTTGAAGATGGACGCTTTTTGGGGTGGAACACGTCGGCAACTTCGGCATTTTGCCGAGGCAACAAATTCCCCGGAACTCGGACTTTTTTCTGCACGTGACTTGGCGTGAGCATTTGAGCTGGACCTCGATGACCCGCGATCTAACAGGGCTTCGGTATATTGTTTTCTGTATCGTCCGACTGACGCTCATTTATACGGCCGTATGAGTCAGGCTGGGATGCATGCTTGTTATCTGATCCATTTCTTCTTATCGACCGTCTTGGACTAGATAAGACTCTTAGCGTAACACCAGGAGCTTATCACATTTACAAGCCAGTCACCTTGTCTCGCCCGCTTGCTCACAGCTACGATGGAGCGAGATGCGATGTCGACACAAGAAGACAAGGAGCAGCGTCAAGAGAGGCTCCACTTTGCCAATGTCCTCAAAGCGTTTGATGACTACCTTCCATACTGCTTGTCAGCCAACGATGCACGCCGAAGATCCTACTTTTCGCTGCCCAGAGCCCACCAAGAGCTTTTGACTGACATAGGACAACCTCTTCCCCTGCCAGATCTGTTGGATGGATCGTCGTCTGTCAAGCAGAGACAAGGCTTCAAATCAAGGCTAGAAGAAATCGATGATCGAATTCGGCGGAATGCTGATCTGCTGTCCGCTATCGCAGACGAATCGCGCGGCTTCCTCGGCCCAGACGCCTATGATGGGCAAGATCCGGCAGGAGAGTCACAGCCGGCACAAGGCGAGAGCAGTGGCAGTGGCAGCAAGGACAAAGACAGCCATGCCAACGGCAACAACTCCAAACGCCGAAAGATCTCGGGACAGCAAGTTGACAAGATTCAAAGCACACTCAGACAGTTGGTTCGTGACTGGAGTCGTGAAGGCGAGTGGGAACGTTCAGCGGTCTACGAGCCATTGATGGAAGCTGTTACGAGTCGATATGGCAAAATAGCCTTTGATGAGCGTGGTCGGGTGCGCATTCTGGTTCCAGGTGCAGGGCTTGGCCGTCTTGCTTTTGAGTACGCAGCACAAGGCTACTCATGTCAAGGCAACGAGTTTAGCTTCTACATGCTGCTAGCGTCTCACTACATTCTCAACAAGTCGAGCCAGGTGGATGTCCACACAATCTACCCGTTTGTGCACTCGTCAAGCAATTGGAGGAGAGCTCAAGATATGCTGCGAGCCATTCGGATCCCTGACGTGCTTCCATCAACGCTACCGCAAACGAGCGAATTCAGCATGGTAGCGGGAGAGTTTTGCGAGGTCTACTCGAAGCCAGAAGAGAAGCGAGCATGGCACGTGGTAGCGACGTGCTTCTTCATCGACACGGCCAAGAATATACTAGGCTACCTGGAGACGTTCAACCATGTTCTGCCGATCGGCGGACATTGGATCAACGCAGGACCTCTGTTGTGGCACTTTGAGAACTCTGGCAACTCGAGAAGCGGTTCGGGCGAGAGCCTGAGCATTGAATTGACACTCGACGAACTGATCGAACTACTCCCAAAGATGGGCTTTGAACTCGAGGTGAGTACTGAAGCTGTCCTTGCTGATGCTGAAGTGCTGTTAGTGACACTGTTTTACCGGCCGCTGTTTCCTTTGTCCTGCAGGAACGTCGGGAGCTATCTCCAACACCGTACACAGGCATGCTCAACGGCATGCTGCAGTATCACTACCTACCCGAGTTGTTCGTCTGCCGCAAAGTACGAGATATTGAGCCAGCACGGGCAGTGTAAAGGTAGAATGTAGGATGGAGTAAATGGTTTCGTACTCATTCCAATCGTGGTGTGGTATTGATTACAAAAGTTGGTGAATTGAATTAGACACGGGCCTTGGCATCGGTCTGAGCAGCCTTGAAGCGGTCCTCTGCCTCTTTGAAGTTGATGACGGACCAGATGTTCTTGAAGTAGTCAGCCTTGACGTTCTTGTATTGAAGGTAGAAGGCGTGCTCCCAAGCGTCGACACCGATGATGGGGTGGTGCGAGATGAGAGGGTCCTGGTCCTTGGTGGTAACAACCTCAAGCTTCGAGTTCTTGGGGTTGAATCCGAGCCATCCCCAACCAGAACCCTGGATGGTGGCAATAGTGGCGTTGAAGCTGGACTTCAAGTTGTCGAGCGAGCCAAAGTCACGCTCAATGGCCTGCTTGAGGGGACCATCCTGGAGCTGTCCACCGCCTTGTTTGGAAGGGGCAAGGTTCTTCCAGAAGAGCGAGTGGTTGATGTGACCACCACCGTTGAACTTGATGGCGCTCTGAAGCTCGATCTGCTTGCGGACATCGTTGCTGGAGATGGCCTGGTTGTAAGCCTTGATAGCGTTGTTAAGGTTGGTGACGTAAAGCTGATGGTGCTTTGTGTGGTGGACGGTCATGATCTCCTCGGAGATGGCGGGCTCAAGGGCATTGTAAGCGTAAGGAAGCTGGGGCAGAGTGTGCTCGGACATTGTTACGATGTGGGAGAGAGTCGAGTCAATAAGATGGTATCAGAGGGTGGTTGGGGGTATGGGGTGAAAAGGGCAAAGGCACGAGATGAATAGATAGCGACTCTATATATCTGAATCGGCGAACGAGCCAACTCTTCACTCTCCTCTCTGGAATTTTGTGGAGCAAGACCGGAAGACTGCCGTTCTGCTGTGCTAAACTCGGCCTAGTTGAAGGACTGTGTGACAGTCGGTGTGTGTGACGCAAAGAGAGAGAATTCTGGCACCTTCGCTTACTGACTTTGATCAGTGTAGCTGCTGATCTTGTGGTCCGTGCACCACAATACACTTTGCATCTTTTCATTAACGCAAAACCTTTGATACTCAACATACAAGCATTGATAGTGTAGGGGTATCATGAGTCGTTGCCAGTCTCATCATCTGTATTCAGGTGTGTTTAAATCCACTCGATTCGACTCGACCGGGGTTCGAGTCCCCGTCAATGCATTGTTTTTTTTTTTTTTGTTTGTCTTTTCTTCATCGGCCATCCTTCTGTTCTGCAACCCTGTTGCTGACTTTGTTTTTGCTCCAGAATCTGTGCCGTCACTCGGGATGCTACTCAAAAGCTTTCATTGTCTGCCAAGCAGCTTGATCGAGCTTTCATTTCTAACCTCGTCTTGGCGGTCATCCCAAGCCACCGATATCAACACAACAGACCATCTTTGCTTGGCCGTCACAACGTCATTAGTGAGCTTTCGGTGCGCAAGGACCTCAAAGACCGAGTTGCCTGAGTTGAAGTCATTCGTCAGTGCGCTGAAGTCATTCGTCAGTGCGCTGAAGTCATTCGTCAGTGGTTGGAGTTGAGGCATCTTGTTGATGATGATAGTAAGAGAGAGAGAGAGAGCGAGAGAGCGAGGAGTCTATATATATACAAAAGAAGAGCAGCAGAGAGCCGCATTAACTGCGGAACATAACAAAGCATTTTGTCTTGAGTAGGTTGTGACACATGTGGTCCATGCTCAGATGCTCAGGCCTTTTACTCGGCCGTAAGCGCTACCCTCACTGTCTCTACGCTTTGTGTAGCCTTATCTACTTCAACTCCCCCCCTCAACAGCATATGTACCCTGTTCATTATGCTGTTGTTTCAAGGTGTGACCTCCGTTCTTCAACACTGTCGCATAGCTCGGGGACCCCGTTTCGTACACTGATGCCAGTATTCGCAGGTGTAGCCCAGATCTTGCTTGCTGCATTGCCTGTCTCCCAATGGGCTTTGTGAGTACGTCTGCCAAGTTTCTTGTGGTGTCTATGTACTTGATCTGCACCCTTCCCTCTTGTACATTGTTACGGACGAAGTGATACTTGGTGTCGATGTGCTTAAGCTTCCAGTGCTGTGCTGGGTCCTTACTAACCTGTATGCAACCAGTGTTGTCCGAGTAGACCGTCGGTGTGCCTGTGGCAATGCCAATTGAGCGTAGCAGTTGCTTGAGGAAGAGCACCTCACGTGTTGCTTCTGTGGCTGCAATGAACTCTGCCTCGACAGCAGACAATGACACGCATTTTTGTGTCGCTGACTTCCAGGCTACTGGGTTCCCGTACACTAACGCCACTGACCCCGATGTGCTTCTTCTCTGTATGGTGGCATCGCTTGCCCAGTTTGCATCGCTGTGTGCAACCAGTGGCTCTTGCGACTCACTTGCCCTATAAACCAATCCAACCTGCCTTGTGCTTTCGAGGTAGCGTAAGACCCTTTGTGCTGCCTGATAATGCTCCTGCGATGGTTCACGCATGTGCCTAGTGAGAACACCCACGGTGAGACTAAGGTCGGGCCGGGTGCTGTTGGCAACCCAGAGCAGCTTGCCAACAATCACCGGATACTCCTTCTGTTGTGCTGCGCTTGCGACAAGGGTTCCCTCCGGTATGCTCTGCATTGGAACCGTGGTCGGCTTTGTACGTTTGTCCAGGTGCTTTGCCAGCACTTGGTCAATGTACCCTGACTGACCAATCGTCATGGTGCACATCGCATGGTCTCGACTGATTTTGATGCCCAGGAAGTGAGAGACCTCACCGCTATCTTCCATCTTCCATCTCTGGCCAATCTGCTTCTTAACCTTTAGGACCGTTTCCAGCTGTGGTGCTATGACTAATGTATCATCGATGTAGATGACCACAATTGCCATATCTTCACCCTGTCCCTTGGTGTAGATACAGGGAGCGCACTCTACCTGGAAGAATCCCATGCGTCGCAAGGACCTGTCGAACTCCTGATTCCATTCTTGTCCAGACTGCTTTAGGCTGTATAGACCCTTGATTACCTTGTACACCTTGCCGGGTGCTACTCCTGATCCTTCTGGCGGCTTCATGTAGATTGCTTCCTTTAACGTGGAGTTCAAGTAAGCCATAGTGATGTCCAGAGCATGTACCTCCCAGTTGTTCTGCACCGCTAGTGCTAAGATGGCTCTGATCGCTCCGAGGGGTGCTACTGGAGAGAAGGTTTCTTGGTAGTCAATCCCCTCTCTCTGTGTGAAGCCCCTTGCAACCAGTCGCGCCTTGTGCTTAACAGGTACACCATCAGCGTCAAGCTTCAGCCGAAGCACAACCTTAGAGTCCACAAGTGGTACTCCTGGCGGTTGGTGCACCACCTCCCAAGTCCCCATTGCCTCGAGTCCTTCTAGCTCCTTTCGTATTGCCTCCTTCCAGAGCTGGGCGTCCTCACCGTCCATTGCTTCCCCAAGCGTTGGGTCCAGGTTCAGTATTGCTGTGTTGGCGGCGCCTACTGTGCTGTCTTCGGCTGGTAGGAGATCCTCCACTGCGGCCTCTGATTTGGTCTCCTCCTCCACTATGGCTGGCGTGACACCCTCCTCCTCGACCTCTGTGGTCACCATGGGCCTGACTGCCTCTTGTTGGCGATCACTCCATCCTTTATCCTCATGGAATGTTGCTGAGTTGCTCCATTGGATTGACGCCGGCTGGTCCGGGTTGCAAAACTTCCATGCTTTGTGTTCGTCGTCATACCCAATCATGATGGCTGGCTTTGCTCTAGCCCCGTACTTGCCTTGCTGGTCCTTCTGTTGAACATGAACCCATGCCAAGCATCTGAAGACTCGCAGCTGCTGGGCCAGCTTGTGCGTGGTGGTTCCATAAAAGGCCTCGTGGGGAATGGTTTTGGTGGCTGACAGGGTAAGGTTCATCACGTGTGCTGCTGCTGTGATTGCATATGGCCACAACTCTCTGGGGCAAGCTCGACCAATCAGCATCGAGCGCATCTTTTCTTGGACCGACCTGATTGCTCTCTCTGCCCATCCATTTTGGATGCTGATCCCCAGGACGCTCTTTTGCCACTTGAAACCCTCTTGAGTTTGCCAGTCTTCGGCTGTTATGCTGCACCATTCTCCTCCATTGTCGCTGCGGAGTGTTTTGAGTTTCCTGCCCGTTGCCCGTTCCATCCTGGCTATCCACCTCCTCAGTGCCGTGAGTGCAGCACTCTTTGTGCAGAGTGGTTCCACATAGATCAGGGAGGAGAAGTCGTCTACAGCAACTAGTGCATAGTGGTAGTTGGCATGTCCTTTGAAATCTGTCATCAGGTCTACGTGTACCAGCTCTAATGGTGCCTCCATTCTTTCCGACTCTGATTGGCTCATCCGTGCTCGAGTCTGTTTTCCTTGGCTGCACGCGTTACAGTGCTTTGACTCATGTTCCATTTCCTCGTCGGTACCTAGGTAATGAGCCTGGATTTGTCTCGTTTTGTCTCGTCCTGGGTGTCCGAACCTCTCATGCCATAGGTAGCTGTCTTGATGCTTCGTGTCCTTATTGCCCTCTGGGGCATTATCTAGTTTTCCTGTGTTCTGGTTGTCCTCTGGGATGTCGTCAAGTGTCTCTTCCAACTCCAGGGCTAGTGCCTTTCCCTGTACTTCGAACCGCCCTTTTCTTCTGTTCCTCTTGTATTGTATTCGTGTACCATCATTTTGCTTAATGATGGTTCCAAACTCATCAAAAGTTACCCGTGCACCATTCTCAATCAAGCCTTGTACTGATAATAAATTAGAATTAAGTTTCGGCACATAGAGCACATCCAATAGTTGAATGGTTACATCGCCAACCCAAAGGGAGGTGTCTCCTATGGCCTTCACTTGAAGCCTTTCATTTCCAGCCGTACAGATCTGACTGTCCTTGCGCATCGAGGTGAGCAGCATTCTTTCATCGTTTACCATGTGGTGCGTCGCACCCAAATCGACGATCCAGGTGTCCGATGTTGGTTGCTCATCCCCGCCGATCGCTAGGAGGGTGCACCCGAGTTCCTATCAACTCGCTTCTTGTGCTGGATTGGGGGTGGGTCCGTCTCTACTAGGTGCGGGGTTATTGTTGGTGTTCGTGCAGTTTCGAGCAATGTGATTAGGTCCTCCACAAGCGTAGCACTTTGGAGGGGCCGAGGGGTTGCGAGGATCGCACCTGCCTCTGGGTCCTTGCTCCGTCTGGTCCATGCTTGTGGCAACCCTTGCTGCTCCTCTAATACGGCCGGTGACCTCACCATCCTGCTGTTTCTTGGCGAGTGCATGGTAGGCTTCGTCATACTTACAGTCTGGTCTGGCTGTTTTCAGTGCGTCGACGGCGTTGGCATAGAACCAATCTTGGGCCGTGCAGCGATAGAGAGTTGATTTCTTGAGGTCCTCATCGAAATGCTTTCCCAGGCGTGCCGCATCGTTCCAGATCGAATCGAGTTCCTTGCCTAGCCTGACAACGTCTCGATTGTGCAAGCGCACTGTGTGAATACAATCCTGCAGTCCTGCTCGCTTTACAGCGTCGTTCAACGTTAGTGCCTTCTTGAGTTTGGCATAGAGTGTGCTACCGAGCTGGACTTCTTCATCCACTCCCCTGACAGTGTAGGTGTCGATACGGCTGTCTGGACTGTTGTCACAGCAGGCATGGATGAGGCCCACGAGGGCTTTATCCAAGTCTTCGTCGTATTCCTCGTTTCCAGGCGCTACCATGCCATACAGTATCTCCTTCGCATTATGTACTCTTTGGAGGCAGTCGATGAAGGTAGGTTCCCAAGTGTGCCAGTTGCTGTCGCTGAGCTTCTTGATGTGTGCAATGGCGCTCGACACCTCCTTGGGGATCTTCTCGGTTTCCCTGTGCGGGGTCTGGTTGCTAATGCTGATGAGACCCATAGCTCGTACGATTGCTTCCTCGGCCGTTAGTGCTGGGTTCGCCAGCTGGAGGATCCTGACTACCTGCGTGAGCCATCCTTCCTCCTGTCTGTTGCCTGTGGTCGTTTGATCATCATCGCCCCTTCCCGTCTGTCCAGCTCTTGTTGATGGCAGCATTGCATTGAGTTTCAGACTCTTAATCAGTTGAAGTCATTCGTCAGTGCGCTGAAGTCATTCGTCAGTGGTTGGAGTTGAGGCGTCTTGTTGATGATGATAGTAAGAGAGAGAGAGAGAGCGAGAGAGCGAGGAGTCTATATATATACAAAAGAAGAGCGGCAGAGAGCCGCATTAACTGCAGAACATAACAAAGCATTTTGTCTTGAGTAGGTTGTGACACATGTGGTCCGTGCTCAGATGCTCAGGCCTTTTACTCGGCCGTAAGCGCTACCCTCACTGTCTCTACGCTTTGTGTAGCCTTATCTACTTCAACTGCCTGGACGCTGACCAAGGCCCTTTTTCCATTAGTAGCAGTTGGGCGTTGGCATGTTTTTGAGGGGAATGTAACATTTATTGCTTACAAATGATGAGTAACCAGTCCTCGGGCCGAAAGGTTGGTGAGCTCATGCTTATTAATCGCACAGACGCGTCAGGTGGATAACTTTACGCGCAGTCCGAAACCCGGGTTGGTCGTTGACAAACGTCGTTGCTTCCGAACCACCACCATCTCCACCTCTCCGACGTACTTGCTTACCAGTTCGTCGTTGGTCGTAGGTAAGTAAGTGAAACCTCTCTATCTCTCTCCACTAACACACATCCTGACCGTGACCGTAGCTCAGATACAGTCCCCCCCTTGCACAATTTCCTCTTTAGACGGCAAAGCTTACGAACGGAACGAGGATACATCAAGCCAAGCCTGCGACTTGATCATCACCAGCACAAACCTCACCACTCACCCGCAATGAGGCATTCACTTGTCCTCCCCACAGCTTCATACATCGAACACGGTTCATCCGGCGCACCCATTTTGGGTCTTATCAAGGTCACAGCTTCCTCCATTCTCCAGGTTGTCATTCTCTCCTTGGTTGGATATATTCTTGCCCGGCGAGGAATCATCGATAAACGAACCCAGACCAAGATCAATAAGCTTAATGTCTCCTTTTTCACCCCAGCCTTGCTTTTTTCCAAGGTAGCTTTTACCCTCAATCCCGCAAGGTTGGCCGAGTTGATCATCGTGCCGTTGGGGTTTGTCATTGTTACGGTCGTATCGACACTGAGTGCAGTGGTGCTATCGTGGATGGCGAGCTTATCGACGGCGCAGAGGAATTTTGCGATTGCTTGTGCGATTTCGCCCAATTCGAATTCGTTGCCGGTTGCGTTGATGCGGTCGTTGGTGGTTACTGTGCCTCAGCTGCACTGGGATGAGCAGGGGGAGCCGGAGGACACTGTGGATGGCATGTTGGGAAGAGCGTTGACTTATTTGGTGCTTTTTAGTACGCTGGGCATGTTTCTTCGTTGGAGTGTCGGTGCAAAACTGCTTAGTAGTGTAGAGGAGAATGTTGAGAACGAGAACAACAATGTTGATCGTGCTTCCGAAACCAGCAACCCGAACCCATCCTCGTCCGCTAGCGAAAATGACAGTCATCAGGGTCGACCATGCATCACCCTTCGTCGTCCCACTGGCGAGCGACGGCCTATACGAACGAGGACCGGTCCTCCTGCTTGGGCACGCAGCTTTCCCAACTCACCGGATGCTAATGCCCAGAATTACGGTGCTGCTCGCGGCGACGACGGTCACGATTCCGATGTCGAAGATGAACCCCTGGAAGCATACGAAGAAGAAGGCCAGATCACTCTCCCAGGTGCAAGCAACAGTCGTGAGAATCGTTCATGTTGGAAAAACTTGTCCACGAGCTGCAAAAAATGGATTCACAACCTCATCCTTCGTCCGCTCTATGCTATTGGCGGGTTCATGACTGCGCCACTCTACGCAGCTGTAATTTCGCTGGTTGTTGCTGTGATTCCACCACTGCAGAAGTTGATCGATTCGTTGGAACCTCTCGTTGGCGCGCTCGAGACAGCAGGCGCTTGTAGTATCCCGCTGACGATGGTGGTGTTGGGTGCCTACTTTGTTGCTGATGCTTCAGCAGTGCAGCAGGCGGCGAGGCAGGGGTCGATTCCGAAGGTTGTACCTCCTAGTGCACCGGTGGGCGATGGATCGACTTGTGCTACTGGTCCTCAACCTACTGCGCTAGAGCGGGTTAAGGCAACAGGAAACCGTGGTACTGCAAGCGAGGTTGAAGATGATCCTTGGCGTCAAGCTTCTCTTGAATCATCTACTGTGTCTGGTCAGTCGACACTGGTGCATGCCAAAGATACCAAGAGGAAAAGATTGGGTTCGTGGATGGGGAAAAACCCTTGGAACAGCGGCTCATCCAGCAATGGTGGATCGGATATCGAAGAAGTTCGGTACGTTGAAGAGCCAACATGCTTTAGTCAAGCTTGCACCTCCAACTCGTCCAATTCGCCTCTTCTCGGCGGAGAATGGGATCAAGCAGCACGCAACGCAGATCTCAACTCTCGCAACTCAGCTGGACGTTTACAGAAGGCAAGCGCAAAACAGGCTTTGGTGACGACTATGGAACGACGTACGATCGCAGTCGCTATTTCATCCCGTATGATCCTAACTCCTCTCATCCTGCTGCCTTTCGTAGCATGGTACGCAATTGCTACCGCAAGCAATGTCATGGATGATCCTGTCTTCGTCGCTTGCGCCTGCCTCATCATTGGTTCCCCACCAGCCTTGACACTGGCACAGATTACAAGTCAAAGTGCACATGGAAATCCCAGCTTCGAAAGATTGATCAGTAAAACTATCTTTACTGCTTACACCTTCCTGGCTGCTCCAACAACGATCGCTTTGGTCTTGACTGCTTTGGTGATTACAGGGAATGATGGGAATAGGGGGTTTGCACCGTGATACTCTAGTCGCTGTCCTTTGCAATGCATTGTTTTGTTTGGCATTTCGCGTTTGGCGTGAGGCGTGAGGCGTGAGGCTTTTCTGTCCTTTTTCGAGTGACTAGTGTCTTGTAAATCCAGTGTGACGAGAGATCTGATGGGCAGTCAACATGATCTTTGGCGACACCAACATCAGGAGCGCCCTTTACAGCGGGTCAGAGAGATTGACCGAGACAGGCAACGAGATGTTGCAAGCTGGACGAGTCATGTGAGTCTGTCTATTGAGATTGTATAGTGGTATGATTACAAAGCGAGCGAATGTGTGTAGGATAGGATAAATAGGTCTAGCTGTCGTTCAAGCGGTTTATGTCGGTGTGTACAGGTTGAGTTGGACATGGGTGCGTTTAGAAGTCGCCGTTGTTGGAGCTCTTACCAGAGACCTCCTCGATCTTGAGGTCACCCGAGATGATTTTTTCGAGCATCTTCTTGGGGATGGTCCAATCGCGGAAGAGGTGGAAGGGGATGTTGTTGGTCTTGCAGTAAGTGGCAAGATCGTTGTCCTCCTTATCCTTGACAAACAGAACATCGGCGTGACGAGCGGCCGACATGTCCGAGATACCGTCACCGGCGAAGAAGAGCGTGGGTCGGTTCTTGAGCTCACGGTAAGGAGCGATGGAGAGAGACTTGTCGTGTCCAAAGTGGTTGTCGGGGTGACGGTAGACGAGTTCCCAGGTTTCACCCTTCTTCTCGGGGTCGGTAAAGTTGACTTCGTTGGAGATGACGTCGATCTCGTTGGCGTCCTTCTCGCCAATGAGGTTGGAGAGAATGGAGCGGATGATGGGGGTCATACCGGAGGAAACAATAATGACGGGGATGTTGTTGGCCTTGGCGAAAGCGTAGAACTGCTTGAAACCAGGGTCAAGGGTGACATCGCGACGAACGAGCTCCTCCATCTCGGAGAAGGGACGCTTAACGGACTCGATCATCTTTTTGAATCCCTCACGGTAGGAGAGACGCTCCTCGACGATCTCGACGTTGAGCTTACGGCGCTCGGTGTAACCCATACCGACGGTGTCGACCATGTGATCGTTGGAGTCCTATTCGAGCGCAGAAAAAGAGAAGAGACAATGTTTGCGAGTGAGCCACTTGATTGTCACCACTTGATCCACGATTCCGCTCCTGAGCGGAGAATAGATGCTACTTACGAGAAGGGTGATGGTACCGTCAAAATCGGTAAGAAAGACATATTTGGCATCGGCGTACTTGAGGTGCGACATGATTGCGAACTTGTATCTAGGGGGTCGATGACAGGGATTGATGGTGAAGGCGAGAGAGACAAGGCAGGAGACTATATAGGATCGGCATGAGCCGGAGCAGGCGCAAGGAGAAGATCTGTTCTGCGGTCCTGTGAAGATAGTGGCCAAGTGCTTGCTTGCTTGCTTGCTTGCAAGTTCAAATTGCAAGTTCGGCGTAAGTTAGCGTGTGCTGTGTTGCTCTGCGTGGATCGTGCACCCTGAAATTTGAGAATTCTCGCTTGCAACTTTTTATTATTAGCATCCACTTCTATTCCCACTTATACCAGAGCCTGTCCAGCGTTTGAATTGTGTATCTGTGATCATACAAAGTCTGCTGTGATCATACAAAAGATTGCTGTGATTATATAGCAGCATTGTGTCAGCTCATCGGAAGGCTGCCGACAGCGCAAGTTGAAGGGCAAAAAGCGGCGAACGAGAGACCTGCACCGATCCAGTGCCGACCTGTCTCGATGGATAAGTTCAAGTGTTTGAAACCTGAGCCAACGCGATCCACACAGACAGACAGGCAAGAGGCAAGCAAGAGGCAGGCAAGAGGCAGGCAAGAGTCAAGAGTGGATTTCTCGTTTGTTTCTCAACTTGTCGGCCGGGATTTGGAAGGATGTGCGAGAATCAACTGCAACGTCAATGTCATTTTGCAGCCAAATTCGACCAATGCACTGCTGAAAATGACGATCCAATGAGATGGTAAAAGAACGACGCAGAGCCAATCTGGTTGAGCTACCAATTCAATCATGGATTAGGTCAAGTCGATCTCAGGAGAAATCAGGTGCAACACAGTCCCACTCATTGTCATGATAGACCATGAAGTAGTAGTACCCCCACATCAGGCAAGTGCCACTCACATGTATATATAACTCACAGAGAGCACTAGGCTCTCGCCACATTCCCTTAGTCAATTGAGTATATTTTGTTCTGTCTTTTAGCAGTGACATCGTACTTAGACTCTCCCCGATCACCAGTATCGGGACCTAAACGACGTTTATATTCAACATGCACAAGTCCGCGAACCGTTCGCATCTTGCTCACCGCATCTCACTCAAATCCTATCCGATCCGAGCAATCGGGAATGAATGCACATCTTGCCGATCACTTACCCTGGCAGTGACACAACCGAGGTTGGAGAAGAGCATATCATTACATCACCCTCCTATCAAGATGAGTCCTTCGTTTACATTGGTAAAGTATTGGCAGTGCACGGCGAATCAAAATTTAGGCAGCCATCCTCGTCCGACGCTTAGGCCTGCATGGGGACAGGAGCGTCTCCAGCATCACCATCACCCTGCTGCTGCCCACCATCGCCAGCCGAAGCATCGACGCCATTGTCACCAGCACCACCACCGTTGCCGTTGTTGCCACCACGTCCAAAGTTGTTCCAGCGACGGTTGAACTCAATGTCCAGAGGTCGTCCACCGTACACGTAGTTGTTGAACTTGGCGATCGCAGTCTCGGCGTCATCCACGGAAGCGAACTGTACAACTCCTGTACCCTTGCTCCTACCGTGGTCAAACTGGATTTCAGCCTCCTCGACTTTGCCGGTGGTCTGGAAGAGTTCCACGAGGTCCTCGTTCGATGTCGACCAGGGCAAGTTCTTGACAAAGATCTGTTGACAAGGTGCAGCAGGTGGCGCAGGAGGTCGAGCGTTTGCTGGGCCAGTGGGACGACCTCCCAATCCTCCAGGAGCTCCACCGTACCGGTCGTAGCCTCCACCGTATCCGCCACCGTATCCGCCACTGTATCCGCCACCGTATCCACCGGCGTAAGGGTCAACGCCATAACCACCACCGTAACCACCTCGGCCACCGTAACCGCCTCGACCGCCGAACGCACCGAAGCCGCCACGACCACCACGCCCAGGAGGAGGTCCGTATCCGCCACGTCCGTAAGGGTCCATGGGAGGAGCGCCGGCGAACTTGTCCAGTCTCACCTCGAGAATACGGCCGCGGAAGTCGTAGCCGTGGTACATGGCGATAGCGTTCGAGGCGTCGTTCGAGTTGGCAAAAGCAACGATACCGGTACCCTTGGAGCGTCCATCAGGTCCCATGTTGACATCGGCGCGAGTCACGTTACCTGCAGACCTGAAAAGGTCCTTGAGGTCTTGCCAGCTGACATCAAAGGGAAGGTTGGTGATGAAGAGCTGAGTAGGGGCGCCACCAGCGAATCCACCGCCGTAAGGAGGCATGGGAGGGCCACCAAAGAAACCACCTCGACCGGGAGGTCCGTAGCCTCCTCGTCCGCCCATGCCACCAGCGAAGCCACCGCGGCCTCCACCACGAGGGACTGCGCCAGGGGTACCGCCGTAACGAGCATCATCCTCGCGGTCCTGTAAGGAGCAAAGTGAAGTAAACAAGCCCTGGTGAGCCGTGATGTAAAACAAGAAGCTGACGCGCGGCATTGTAGTAAGAACTTACCTCTCGGACAAAGACCTGACGACCCTCGAGCTCCTTGTTGGTCAACTGACTGATGGCCTTCTGAGCCTCCTCAGAAGAGCTGTACTCCACGATACTGTGGGGACCAAGTTGATGTTGCGATGAAGAGGTGAGCAAGCGATTCTGGTGTACATTTCGCTTTGGGATGTAGTTCGAATACTTACCCGCATCCCTTGGAGCTTCCATTGGGAAGAGTGAGGACCTCGGAGAAGACGACGTTACCAGCTGTAGATGTGAGTTTCGGTTCGGTTGAACGTAGATGTAGATGCCGATGTATGAAGCCGCGATAAAACCCGAACCATGACGAATAAAAGCATAAAAACCTTTCCCATCAGCATTCGATACGTCCATCCACTATTGATCTCACATTCAACCAGCATCTATACACCATTACGGCAGGACAGCGCCAACGTCGACGTGTGCGCACTTGCTCTGAAGGCTAGGCTGACGTATTAAAAAAAAAAAACAACTCAAAATAAGCATGCTGGAGACCGAGACGATTGACTACCCACCCTCCCTCATAAAGTCCTTGAGTGTGTTCCACTTGACGCCGTAACTAAGGTTCCCTACGTAGACCCTGCAGTTCTTCTGACTCTTTCTGGAAGCTTCGTGTGCGGCGTGCTGCGATGCAACGGCGCGATCGTGAAAGTTGCGGGCAGGACGATCGGATCGGTCGCGGTGCGAGTCCCTTCGGTCCGAGGATGGAGCGCCGCCGGCTACGGGCGACCTAGAGCGAGCGCGGTCCTGCGACATGGCGTCGCGATCAAAGTTGTCGGCATAGTGCGACTGGTCGTCGTTGCGTTCGACTGTATTGGTGCGGCGGTGGGGAGGAAAGGATGCGGTCAGCGGAATAGAACATTGATCTGTGTGCGATTGGATGAATGATATCTTACCTTCCGACATCGTGATGTTCCTGTGATATGGTTGATCTGGAATTGAGGTGTGGTGGTAATGCAAGAGGGAAAATAGTAAAAGCTTGTGCTCAATCAAGATGATGGCTGAGCTGGAGAGTGTGTGTGTGGACGAAGATCAACTGCTGGGCTTGACTGATACGTGCTTGAATCTTTCGCTCGGATCCGCAATTTGTCCTTCTCTCATCCTTGCGTGTAAAAAAGGATTAATAATCAAACCAAAAAAAACAATGCATTGACGGGGACTCGAACCCCGGTCGAGTCGAATCGAGTGGATTTAAACACACCTGAACACAGATGATGAGACTGGCAACGACTCATGATACCCCTACACTATCAATGCTCACGTGATCGTTTAGGGGTCTATTGCCTACAATATCCCTACTACCGAGAGAGAGAGAGCAAATCGTGTATTGGAGAGCAAGAGCCCCTCTTTCTTCCAACATTTCGAACGCACGGGCCACTTTTTGCAATTCCACTTTCGTTTGCCGAGTCTGTCACGGCCACCACCCTTTCATCTTCCCCACATCTCAGTTCAACCTTGGGCCTCATCTTTTAGCACTCATGCTCCTCCACGTACGATACAGCATCAGCTCAACTAGACTCCCTTGGACTCGATATCACTCTTCCTTCAGCTAGACGAGAAAAAATCAACGCCCCCAGTGCTGCGTCCTCTGCAGCGCTAGTACAGACCCAGCCGTGGGGACCATGTCGCAATATGGGCAGGCTTATCAGCCCCACATGTATTCGCAGTCATCGCAACGCAATGATCAACCCCAACATGGCCGGTATGCTCATGCTCCACAGCAGATGCAGCAGCAGTCCATGCCGCCGAGGGGGGGTGGTGGTGGAGGAGGAGGAGGAGGAGTAGGTGGAGTAGGTGGTGGCGCATACCAACAACCATACAAGGGAACGCTGGCACCGGGCACAAAAGTCAAGGTTGGCAACATCACCGTCACTGTAAAGCGCTATCTTTCGGAAGGTGGATTCGCCCATGTCTATCTCGTCACAACCTTACAACCCATTCCCATGCCTTCTTCAGTCACAGGAGCCATTGACGCATCCATGGCAGCCAGTGCAACCGCAGGACGAGGCGAGACGGTCCACGTCCTCAAACGAATGGCGGTACCAGATAAAACTGCCCTCGCCGATGTCAGAAGGGAAGTTGAGGTGCACAAACTCCTCCGCAACCAAGCCAACATTGTCCACTTTATCGAAGCTTCCGCTACAGCACTCCAAGGTGGAGGTTACGAGATCTTCATTCTGATGGAGTACTGCTCAGGTGGTGGGATCATCAGTCTGATGAACGCACGCTTGCGCGATCGTCTACGCGAGGAAGAGGTACTCAAGATCTTCGGTGACGTCTGCGCAGGTGTAGCTGTCATGCATCACCTCGACCCACCTCTCATGCATCGCGATCTCAAGGTGGAAAACATCCTCATGGCTCCCTCCACCGATCCTGGCACCATCCCAGGCTCCCGCTCCACCTCTTCCAACCTCAAAGCTACTTTCAAGCTCTGTGACTTTGGTTCCGCCGCACCCGTCCTTTCTCGCAAACCAGCAAAGAGCATGGATGGAGTTAAACGTGTAGAAGCAGATCTCAACAAGCATACAACCTTGCAGTACAGAGCGCCAGAAATGGTGGATGTATATCAACGCCGTGTCATTGACGAAAAAGCCGACATCTGGGCTCTTGGTGTTTTGCTCTACAAGCTCTGCTACTATACGACGCCATTCGAGGAGAACGGAGGTGGTCCACTAGCCATCTTGAACGTGCAGTACCGCATACCGCCACAACCTGTCTACTCCGAGAAGCTCAAACAGCTCATCCATTCCATGCTTAAAGAACAGAGCACGGATCGTCCCACCATTGATCAGCTCATCATCAACGTTCATCAGATCCTCGGCACACGTCCCCCTCAGGCTGCACTTCATTACGCTTCAGCTGCTGCCAGTGGGAAGATTGCTGCACCTTTGCCCGCGCTTGTCAGCAATGCCAAGGCATCTACGAACGCCGATCTTGCAGCTTCGCTTCACCAACCTAAGCCAGCAGTAGGCGGAATGGATGCCAACCTCATCTCCATCGGTCCGTCCAAGAAGGAGCTTGAGCAGGCAGAAGCGCGCGAACTCGAGCTCCAGAAACAGAGCATCACGCCAATGCGTCGCGGTAGACCCACCAAGGCGAACGCCGAGGCATCCTCGCCGACTAAAAAGGTTGAGGAGGACATCGTTGTAAAGAGCAGCTCCCTAGCACCAGAGCCACGTGCCAAGAGCAGCCCTCAGTGGGGTGTCCCCAACTCATCCAAACCGTCATCGTCTGGCGTAAAGACAGGACCACTCATCGAAGGATTTGGCGACTCCTTCTCCCCCTCTGCTCCGGCCACCAGCAGCAGCACGGAAAGCCCTCCATCGTTTCCTAAGCGACCTGCACCACCTTCCGTGTCGCCAAACGCGAGCGGCGATGCCACCTCGAAACCTTCGGACCGCGCTGTCGACAAGAATCTGCTCCGCGCCTCGTCAAACTCGGATGCTCCCTCGCCGGCGCTTTCCCCCTTGCGGCACAGTCCGGCATTACCTGGCTTTTCCGTCGCTTCAAGTCCCGCCCCCTCACCCCTCCCACCTGGCGCCACTGGCGGCACCGGCATAGGAAAAGGCGCACCAAGACCACCAAGCGGCGGCGCCTCAAGCCGGGACGAGCTCACAGACCGATTCCCAAGTGTTGAAGACCTCGATGCACAATACGCTATGCCGGCAGCGCCGAGTAGCAGTGCGCCGTCATCTGCTCCTTTGAGCTTGGCCAGTGGTGGAAAGCAGGTGAATGTTCCCGGTCTTACGAATCGGGCCAGTGTCGGTGCAATGGCTGGTCGATTCGAGCGACCCTTGGAGCCGCAGCGACCAGGTGCACCAGGGAGCAGGGTAGCGCTTAGCAAGTCTGCAACCATATCTGCTTTCTCTTCCACCAATGAGAGCGGGGCAGTAAGGAAAGGGAGAACAGGCAGCGTATCGAAGAGGTGGCAACTGTCTGCTATCGCTCATGATCGGTCGGGTAAAGAGCCAGAATCGCGGCCTTCAGCAGCAAGCAAGTCTCCGGCTTCGAAGGATTGGCTCACAGGCGATGTTTCTGATGACGAACCGCCTGCATCGGAAAAGAAGGAGAAGGAGAAGGAGAAGGAGACTAAGATGCTCGCTTCTCAGTTCAAGTCGCGCTCCAGTCCAGCCTCCACTGCAGTTTCGCGCGGAAAGGAGGTTGATGCTGGCAAAGAGATCGAAGTTGAAGAGCCCTCATCTGACGAGGATGAGCCTGCAGAACCGGAGGAAGCTGTTGCTCAGCGACCTGGTCTCCCACCACGACTCTCAGCTGATCGACTGTCTTCCTTCAACCGCCGTCGCACCGGTGACGAGCCTCAGAATGATACCGAGGCAAAGGGAAAGTGGAGGAGCAAGCCCGAAAGACCACGCATCACTCCCGGCCGAGTCAAGGCTCCATCTTGGCTCGTCGACGCAGTAGATTCGCCTACTGCAGCAGAGAGACTGATAAGCTCTACCTCAATCAGCTCGCAATCGGAAAAGTCGGCGGCTTGCGAACTTGTCTCGCCGATCACAGATGCTACAGCAGCAGAACAACTAGATGAGGCGGCAAGAAAGGCACAAGATCAACTAGAGGAGCTCTTGCGTGGGCCTGCTGACGAAACATCTGCTACTAATGGTCTAGCTGAGCAGGGGAAAGCGGAGGAGAAAGGTCAAGAGTCTTCATCAGTGACAAGTGTGGCCAAGATGAAAGCACCTGCTTGGGATGATGACGATGAGGATATGCAAGAGGAGAGGAGCGCTTTGTCCAAGCCTGAGATCATGGCTAAACCTGTGACTCTGTCCAAGAGCGGTGGTAAGCCAGAGTTGGAGTTGCGGTCGCAGACTGCTTCGTTGACACACAAGCCTTTACAGAGTTGTTCAGGCATCACAGGTCGTTGGCATCCTCAATCGTCCACCTCGGCGCCTGTTGCTGAAAAAAAGGAGAAGCAGCTAGTAGAAGTGGCTACATCTCCCGTCTCAATTGCATCCCCTACCTCTACCTCACCGCAAACCTCAGTGGACACTATCAAAGATGCTTTTTCTTCCTTCTCTCTCACCTCACCACCTCCCAAGCAGGCACCGCGACAAGAACCGAAGCTGATCCGAGCATCAACACTCGTCTCGTACGGTTCTTGCGATACCTCGAGGATTTCAAACCCCCCCTCACAGTCAGAACCAACGATCATGCAAGCACTCAAAAAACCCACACCTATCCGTCCAAACAAATCCGCTGTCCTACGTAGTACAGGCTTGAGCAAACCCTGGGAACGTGAAGCTGCACTTGGAGCTGTTGCAACGCGGGGTAGTATTGTAAAAAACAGTCCACTCCCTGCTGCTTCTACTTCTCGTCTTCACAGTGCAGATGGGGATCAAGGTGGTATAGATGGTGTTGGAGCAGAGGAGGATGAGGGTGGGGAAGGGGATAGATATAATGGTGTTTCCAGTTTGATTAGTCGGTGGCAACAGAATGTGGAGTGTAATGCTCCTGGTTGGGGTCTTGTTGGTAGTAGTTTTCGTGCAGGGGATAGGAGAGTGTAGTATAAGCTAGTATTGTCATAGAGGTTTTGCGTGTTGAAAATTGTCAATTACCATCATGGCTTACTTCGTGTGAGTGCTAGGAGATTCACTCTTTCACATCTTCCCACACCCGCTTCTTGCTAGTCAAAGCAAGTCGACACAATGCAGCGCATACATTTGAGCTTTCCTCCTGTCTCCATGGTCAGTACACCAACAATGCAGAGCAACATAAGAGAATTTAAAATCGGCAATTGCATTGGTAACCTACTACCACACTGTCACCAAATGAACAAACAAAAATTTGAACAAAGAAAAGAAAGAAAAGAAAGAAAAGAAAAGAACCCAAAAAAAGCAATCCTGCCTAAAAACCAAGTAAAAACAGCGCCGCTTTGAAAAGAGTCACATTGGTAGCCAAGCAGAGTTGAGGGTAGAGTGAGCATCAGACATTGAGAGTGGATAGGAGCTATGAGAGAGGAGAAAGGCATTTTTTTTTTTTTTTTTTTTTTTTTGGGTAGAGGTCATTTTGAAAGTCGCATTGTAAAGACAAAGACAGCTTTGAGCATGTCAATTCCAGTCAAGTCTGTGCGAGAACACGGTTGTGTATTGCAGATGAAGGCCGAGAGGTAGTTGCGATTGCTCTCCAGCAATTAAGGCCTGCGATCTACTGTGCAAATGGCCATGGGTGCTGAGAGCGAGTCGTAAGGCGGCAACACTCGTCGAGCCCAGCCGGTCGCGTAAGACACACAGACAAATTTGTGGGACGATTGCAAATGACGGGTTGCTTGTGATGAGATGCCCTCTAGCTCAAATGGGTAGGTCTCGCGCTCCTGCTTGCTCGGCCTGTAGCTGCTGGTTGCCTTTGCCCGCTCGTCTCCCCTCGCCGGGCAGTGTAACCTGCAAGGACAGGCTCTACTTGCCATCTGACTTCTTCTTCTGCTTTCTGGGAGGTGTGACGGGACGACCCATGTTGATTCCACCATATGCATACTTTTGCTTTTTCTCCGCTGGCTTCAAGATCTGGAAGGAGCACAAGAGAGTCTCGTCGACGCTCATCATTGCACCTGCATTGTCAAACTCTCCACAATAGTTGGGCGCCGAGAACAATGTGACCAACTGTCGCTTGGCAAAGAATTCGTAACCATCCTCGACGACCTGATGCGCTCGACAGATGAGATCCATATCGTGTTTTTGCAGGAACCGCGAAACGACGTCTGGGCCGAATGTGAAGGAAACACCACGATCGTTTTCTGACCACCCGGAAATGTCCTTGTCGGGATCGGACCAGAGCAAATCGCAGAGCAAGCCGGTGTCTGGTACGTCGGTTGGTCGCATGACGCGGCGGATCTGCTCCATGCTTTGGAGATCGGGTGAAAGACCGCCGTGCATGGTGAAGATTTTTTCGTCAATGATGGCGGCGATGGGGAGGCAGTTGAAGCAGTCGGTGAACGTCTTCCAGAGTTTGATGTTGAAACGACGTTTGCACTCGTCGTAGAAGCCGTAAATGCGGTTGATACTGGCGCACTCGTGGTTGCCGCGGAGAATGAAGAAGTTTTCGGGATACTTGATCTTATATGCGAGCAGAAGGCAGATGGTCTCGAGAGACTGCTTCCCACGATCGACGTAGTCACCGAGGAAGAGGTAATTGGCCTCGGGAGGGAAGCCACCGTATTCGAACAAACGTAACAAGTCGTAATATTGGCCGTGAATGTCACCGCAGATCTTGATGGGTGCCTCGAGCTCGAGAAGGATGGGCTGGTTGATAAAGATATCCCTCGCTTTCAAGCAGAGGTACTTGATCTCGTACTCTTCCAGGTGGACGGGCTTGCCAGGACGTGAGCCACGGACCTCTAGGAGACGGTCGATGACATTGTCGAGATCGACCTCGGGGGTAGAGTTGTCGGCCATTGTGCTACGTGGTGAGCGGCCTGTTGAGTGGGGGTGATGTGTGATGGGGAACAAGGATTTGCAATGTATAGCCAAAGATGGGTGGGGTCGGTGGTAGGGTGGAAGAGCGAGTGCATATACGGAGATCAAGAAATGGACAAGAAGGGAAAGAAAGTAGTGAGGAGTGTGTCAGAATGATGAGCCCATTTGATCGTGGAGACTTTGGTGGCGGCAGAGCTGTTGAAGAAGGCATTGCCGGGTCGTGTGGACGTCTGCAAGATCGAGACAAGCTCGGGGCACTGCGATTGAGGCAATTGCTTGCTCCACTGGAGAAGGGAGCGGGGAAGTAATCCAAGAGGAAGGTGAGGAGCAGCAATGAGCTCGCGAGGTGGAGCAGATAGTTGGCCATGTTGTGCTTCGCTTCGGGTGCTCGGCAATAAGAGGCTGAGCGGAGGATGCTGGGGGTGCTGATTCGAAGCATGATCTCTAATCGTTGGCTACGGGTAACATGGCGAGATGCTTTTTCGAGAGCACATGAGAGTCGATTACTTACGGACAAGAGAAGAAGCTCGATGCTAGCTTGATGTGCTGGAGCTTTGCTGAAAGAGGCAAGGCCAAAGTTACGAGAGAAACAAGCGAGCTGCTTCTGAAGGTACTGCCAGCGCTAAAGATGGCAAAAGGTGCTGAAGATGGGCCAAGTGCGCGGGCGCTGATCTGATAAGCAAGCTAAACCGAGAGATAGCTGGGGCAGCAGCGATAGGAGGGATGGGAAATGCGGACGCGGGTCGGAAGGCGTAAGTATGCTGATCCCTTGAAGCCGACAGCTGGTAGAGAGGGCCAAGTGGACGGGTGCAAGGAGTGTCGTGCGTATGAAAGAAAAGATGGGAAACGAAGAAAGCAAGGAAAGGCCTAAAGCTGACCGAAAGAGGTTTCGATAAGAGGTCGATGAAACAACCGAGACCGGAGGCTATGTGATGTGAGTGAGAGTGAGTGTATTTTGCAGTGAGGATGTCAAGCCGCGATGGAGTGGGGATGGGTGGTGCGAGAGACGAAACACCGCTTGTGTGTAGGGGTGCAAGGAGGATGATGGATGAGCAAGAGGTCAATATCAGCTGGCGACCAGCTCATAGACTGGCAATTGCGGTGGCGAGCTGCTTTGAGGTTGCGATTCCTTGGCTGAACGATTTCTTGGCTGAGCCGCGCCGGTCGAGTTTTTTTTTCCATCACAGCCAGCGCGACAAGAGGCACACCAACACTTGAAATTTTTGCTCAGTCTAAAACTACAAGCACGCAGCAGTTTGTATCCACGCGACCCTCAAATTCAAGTTGCAATTACAGTCCGCGAGAGCCAATACCGATCTTTTCTGCTTTTGTAATCAGGCTTAGTGATTACTTCCAAAATTCACTATTCAAAAGTAGCGCTCGTTGTATTTCGGCATTGGAGGAATAGTTCGAAAGGAATGAATCCACTTTGAATCCACTTTGAATCCACTTTGAATCTACTTTGAATCCACTTTGAATCCACTTTGAATCTACTTTGAATCCACTTTGAATCCACTTTGAATCCACTTTGAATCCACTTTGAATCTACTTTGAATCCACTTTGAATCCACTTTGAATCCACTTTGAATCCACTTTGAATCCACTTTGAATCTACTTTGAATCCACTTTGAATCCACTTTGGATCTACTTTGAATCCACTTTGAATCCACTTCGAGAGGCAGCAAAAATTCAACGCCTTCACCCTGGGCCCAGCGCGAATTAAAACCAGAACGCACGCCCAGAGACGCCAAATGAGAGAGAAAAACAAGAAAAATGCGCAAGATCCTTCGACAGAGCAGAGGTACGCGCGCCTCTCTCCACCCTTGCTCAACTCAAACCAGGCCCGAGCATCCACCTTGTCCTGTCCATTCCCTCTCAGAGAAGCATGGTTCTCTTTTCTCATCTCCCAGGCGAACAGAATATTGAAGCCCCCCCCCCTTCCACGAGAGCTGCCACCACTCAGCTCAACTGTAAAGTTGCCATTGGGCAACCAAAAAAACAAAAAGGAACCAAAATAAAAAAACGGCTGCGTCGGAGGGGAATCGAACCCCTGTCTCCTGCTATCGAGTTACTCCGTATCCTGAATGGAAGGCAGGAATAATAACCATTATACGACCGACGCCTGCACGTGATCACATGAACATTATTCAACTATCCCACTAGCAACTGAATATAGGAACAAGTTCGACTTGCAGCCTTGCCCTAAGAGGCTCGGACAGATTTCACAGAGCAGTTCTCAAGCCGGCTATCTCAATAAGCCACACGAGACACAAGATGGACATCTACACCCGAGCTTTGTGGCAAGCAAGATAGGAAGGGTAAGACTACAACCAAGAAGCAGTTCCATCAATCCTCGTAGACACCGGCAACGAGGCAAAGATTTCGCGGTGTAAAGTGTACATCCAGCACAGGTGTACGTTTAGTGTGGAATGTAGCCACACAATCAGCACTCGTGTTGGTCAGATCTGCTCCGCTGGTCTGATTAACTGCTGCTGCTGCTGCTGCTGCTGACGCTTGCTGAGATTCCAACGATCCCTTTGCCGGTGTCTTCCTTACACCTCCTACCGATCGAACATCCCAGCATCTCACACTGCAGTCCTCACTGCCAGTCACCAACAATGAACCATCGGTGGAAAAGTCCATCGAATAGATCCGTTCGCTATGGCCCCACATCTTTTTGATCCTTCGTCCGCTTGCCAGATCCCACAGTGAGATGGAGACATCGTTAATGTGCGCTTCTCTCGAGATGCCAACAAATTGAGATGCTGTACCCTTACCAGCTGCTGCTGAGGCAAGGTAACGTCCATCTGGGCTGATCTTCAGACACGAGATCGCTGATTGGTGTCCAACGAAAAGTCGCACACAAGCACCACGTTGTACATCCCACAATCGACAGCTCCGGTCAGACGAACCTGTAGCAAGGTACAAGCTATTCGAGTGGAACGTCAGACAGTCGACGTCCGAAAGATGCCCGGCGTACATTCGCAAGGGATTCACACATTCCGTGCTCCACAGACGTGCTGTCTTGTCTGCACTACCGGTGGCAAAGTAGGTTCCGATCGGACTCCACTTGATATCCCACACTGGATGCTGGTGGCCTCTGTAGGCGACTAGCGCGCTGTACGTGTCCAGACTCCACAATCTCGCTGTTGCATCGGCTGAACAACTCAGCAAATGTCGCGGTGCGGATGCCGACCCACCAACAGGGTCAAAGTCAACTCCGTAAACTGGCCCCGAGTGGCCGATCAATCGACGTGTTGAGTAGCATTCCGCTTCTCGCTGCCTCGCCAGTGTCTTGCTGTCCCGAATCGACGACAAATTCGGGTTGCCGCGAATCCCGCGCAGCTTCTCGCCCTTGAGCGACCAGACTTGGACAAAAGACTCTTCGAACCCAGCGGCCATCAGAGTGATGTCGTCGGAAAAGGTGGAGCATGTGATGCCGTCATCGGCATCGTGAAAGGTATAAGCGCACACTGAGGGAAGCGCGGCAACTCGAGCAGCGTGAGCGCCTTGCTCGCCTAGAGCGTTGACACTCCCATCACGTACACCCGACGTGAAGCTCAACCTCGACCATGTCGATCCAGATCCGTTAACTAGAGAAGGGTCGAGACGGATGCGCTTGCGAGCGTCGCGAACCCGTTGCACCTCGCGCTTGACATCAACAGTGCGGAAGGTGGGTGCTTGTGGTGGCATATCAGTGATGCTAGCTGCTAGAAGTCCGACAGAGAAATCAGGACCAGAGGAGGCACTAGCTTTGGCATCGGCAACAGTAGGAGCAGCAGGGCTAGCAGCTGATCGTCGCCGCTCCCATGGTAGTACTGATGTTGTTCTCCCCCTGCCAGATCCATCGGCATCTTCGGCAGTATTACCCTCGGCGGCATCTTGCATTGTCGTGTCGCCCTCTTGCTGCTGCTGGCTGGTGTTGCCTTCTTCACCGCCCTCTTGCGTAGTGGCAGTGGCCGAAGCAGATGCCTCGGCTTCTTTGCTCTTTGCCTCTGCTGCCTGCACAGCGGCAACGGTCTCCTTTTCGCGACGATCGACTTGCTGCAGTTGCTTCTGCACTTCCTTCTCCAACCTTTCCGTCAAAGGCACAGATGGATGCAGCTTGAGCTGAGGACCAGCGGCTTTGGCATTGAATACAGCTAGCGCATCTGCCCCCGAGACCGCATCCTTGGCCAGCGATGAGTGGATACGACTTCGACCTGCTGCGCTTGTGCTCACACTCGAGTATGTCGGCCCTGCACCGGTCAAACCTGTGCCTTCTTCCAACACAGCAGCGTCGAACTGGTATGGCTGTGCAGCGAGAACCTGAATCCTACAACGCTCGTTGATGATCTTGAGCATAGCCTCCCTACCTCGCCTTGCAGGTGCCTCTGCTTCCTCGAGCCCATTTGTTGTGCCCGAGACCGGTCCGCCTCCATCAGTAAGCCAACCAAGGAGAAGACTAAAGACCGTATTGGACATCTTGACCACGTATCGTTCCGAGCGAAAGCGTTGTGCCAGAGGGTCGGACTGGATGTGCGATGGCAGTGCAAGCGAGCGAATATGAGAAAGCAGTGCCGTATGCGTGGGCAGGAAGGATGCGGCGTGTGCTGTGTAGAGTGCCGAAGCAGCTGGACCGTGGCCCATTAGAACCAGATCGAGGAAGGAATGAATGAAAAGTGGTAGCAGGATGGGCAGCAGCTCAGGCTGATAAATGTCCAGACTTCCCTGACACCATGACTTGAGCATAGCGAACCCTCTTGCGCGATCCGTTGGGTCGAGCAAAAGTGCCTGTGTTGCTGCAGCCGAGACATCCCCATCCTCTGCGAAAGTAAGATCCGCATCCGCGGCGACGGCTGCTGTCTTGTCCTTGTCCTTGTCCTTGCTTGCTATATCATTGCCATCCTTTCCGTCTTTGTCCTTTTCACCGTCCTTGTCTCCAAGCGTGCGCGGTGCGTTCTTCACTGCCAGATCTTCGAGGCCAACTGTGGGTGCGCGTCCGAGCAGGTCAGCTGCAGCAGCGGCCTGTTCTGCGGTCGCACCGGAAGCAAGCGCATCAAGTTCAGCTTTGAAAGCAGCCTCGACTCGATCAAAGCCGCGTCTATGAAGGTATGCAAGCACAGCAGCTGTCATGTCGGGACTGCTGAAGACGCTCCCTGCTGAAGCTTCGTTTGCCGGAGCTGAGCCGGATGCAGTTCCCGGAAGAGGTGTCGAAGCATTCTTAGGTGTGGGTGCTGCCGCCGGTTCGGGTTTGTCTGTACCTCGTTGCTCCTGGTCAGCGGCAACCGCCTTGTCGTCCGCTGCCGTCGCGGATGGAGTGGGCATTCTGGTGTCTGTGCCGTGCTTTGACGGAAATCTAGATTATATGCTGCGCTGCCTTTAAGAGTGCAGACAAGATACGCAGTAGTAGGTCTCCAGCGCACAATACTACCTCTCGTCTTGTCAATCAGTGGCTGTGATATTTGTGGATAGCGGGGGATATGATGAGGGTGAAGAGTACAGAAGTACAGGATGAGAAGAACGGAGCAACAGTTAAAGTATATAAAAGCTACACAAAGCGTAGAGACAGTGAAGGTAGTGCTTACGGCCGAGTAAAAGGCCTGAGCAACTGAGCACAGACCACATGTGTCACAACCTACTCAAGACAAATGCTTTGTTATGTTCCACAGTCAATGCAGCTCTCTGCTGCTCTACTTTTGTATATATAGACTCCTTCTCTCTCTCGCTCTCTCTCTCTCTCTCACTATCATCATCATAAATCACATGAAACTTTAAATGGCTCCCAATGTGGGGCTCGAACCCACGACATTCATCACATCAAGAGTTCGATGCTTAGCATAATGCTGCCAGCAACAAGAGCAGGGCAAACCAGAAGGGATGAGAGAGATGATGATCAAGTGGCCACAGCTGCAGGCAATGGTCAAGAGGAGGGTTGGCTCACGCAGGTAGTTAGAATTCTACAGTTAGCAAACCCGGCACTGACAGTGGAGGAGGCAATAGTACGGGCGATGGGTCTTGTCACCATTAGCAATCAAACCCCATGAGGAGAGATGGAAAAGATCCCCAAGGATGTTTCGAGCTCAATTGCCCATATTAAGAAACTTAGTGATAGCAACTGGCATACCTGGGAGCCTACTTTCATCGACTGTCTGCAATGAGTATGCAATGCAAAGGAAATCCTGTATGGTGAGATAGCACCGGGAAGTGAGGGGTATGACAAGGACTTGGACAAGGCACTTGTAGGTCTTATCCATGCCTCCTGCGACCACAGTCTGGAGAGCTGCATCGATACATACACTGTTAGGGGTGCAGATGAACATGTCCAACTTGGTAGTACACTATATGCTAAGCTCAAAAAGGTGCTAACATTGAATGATGCAGTAAAACAAGCAGGCCTGCAGGACCACATCCACACTGTATGACTGTACAATCATGATGTTGTCAGGCTGGGCAAGGAACTGGACTCTATCTGGAATGATGCTGTGCAACTTGGGAAATGACTCGATGAGGACCTCAAGAAAGCCACCCTATACCACTGCACAGCACAAGATTGGTTCTACACCAACTCTGTCGATGCACTCAAGACAGCCAAACCAGATTGTAAGTACAATGAAGCCTACCATGCATTAGCAAAGAAGCAACAGGATGGTGAGGTTACTGGCCATATTAGAGGAGCAGCAAGGGTTGCCACAGGCACAGACCAGGCGGAGCAAGGACCCAGGGGCAGGTGCGACCCTCACAACCCCTCGGCCCCTCCTAAGTGCTATGCTTGTGGAGGGCCTAATCACATTGCTCGCAACTGCACAAACACCAACAACAACTCTGCACCGAGTATGGGCAGACCCACCACCAATCCAGCACAGGAAGCGAGTCAGTAGGAACTCGGGTGCACCCTCCTAGTGATCGGCGGAGATAAGCAACCAACATCAGATACCTGGATCATTGATTTGGGTGCAACACACCACATGGTGAATGATGAAAGAATGCTACTCACCTCGACAAGCAAGGATGGTCAGATCTGTATGGCTGGAAATGAAAGGCTTCAAGTGAAGGCCATAGGAGATGCCTCCCTTCGGGTTGGCAATGTAACCATTCAACTATTGGATGTGCTCTATGTGCCGGAACTTAATTCTAATTTATTATCAGTACAAGGTTTGATCAAGAATGGTGCATGGGTAACTTTCGATGAGTTTGGGACCATCATTAAGCAAAATGATGGCACACAAATACAATACAAGAGGAACAGAAGAAAAGGGCAGTTCGAAGTGCAGGGAAAAGCACTAGCCCTGGAGTTGGAAGAGACACTCAACAATGTCCCAGAGGACAACCAGAACACAGGAAGACACAATGATGTCCCAGAGGATGATAAGAACACAGGAAACCGAGACAACAACTCGAAGGAAGACAAAGATAGCTACCTCTGGCATGAGAGGTTCGGACACCCAGGATGAGATAAGACAAGGCAAATCCGGGCACACTACCTTGGCACTGATGAGAGAATGGAGCATGAATCAAAGCACTGCAATGCATGCAGTCAAGGAAAACAGACCCAAGCGCAGATGAGCCAATCGGAGTTGAAGAGAGCGGAGGTGCCACTAGAGTTAGTACATGTAGACTTGATGACAGATCTTAAGGGCCATGCCAACTACCACTACACACTAGTTGCTGTGGACAACTTCTCCTCCCTGATCTATGTGGAACCACTCTGCACTAAGAGTGCTGCACTCCTGGCACTGAGAAGGTGGATCACCAGGATGGAACAAGCAACAGACAGGAAACTCAAAACACTCTGCAGCAACAATGGAGGAGAGTGGTGCAGCTTAGGAGCTGAAGACTGGCAAACTCAAGAGGGTTTCAAGTGGCAAAAGAGCATCCTGGGGATCAGTGTCCAGAATGGACAGGCAGAGAGAGTGATCAGATTGGTCCAAGAAAAGATGCACTCAATGCTCATTGGTCGAGCTTGCCCCAGAGAGTTGTGGCCATATGCAATCACAGCAGCAGCACATGTGATGAACCTCACCCCATCAGCCACCAAGACCATCCCCCACAAGGCCTTTTATGGAACCACTGCACACAAGCTGGCCCAGCAGCTGCAAGTCTTCAGATGCTTGGCATGGGTCCATGTTCAACAGAAGGATCAGCAGGGCAAGTACAGGGCTAGAGCAAAGCCAGCCATCATGATTGGATACAATGATGAGCACAAAGCATGGAAGTTTTGCAACCCGGATCAGCCTGCATCAATTCAATGGAGCAACTCAGCAACATTCCATGAGGACAAAGGATGGAGTGATTGCCAACAGGAGGCAGTCCAGCCCATGGCAACCACAGAGGTTGAGGAGGAGGGTGTCACACCAGCCATAGTGGAGGAACCCCTACCAGCTGTAAACAGCACAGTAGGCGCCACCAACACAGCAGTACTGAACCTGGACCTGACACTTGGGGAAGCAATGAATGGTGAGGACGCCCAGCTCTGGAAGGAGGCAATACAAAAAGAGCTGGAAGGACTCAAGGCAATGGGGACTTGGGAGGTGGTGAATCACCCACCAGGGGCACCACTTGTGGACTCTAAGGTCGTGCTTCAGTTAAAACTTGATGCTGATGGTGTGCCCATAAAACACAAGGCACGACTGGTGGCGAGGGGCTTCACACAGAGAGAGGGAATCGACTACCAGGAAACCTTCTCTCCAGTAGCACCCCTCAGAGCAATCAGAGCTATCCTAGCACTAGCAGTACAGAATGACTGGGAGGTGCATGCACTGGATATCACAATGGCCTACTTAAACTCCAGGTTAAAAGAAGCGATCTATATGAAACCACCAGAGGGATCAGGAGTAGCACCTGGACAGGTATACAAAGTGGTCAAGGGCCTGTACAGCCTAAAGCAGTCTGGGCGAGAATGGAACCAGGAGTTCGACAGGTTTTTGCGATGCATGGGATTCTTCCAGGTAGAGTGCGCTCCCTGCATCTACACCAAGGGACGGGGCAAAGATATGGCCATTGTGGTCATCTATGTCAATGATACATTAGTCATAGCACCACGGCTGGAAACAGTCCTAAAGGTCAAGAAGCAGATCGGTCAGAGATGGAAGATGGAAGATAGTGGCGAGGTCTCTCACTTCCTTGGCATCAAAATTAGTCGAAACCATATGATGTGCACCATGATGATTGGTCAGTCAGGGTACATTGACCAAGTGCTGGCTAAGCACCTGGACAAATGCACCAAGCCAACCATGGTTCCAATGCAGAGCATACCAGAGGGAACCCTTGTTGCAAGTGCAGCACAACAGAAGGAGTATCTGGTGATCATTGGCAAGCTGCTCTGGGTTGCCAACAGCACCTGGCCTGACCTTAGTCTCACCATGAGTGTCCTTGCTAGACACATGCATGAACCATCCCAAGAGCATTATCAGGCAGCACAACGGGCCTTACACTACCTCGAAGGCACAAAGGATGTTGGATTAGTTTATAGGGGAAATATGTCGCAAGAGCCACTGATTGTGCATAGTGATGTGAACTGGGCAAGTGATGCCACCATTCAGAGAAGGAGTACATCGGGGTCAGTGGTGTTAGTGTATGGGAACCCAGTAGCCTGGAAGTCAGCAACACAAAAATGCATATCACTGTCTGCCATTGAGGTGGAGTTCATTGCAGCTATGGAAGCAACATGTGAGGTGCTCTTCCTCAAGCAGCTGCTGCGCTCGATTGGCATTGCCACAGGCACCCCAACAGTCTACTCAGACAACACTGGATGCATACAGGTTAGCAAAGACCCAGCACAGCACTGGAAGCTTAAGCACATCGACACCAAGTATCACTTCATCTGTAACAATGTTCAAGAGGGGAGGGTGCAAATCAAGTACATGGACACAACAAGGAATTTGGCAGATGTACTCACCAAGCCAATCGGGAGACAGGCAATACAGCAAGCGAGATCTGGGCTATACCTGCAGATACCAGCAGCAGTGTACAAAACGGAGTCCCCAAGCTATGTGATGATGTTAAAGAATGGAGGATATACCTTGAAACAACAGCATAATGAACAGGGTACACATGCTGTTGAGGGGGGGAGTTAAAGTATATAAAAGCTACACAAAGCATAGAGACAGTGAAGGTAGTGCTTACAGCTGAGTAAAAGGCCTGAGCAACTGAGCACAGACCACATGTGTCACAACCTACTCAAGACAAATGCTTTGTTATGTTCCGCAGTCAATGCGGCTCTCTGCTGCTCTACTTTTGTATATATAGACTCCTTCTCTCTCTCGCTCTCTCTCTCTCTCTCACTATCATCATCATAAATCACACGAAACTTTAACTGCAACAACCTCAATGCGAATTGCCGAACGCGCTATTTCCAACACGCGGAACTCGGCTCTTGGTGTTTTAGATTGAAAATTGTGAGAGACAGCGAGCTAACATTTCTAAAATAATCCTCCACAAAGAGTTTTGACCCAGTGAATGTTAAATCGTCAGATCCTTTTTTTATTTTATTTTTTATTATTATTTTTTGTTTGGAATCCCGAATCCATAGCCGAACTTCTCAATCGATGACGTCCCCCCGGCGCCCTTCAATAAAACCAACCCTCCCTTTCTTCGCTTCCTTGACATCCTACTCTCACACAGGATCAAATGTTTCCCGTTCAGCTTTCATCAGTCTAACTACGTCACTACTATAGAAGGACTGCATTCGATTCCCATTCGATTCCCATTCCATTCTCGCCCGTCCAGGATGTTTCTGGCCTGAGTCGAACCTTCTCGCCACACTTCTCGACCTTACCTCCACCAACCAGTCTGTTTTCCACAGTAACCCGACCCAGCAGCTGCTCCACCTCGACCGCAAAAAAAAAAAAGAAACCTCTCGGGCCTGCGAAGATGGAGGCAAGGACAGCGGCAGTATCTGCTCCAGCAGACTCTTCGTCCCCTGCTGCAAAGGACAACGGCTCGGGCGCGGGTGCAGCTGCCAACGTGGAAGCAAACGGCAAGACGGTCAAGTTCGACGGCGTCAACGGATCAGCCCAAAGCAGCTCCAAATTGCAATCTTCTTGTCGCTTTGCACGAATGAATGGCATCACCAACGGCAACGGCAATGGTGAAGCTAATTGCAGCTCTTCTTTGGCCAGCAAGACCTTCTTCCCACTCTTCCCTGGTGTTGCTTCTGCGCTCGACGAGAGTCCCTGGGCATCCGGCTACAACACACCCACCCTGGGCGCCGCCATTCACAACGCCGTAGAGCGCACTGAAGATGCTCTCCAAAAGCTCGTTGAGCAGCGCAAGGGTGGCCTCCTTGAACGCGTAGCCCAGAGCACCATCAAGGCTGCTAACCAGATCGAGCGTCTCATCCAATGGGAGATCTACAGCCGAGTCAACGCCATTGCCGGTCTCGACAACATGTGGTTGCTCATGGACGGCATCAGCGCTTTCAATCCCGTCTGCACTGCCACTTATACTTTTAAGGAGCCTGCCAAGCTGCAGGACCTCAAAGACTCGATGATGCGTCAGATTGGTCACTTCCCCAAATACACCCAAAAGCTCGCCGACGTTGGCCGCTTTTTCCACGGTAGCATCTTTATCGACGACGCCAACTTTGACATTGACCATCACCTGCGCTCACACACTTTGCCGGGCAAGGCTGGCAAGCGAGAGCTGGAGAGCTTCGCTTCCGACTTTATCGCTCAGCGCTGGGACTTTTCTCGTCCGCTCTGGGAGATGGCTGTTCTCGAGAACTTTGTCGATGAAGAGAGCGGTGCTAAGGGTGCCTGTGTCATTCGCGGCCATCACACGTTGGCCGATGGTCAAGGTTTCATCATGAGCCAGCTCTTCGTCACCTCGCTTGGCCCTAAGCTGGAAAGCATGATGTCAGAGGGCGCACAGCTGCTCAGCGATGCTAAGCAGGGCAAAGCTCTTCCCTCGCGCATGAACAAGAAGCTCGCTAGCCTCGACCGCTTCCATGGCACTATTGCATTGCAGCTTGTCATGATGGCGCTCTACTGGATGGCTTGGTACCTCTCGCTTCTCATCGATATTGCAGGCTGCTTTACACTTGCTATCTCGACAAGTTACTTGTTCCTTGCGACGTTTTGGCGTCAACACTACGTCACCGCAAGCTACCGTGGTCCAAGAAAGTACGAAAAAGAGTTCTCGGTCTCCAAGTCGTTCTCACTTTTGGATGTCAAGCTGGTCTCCAAGGCCTTCTCCGGTGTCCAACCGGGTACTCTGCTTGATAAGGTGCAAGGTGGAAAGCGATCCTCTCGTCCTCTCATTGGAACGCATCTTACGGTCAATGACATTATTTGCACTGTCATTGCCGATGTCATCAACGATGAGCTCGAGCGTCAAGTAGCTCAGCCTGGTTTCTTGAACCAGATTCGTCGCATCTCGCACAAGATCCTCCCTTCGCCCATTGGTATTATGGTGCCCATCTCGATTCGACAACCTGGTGACTGGTCGCTGCGTAACCTTTCTACCGGTGGTATCGCTTATCTGCCTACCACCAAAGGCCTACCAACCGACCTTCCTATCCTCCACCGTCGACTGCACACCACGCACAAACGTCTCAGCATCTTCAAGAACTCGCTTCTGCCCAAAATCTTGTTCCAACTGATCCAACTCACCGGTCAATTCCCAGTCCTCTTCCCAATCCCCTTGGGTTTACTCCCGAAAACGTCGTTCAACGTCCTCCGTTGGCCCACCGTATGGCTCACCGAGCGCATCCTTACTTGCTTCACTGCTGTTGTCACAAATGTTCCTTGCCCATCCAAGCAGCGCATTCAGCTTGCAGGCCAAGAGGTTGTCAGATGGACAGCTCTTCCTCCACAAGCCGGAAAGGGAACTCTCGGTATTGGCATTTGCTCCTATGGCGGTGATTTCAGTATCTCCATCTCAGCAGATCGGGTCGAGGGCAGTCAAGGAGTAGCAGCAAGATTGACTGACAAGTTCGAGAAGAGGTGGCGAGAGTATGTCAATGTCAGTCGTGAATTGATCAACAAGTCCGGTTCAGAGAGTAAAGAAGCCAACAAGTCGAGGTCTAACACTTAGCTCCCCTCCTTCCGCTGTGTCGCATCGAGGCAACGCCAGTAGCGAGCAAAGAGGCTCTTCTCATACAGCTTCCTCTTCTTCGAGATAAGTGATTAGAAATGCTATGGAAGCTTACAATACAGTTGCTTTCTTTCGTCTATACATTATGCTTGAAACTGTGCTGCTGCCAGAATGAGTCGTGCAATGGCTTCTGTGATTGGCTTGTATGCTGTCCAGATGTCTCGTGTGCATGTTGATGATGCAGACGAGGAGAGAGCGACATGTGTTTGCGTTAGGATATCGCTGGAAAGCGTCCTGAAGATTGGATATGCGCTTCCTCTCGTCAATGTCTACGGTACAGTGAGGAAGAAAGATGTTTGCAGCTCACACCCACGTGTTAGCTCTAAGAGCTGCTGTTGACAGCGAGACTTTGAACTTGTTGGAGGATACTTACAATACTTTCCTTTATTCCACCGACTGTGAGACCAGCCAAATCGATTCTAACTGATTGCTGCTGTGGGTCCCTTGCGTCCACATCCGCATCTGTAGAGGTGGACGTTGCATCGACAAACGCTTTCAACAGTGGAACAAGATGCACTTCCAATGCGAACCCTTCTTTGTTGAAGGTTGCGACTCTAGCTTTGATCTGTTTCAGTGGCACTCCTGGCGGCATCAATCCCTTCTCTTCTGCTGTCTTGAGGTAGGCATGCAATGCAGCCAAGTAGCCTTGCACAGCCTTTGCATCTCTTGGCGGTGACAGTGACTGTTGCTGCACGGCCAAAGCAGCGATGTTAGGATTCTGAGAAGGCAGCAGAGCCTTGATGTGCACTTTGCTTGGATCCTCTTTCTTCTCATCTGCCGTTTTGCTTGCTGTGTTGGTCTGAACTCTCACTGGAATGGGCGGTGCGCAGGTATTAGTCTCTAGCACCTTTTCTTGCTCTGTGAATAACCTTCGTTTCTTTCTAACTCGTAACATCCTTGCCTTTGAACCACCTTGCTTCATCAACCTCTCCGCTAGTTCTAGTGCTGGACCAACGGTTGGATTGTCTTGCACTCGATCCACAAGCTCTCCTGCGACTCGAAAAGCGTGATCGACATTGGCTCGATAGCGTTGCATCGTCTCGCCCGGTAGGGACTGGTTTGTATGTTGAGACATGAGCGGTGCAAGTAAGGTCGGAAGAAGGTGGGTGAGACCGGCGGGTCGATAGTCAAGCAGTGGAATGAGTTGTTGCATCTGAGAAAGCGCAAGCATGAGTTCGGTGCTGTTTGGTTGTGAAGTGGAAGCCGTGCATTTGCCACTTGAACCTGCGGATGAGGTTGTGGTGTCCATTCTGAGCAGATCTGCCACCGAGACTGGACTGTGCGATGGAACAAGGTCAGGTGGGATCAAGGCAAGGAAGAAAGGTGGGTTGTTGCAATGCCAAACTGACAAGTTGATCCAGCTTTCCGCTGCTGAGCCAAACGATCCAATGTGATGATGCAAGATGACGTAAGCCATTCATTCCATCATGGAAGGGATCGGGGGAACCCGATCTGACCGGAAATGGAGCGAGGATCGATCCGATCAGAGATCGGGTACAACACAGTCCCACACCTTGTCAGCCTAGATGATTAGGTATAGCAGCAGTGACATCCTACTTAGACTCCACCCGATCGCCAGTTATCGGGACCCAACTCCATCATCCGCAAGTCAGGCACAGATGCGTAGCGAATGGCAGTGTGAATCGCTTCTTCAGCTATTCGTCGACCTGCTCGCTGTGGTATCGCAGCACATAAGTTGCAGCAGCCAGGAGGGCGCAGAGTGTGAGAAGCAATGTTTGAGATTACTGCCAGGAATCTAGAGGGCATGTGTGTGTGTGTGTGTGTGTGTGTGTGAATGAGTGCGGAAAGATGAACTCCCAAAGACGATTGAGATGTCACTCTGCTTTTTCTTCTTCTCTTTTTCTTTCTTTCTTTCTTTCTTTCTTACTTGTTCTCCTTCTCGAGCTTGATCAAGAACTTTTCCAAGTCGAAAGCTGGGTGCTCGGGATCCGTCTCGACTGCAATTGCAAAAGAAGAGAATGTCAAAGACAAAGAAAGTGAGAGATAGGTCAGTGAGAGATACGTCAATGAGAGATACGTCAATGAGAGATAGGTCAGTGAGAGATAGGTCAGTGAGAATGCTCTTTGGTCGGCACATCTTATGTGCCTGTGAGGTAGCTGAGCACAAGGGCTTTTCATGTCCAATCGCAGGCGAGAGGTGAGGGCTAACACGAAGCAGCATGCCAAGAACAACGCGAGATCGACATATCCACCGCATGCGTAGGCCGCTCCTACTCGTGTGACACTGCAATATAAACCTTTGTCTTGATTCTGCCATACGCTGCGATGCAGGATTGGTCATGTTGGCCGCCTTGTCGATCCTACTGCAAAACTGCCGACAATGCTGAAAAGTAGTACCGCATGCTGATGTTGCGCCTCTGCCATGCGGAACAGCACACCTGCGAGAGTAGCATGCAGAATCGTGCAGCCGCAGTTGTCTTGCCTCCCTGACCAAGTGGTCTTTCAAGCCAATCTTGGGTACAGGCTAGACTGTAACTCTCAACTGCTCCTTGGCATAAGACCGTACACCTGCTACAAGGCGTGGTCGGCCACCGTGCCCCTTGTCCAATTATGTTGGCATGCTCAAGTGTCGCGATCGGGATGAATGCCTGTGTGCTGCGAATGTTGTACGTACCTCCTGAGTTGGTCTGTTTTGCAACGAGGCGGTCCTTATAAGCCTGCTTGGCCTTTTGAATGAGTTGCTCCTTGCGCTTGTATTCAGCGTGGGCGGCCTTGATGTCTTCCTTTGCTTGCAATGTCCTGCGGCGAAGAATGCCGTATCCAATACCACCGACAAGCGCCGAGTAGCGGACGGTCTGTAATGTAGCAAGGGTGAAGTGGTGAGAATGGCCAAGTGTGTGCAGTGCCGATGCAGAAGTGAGTGGAGAATGCGATGCGAGTCGGGGCAAATCAAGGTAGTGGGAGGAGAAGACAAGAGGAAGAACAAAGAGTATCAGTATATCAGCTCGTACTTGAGAGGGCTCGAACTTGGCCATGCTGCACAAGCCTGTCGTCCTTGATCTGGTGGTGCAAGCTGCTGATTAAGCTCCAGTGCGTATCGTCGCCGGCAGAGTGCTTGGTGATGCTACGAAACTTACGTTCAAGACTGGAGAGCTCGACATGACGTGCATGTGTTGATGTCAAGGAACGGAAAGCGACCTAGGATACGAGAAGCGACGACGGAAAAGGAATGCGAGAGACGACAGAGAGCTAACGAGGATGATCCGCGATGTCGAAAGGCATGAAAGGTGAGAGGTCGAGTTGAAGATGGTGAGGGCAAGAGCTATCGCAACACAGAGAGCAATGCGATTTGCAAACGCTCCCTTGGCCTTGGCCTTGGCCTTGGCCTTGCTCTCTCTCTCTCTCCCTCTCCCTCTCTCTCGCCCGAAAGGAATTCTAGAGAGGCAATTCTAGAGAGGCAATTCTAGAGAGGCAGCAAGTCAGAGCTTGGCTTGAGTTCTTCTTGATTTTCCTCGAGTTCCTTCCCGTCGAAATCGGGCGTTTGGGCGGGAATAGAAATGCGTTGTAATCAAGCGACTGTTGAATTATAATTCTAGTCTCGAGGTGAGGGATGTCAGGTCGAACTTGGCAACACTTTTCGAAGGCTTTGTTAGATCGACGCATGCTAGTAATTTCGTTGAATTCAAAAATCGAGAGCTGCGGCGTCCTCCAATCACAGTCGCGTCAGCTTCTTTCATTCGACTTTGGCTTGGAACGGGAAATTGGCTTATCTAAGCAGAAAAACACTGACACTAACGGCCGAAAGAGCGAGCTGGTTAGGAAGGGAAGCGGGGTCAAAGCAGCAGCAGAGGCCGCAAAGCTCGAAGCAAGAAGAAGCAACAGCCACGCCCAATTCGCTATCTCTCTTCCTCCTCCTCCTCCTCCTCCTCCTCCTCCTCCTCCTCCTCCACCGTACATTTCTCCATCTTCTCCTTCGGCCCCTTTCTCTCCACCTCGTTCATACTAAAAATGGTTCTTAACCAGGAAAAGCTCGCAAAGCTCCAGGCCGCCAGCCGAACCGGTACGTTTTCTCCGCAGTTCAATTCTCCGCAGCTCAATTCTCCGCAGCTCAATTCTCCGCAGCTCAATCAGCCACACTTGCATACACCTGCGAGCTCTACCTTCACCTCTCGCGAACCAATCTGAGCTCTCTTGCCGCAATTCTTCCGTTCACAGCAAACCGACTCGATGGCTGACACTCTGCTTCTCTCCTATCTCTCGCTCTGCTTATCGACAATTTGATCGCCCCCCCATTCGCCTGCTCTGCACCTTCTATGCCCGGCCTCCACCCACCTCGCTTCGAACGAGACATCTGCATATGCTCACCGGCCCCTATCAACCTGACCTCGTGAACCACATCTGCACGATCCGAATCCGCTTCCATGTTGCTCGTATGCTTGGTACAACACAGGCGGTAAGGGTACCCCGCGTCGTAAGATGGCTCCTAAGCCCAAGGGTCCCGGTGGTGAGGACCCCAAACTCCAGGCCGCCCTCAAGAAGCTCCAGGTGGAGCCCGTTTCTGGTGTCGAGGAGGTCAACATGTTCAAGGAGGACGGCAACGTTCTTCACTTCTCTGCCCCCAAGGGTAAGTTTCATTGGCATACAGCAGCTACCACCACACGGCACCACAGCACACGATCCCAGTCGCAGTCGCTGCATCAGATCTAGCAGGAAAAGGCGCGGCAACCTGCGAAAATACCATGTTGGCCTGACCATCGGAAGTGTGCTAGGTCGGAAAGCAGCAAAGCAACCATGACAGCCCAAGAGATAGCAACTGGCAAACAAGCCGAGCACTGGATCTGAGTGCGATTCGCGCTATCCAAACCAATCCAGCTGGTGACGGAGAAGCGTGGCAAAGTCACTGGAGCGACACTTTCGCACTGCCAAGGCCGCCGGTTTGCGGATGTTCTCAACAATGCCCAGCTGCTGATCGCAAAAGGAAAGTAAGACATTCGTCCTGACATTTGACTTTTCACCTTTGCACTTCTACTTTTGCTAGTTCACGGTCTCCCCTCTAGCAACACCTTCGCCGTCTACGGCAACGGTGTCGACAAGGAGCTTACCGAGCTTGTCCCCGGTATCCTCAACCAGCTCGGTCCTGACTCGCTCGCCTCGCTCCGCAAGCTCGCCGAATCTTACCAGGCCATGAACGCTCAGCACACCGCTTCGCAAGCCGCCGCCGGTGGTGCCTCCAAGGATGACGATGACGTTCCCGATGTTGTTGAGAACTTTGACGAGGCCGACAAGAAGGAAACCGAGGTTGACAAGCTCGACTAAATGCTCTCCTACTCGACTCTCTCTCAAGCATTGATAGCAAGCTGACTTTGACAAAGATGCATTAGTTTCCCTCTACTCGGCCCAGCCTCATGAAGCAAGCACGCCAGTTTGTTGTACTTTTCTAGGCATTCCTATCCTTCCTCTCTTTTGCAGCATTGCCTTGTCACACACCCAAAAATGTCACAAAGTTGATGTACAAGATCAATGCGAAGCTGCAAAGCCTTGGATTGTGCTGTGAAATGGCATGCAGAACAGTCTGTGCTCAGCGTGCATTCATTGAATGCCGCTCGGTGTCGTGTCTAATCGCTGAATGGTCAACTTGTGCACAGTCCTTCACTGAGCCAGATGTATTTATATCAACACGTTTTTGCCCCTTGTTGCAAGAGTCGAGGTCAGTGCGATCATGTTGGGAATCCATCCTCCCAGTTTGATATTGCCATTGATGAGGTCAGGCGATTTTCCGAGTGCATTGCCTCATTCAGATGTTGTGCAGCGGTCGACTGTAGTGTTTGACCTTGTAGGGATGTTCAAGTTGCTCGAGGACCCGAGTGATAGGGAAGGCGCGAGAGCTTTCGAGATAGTAGAGGGTGCCGTTGCTTTCCGACATTGCTGCTATACGAGACTGCGAGGAGACGCTACTCGAGATCGAGAAGAAGCCTGTCAATTTGGCCAAGCCAGAGCAACAAACCAGGACATCCAATGCACCTCAATGTTGGACCAGCTTCCAACACACCTGGCAGCCACAGACTGGTTCGAAGCTCAAGATCATGCACTTACCCACCATCCCAACCGAACAGCGAGGGCAGGCGGCATCTTATTTACGATTGGAAAGACACATACCTCGCCACGGACGAATCTTCTCAGATCCTTCTCCACCCTCTCAATCTCAACAAGCATCACTGGAGCTCTCACGCTAAACGTATCCCTTCCCTACCCAGCCCACCTAAGCAGCATCTTAGGATATGTATAAAGAAGTAGTAACATTTGCCACGAATGCTACCATTCTAATACCCAAGCTTTTCCCGAATCCTCCCCGTTAGTCTGAACCGAATGCTCCTTATAACTTTTCCATTGGAGCCATTCACTCAGTAAAATCGAGCCCTTCAGACCACAACAAAGAGTCTCTGGCCGCCATTCATCTTTTGGTAGTTGTTGGTAACTTGAAATATCACAAGCAGTTCCTTCATTGCTGTACAGACCCTGGGTGTAAGTTTGAGGACAATCCCATAATTTCCTAAATTTAGCCCGATACCTCTTAACATGTCCGCAAACCTCGCTCACCGTCGCCACTCATCAACACCCACCAACACTGCTCAACACTGCTCATCTCGCACCAACACTCCTCGCCCATACTGCGATTGCTTATGATTACATGTCTCACTTCATTCCACATATGCACATACAGACCATCGGTAGAAGCATATATGTATACCTGGCATTGCTTTGGAACTAGTCTTTTCCTAGAATAACAATCTTGCTATCTACTTTGCCACCCTCGCTTGTGCATTCCTCAGCATTGTCAATCCAGATCCATACGCTGTTTTTTGCATTGAGCTGCGCCATTATCATAATCCATTGCTGCTGCTGCTGTTGCTGGTGGTGGATTGGATGCTCCAGTCACCGAGATCGAGGGCAGTGCAGGCTGGATGTGATTGTTCCAAATCGGATTGGACACCACATTGAGCTGCTCGTATGTGGGTATCTCGGCAAGAGTGGTCAAGATTTTCTTAAAGATGGTTTGGATCCCCAAAACATTGAGGCAAGGATAGGTGTGCTTGTTGGTCACACCTTGGGTGCAGAGTCAAGGGCATTTGGTGCCATTGATTGTCTGCACTTGTGGGTGGAATTCTTGAGGTTTGCTGGCAGATGGCATTGAGGTGCCCAGGTCAAGCAGAATGCAGATCAGAGCCCTTTCAGTGAGTGGCTCTTCACCCAGCAGTGCATGCAAGGCATGCATGATTGATGGTCCAGCAAGCTTGAGCATTACATCTGGCTTACCCGATCTGGCTCCTGGCTGCAGTTCGTCGAAATTCTTGGGCTCCCATGCAACATAGGTCATGTAGCATGCAGCGTGCATCTCAATGCTGGTGGCAGCATCAACCTGCATGCCAGTGGGAATAACAAAGGGCTGATCGAGGTTGCCCATAAAGACAGGGAGGATGCCATCGATGCCATGCTGCGAGTGTGCCATTTGCAGTTCAACTCCACACTTCCAACAGCACCACAGGTATTCGGGAGAGATCTCGGTGATATGTTCAGGCAGCACATCAAAATGCATGAAGTTGGTCCACACCATTGTTGATGATGCTGCCTATGTTCCAGCCTGTGATCATTGCAGTGCCGGACAGGTGGACGAGCCATCCTGCTGCACTCTTTCAACACGTTGGTGCAATTCGTCAGCGTTGGCCTCATCGAGGTCAGCAAGCCCTGCAAGGATGGTTTTGAGAGGCACCACACAGGTCAGCACCTCGGCATAATCTGACTTCGTCTGTTGCTCGAGCACATCCAGCTCTTTGCACTTTGCTGCATCCCAGGCGACGATCAAGGTGATGTGTGAGGCTAGCTCTCCATGCATCCCCTTGAATCCAGCAATTGCCAGGTCCATAAGGCATCGGGTTCGAAAGTTTTCCAGGATGGAGCTGTATGGGTTGACTGGCTTCTGCTCCAATTCCACCTGCTTGTCACATTCTTCTATGGCAACAGGGAACATGATAAGTGAGGCAGTGATTGCCAGCATGGGCTCTGATGGAAAATTGACATACATGGAGGCATCATTGGATATGCGGCTCACCATACCCATGTGCTGGTCCACAGTCTTGTTTATGAAGAGCTTTTGCTCGCCAAAGAGGGTGCCACTGCCTTCATGCACTGGGACAAGGCCAAGGGCAAGCCACGAGGCCATGACACTAAAGCACTGCGCCATGTTGTCTGTGGAGAAATCCTCTTTGCCTTGAAGCTTGAAAAGGACATTGTCCCAGAAGTTGCTGCACTCGAGTGCAGGCCAGAGCAGCCATCTGTATCAGATGAGGTGGTCATGTGAGGATGCCTGCAAGGCACAGGAGAGGGCACATTGCTCCTTGGCAAGCACATTGACACTGATGCTGACAAACGTATGCAAAGGTGCTGAGTTCCTTCAATGGAGCAAGCTCTGATCATCAACATGTTCGACAAGATAAGTGGCACTGCTGCTGGTGCTCATGAGCACCAACCAGAAACTCAAAGTCTTGTATTTAGCCTGGAGCATGCCAACATAGTTCCAAGCATGGCAGAGGCTGTTGAGCTAATTGTTGGCTGCATAGGGTGTGGTGACAATCATCTTGATGCATTTGTCAAAGGCTACCAGCACTGGAGGCACTGGCACTCCAGCTTGACCCAAGTGCAGATGATGTGACATGGCAGTTAGCTGCTCTTTGAGATCGAGAAGAGGCTTCCAGAGAGCCACGTCAAAGATTGTTTTGTAACTGGGTGTTTGGAAGGATTTGGAAGCTTTCCCCTCTACGAGCTTGAGTACAGTTGGGAGATTGCTCACTGCAAGCTCGGATATGGCCTTGAAGTGGTTGTTGTGGGGATAGCGGTCAAGAGGCTTGGGCAGATCATCATCACAGGTGACTGGTTCAAATCGATTGAGATCACAAAGATGTTGATACTTTTTGGCATTGGTCTTCCAAGGTCTCAATGCTTGGGCAAGTGTGGTGAACCAGGCATGAAGGAAGCAGGCCACTTGAAGGTTGCACGAGCTGGAATAATCATGCTGTGCATTGGCAAAGTAGGTTTGGACACCTTGGTCTGGGAGTGGATAGCCAGCCTTGGTGTTGCTGTCAGTGCTTCTCTTGGGAAAGCAGACATAGAGGAGGGGGGTTTGTTGCTGACACTCGTACACCATGCATGTCTTGCCTGTACCACTCGACTGAATGATGGGGGTGCCACAAAAGTAAGGCTTGGGTTCATTTGGACCGAGTTTGTCATAGACAGCATTGAGGTGAGAGACAAAGGTGAGGAAGTGATTGGGTGTGTCACCACAGTAGGGTCAATGAAACCCTGTGGCAAGATGAATGTTGGTATTGTTCACCTCTGGTTCTTGGGAGTGCTTGACATGTGATTGTGCAAGGTGAATGATGACCATGGCAAGGGCCTGCTCAGGGCTATTGAAAGTGGGAAATCATGAGGCAAGGGCTTTGTAGATGGAGGTAAGCAGGCCAACAAGGTCAATCTTTGCACTGAATACATTGTTGAGCTCTGGTATGACTGCGCAAAACCTAGACTGGTGTTTGATGAGGCATTTGACCATTGAACTAAGCAGGCCAGGACTCCAAGATTTATCCTTACTATACATATTGCAACCCAATTCATGAAGGTCAATGAGAAGATTCCAAACTTCAATGCCTCTGAGCTGAGCTAGAAGACTTGTTGCCTTGACAGTGCAAGGGGTATTCTCGAGAGCTTGTTGGGGTAGTGCTGAAGTGGGCTTGACAGGCATGGTAGGATCCACAACCTGCTTCAACCGGGGGCTGTGATGTTGCAAATAAGGGTGGGATTTGAAAAAAGAATTGAGAAACTCGTAGATGCAATCCAGAGGCCATTTGTTACATTCGAAATGGCTGAGTCAATCATACAACATTGCAGAGACTTCGAGAAGAAGAGGTGATGATGTTGAGACAATCTGGTTGTCATCAGAAGATGGCAGAAGTAATTCGTTGAGCTGAGACCATTGTTCTTTGAGGCCTGACAACGGTGCTTTGCTGCTACTGGAGCTTGGCAGATGCGAGGGTGGTGAAGACGACATGATGGAATGGTGAAGCCCAAGCACACTAAATGCTAGCCAATATTGAGTAGACGAAAGATTGCGGCAAGAGAAAGCGTGTTGTGGTGGTGGTGGTTGTGGTGTTGGTGGCTGTGGTGGTGGTGGTTGTGGTGGTGGTGGTGGTTGTGGTGGTGGTGGTGGTTGTGATGGTGGTGGTGGTTATGGTGATGTTGATGAATCCAAACTGAGCTTTGACGACATGTGCGCGCGCATTCAGTTCAGCTCGGCTCCGATTTCCGAGTTTGGGTTGTGGTGTTTTGTTACGCTCTAACAGTTGCGAGGTTATGAATATATATTGGTGCAACACTACACAAAATGGCAGCCTAGATGGATTGCAACGATTGAAGCACATTGCCACAGACCATGTTGGTGTTGGTGTTGGTGTTGGTGTTGGTGTTGGTGTTGGTGTTTGAGGGGTGTCATTTCCGAGGATTCTGATTCGAGTGCCCATTTAGGCGAGCTTGCCTTCCGCCCATCTGTTGGTCTTGAGAGCCATGCTAATGGAGAGAAAGCAAGAAATCAGTATAAGCCGGTCAGTAAGGTCGAACGGAGAGACATGATTACGATCAAGAGGAAAACTTACTCGACAGCAGCCAAACCCCAGTCGAGACCGTGGTTGTGACCCTTGTTGGCTCCACGGCCCACGCCACTTCTTTCCAAAGCCTGGTCCTCGGTCAAGGCGGTGAGAAGGCCCAAAATGACGGGCACGCCAGTGTCCAATCCAATGCGCATTAACCCAGAGCAGCAGGATTCGGAAATGTATTCAAAGTGCATGGTCGAGCCCTTGATCAAGACACCAATACCGATAACTGCATCGAGCGCAGCCTTGCTGGGCCTGCCTGCCGATCCCGAGGTGGTAGGTGTAGCAGGCTTGGAGTTGCCATCGAGAAGCGAGGTGGCGCCCATGAGGTCGTAAGCGTTGGAGGAAGCCTGCACTTGCGAGGCAGAGATGAGACGAGAAACACCAAAGGGAAGCTCCCACGAGCCCGGAACGCTCTCGATGACGATGTTCTCGGGCTTGACGCCGGCTTTCGTCATGTTCTCAACGCAGCCCTTGACGAGAGGGGTGATGCATTCTTGGTTCCATCGCGCGTGGACGATACCAATCCGGAGATTCTCGGCGCCGGGGAACGAGGTGGGTGCCGGAGCAGGGCCCTTGATGCTAGCCATTGTTGCTATGGAGACTGTGGAGAAGGCTTTGAAGATGTCCGAAATGATGCGCACCTACTTTATAGATGCTAGCGAGACCAAGAAAGAGGGAATGGTGCGATGAGGATTGTCTAAGCGAGCGGCATTGACGTTGGATGGTGGAAGCTGTGATTCTGTTAGATCGCCTTCTTTGGTCCAGAGGTGATCGAGCCAAAGAAGCAGATCGTATCCCCGATGTCAACCTCAAAGCCGACGGAAAGCAAGACAGAATCGGGGCTGGACCTCGCATTTTCCCATATTTTCCCATATTTTCGGTGTAATTGTCGGCAACATCATTCCGGAGCATTCCGGAATGATGCTTCTTCCCTTCTTCCATCTTGACAGCTTAGCCATTGCCGTCGTTGACGTCGAACGCTTATAAGCAACACCTCTGGTCTTCATCGTCTTGACTCTTCTTGAACGTTCTCAAGACCACTAGGACGTGGAAAGGAGACATCACAGCGTCTCAGTTGTGGGCCCCTACATCACAGGATCTAACACCTTGCCAACTATTTGGCATCCACTTCACCACGGCAACTTGTACGACCCGAGACTTCTTGAACGGCTTCTTACCCGTTTCTTGGCTTCTTTTCACCTCTTTGCCCCCCCCCGGACAGCACTGTCCTCCACACCTGTCTCCTCCTCCCTAGCGTCCCCCAAGTTGATCATCTCGTTGTACTTCGATATGAGGACGTCGACGCTCCTTCGCACCTCTTCCTCCCTCGTCGTGCGATCCTCTAGCCAAACCGCCGCCGCAGCAGCTCGTCTTTCCGTCCTCGCCGCTTCCACTATGGCCAACAAGCGCGTGTCCACCGCCAACAGCAGGCTCAACCAGGTCTCTCGCCAATTCTCCTCTTCCCGCGCCCATCCTGCAGCCATGAGCGCATCTGCTCCCAACCGCGCTGCTGCTGCATCCAATGCAGGATCCGCGGCCGATGACCAGAAGCTCGTCAAGCTACTCTCCGAAGGCGGACTTCGCACCATCCTACTCAACCGCGAGAAGGCGCTTAACGCACTCAACCAGGAGATGGTCAACTTGCTCGAAGAGGCGCTCGATGAATGTCTCCTCTCTTCCACCTGTAACATCATTCTCCTTCGTGGTGTCGGTCGAGCTCTCTGCTCCGGTGGTGATGTTCTCGCCGTCGTAAAAGCCGCCGACTCACGCGACCCTGAGGTGCGCAACAGCGCTCTCGAGTTCTTCCGATCCGAGTTCCAGTTGGACTACAAGATCGCCCGTCTCGGCGAGGCTACCAACGCTCACAGCGCCGACAAAGGTGCCGAATATTTACGCACACTCATCAAGAGCAAGGGCAGCGAGGTTAAGAATCCTAAGACCTTTGTGTCCGTCATGGACGGTATTACCATGGGTGGTGGTGTCGGCCTCTCGGTTCATGCTCCCTTGCGTATCGCTACGGAGCGCACCATTTTTGCTATGCCAGAGACCGGTATCGGTTACTTCCCTGATGTCGGTGTCACCCGTGTTCTTGCCAGGCTCGATGGTCGCATTGGTCAGTACCTCGGTATGACCGGTGCTCGTATCTCCGGTGAAGAGGCCTACCTCATCGGCCTCGCAACACACTACGTCTCCTCATCCTGCATCGATGCTGTCGCTCACCGCCTCAGCATGCTCCCTGCCGAGAGCGCCCTCAACCCCTCGCTTGTCTTTTCCGCCATCCACGAGTTTTCCTCGGAGCCTCTCCTTGCCAAGGAGACGCTTGCCAAGTCTGCCTTCTTTGGTGACCGTCGCATTGCCCTCGACTACGTCTTTGGTCAGCTCTCATGCGAGTCCATCTTCTCCTGCCTCGAGGAGATCTCATCCGGCAAGCGCGATTCTCAAGCTGCAGCTGAGCTTGCCGAGCTCGGTCTGGCTTCCATCACTCCCCAAGTTCAGAAGTGGTCCAGCCAGACATTGAAGGATCTCAAGACCAAGAGCCCTCGAGCACTCAAGATCACTCACCAGGCTATCTTGGAGGCGCGCAGATTCGATGTGGAAGAGGCTTTCCGATTTGACATGCGTCTTGCAACTGCTTTCTGCGATCTCTCCATTGGTCGTGACTTTTACACCGGTGTCAGGCACGTCCTTGAACGTGATCCTGATACCGGCAAGCGTCGTACGGGCATTGCCGAGTGGGATCCTCCATCGCTCGACAAGGTCTCCGACACAACAATTCGTGCTCAGTTCTTTGCTGATCTCGAAACCGCCAAGGAAGCTGGTCTCAAGCTTCACGTTCCCGAACTCAAGGCTATCCCCGAACCATTGATGAACAAGGAGGCAAGACAGGCAAGAGACAGTTTGTTGCGAGGCAAAGGTCCATTGAAGTGGGAGCAGAGTCATAATGTCTTTGCTTTGCCAAGTGAGGCTGAGTGTGCGGCGTTGTTGGAAGGAAGTCATCCTGCCGCTGGAGCAGTGGTTCCGGATGATGCCGAGTTGGTCGATAGCTTGAAGAGGCATAAGGGACATTTGCCTGGCTTGGAGTTCAAGATCAAGGATTGGATTGAAAGGAAGCGTCGTGCCTCAGCATAGAACCTTGTCAGACGACGTCAGGTACTATCCATCCAGGCAGGAACACTGTACTCTACTCTACAGAACCAGAAGCTATGTTACACCTCACCAACAGAATGCCACACGACTCTCACGACATTATCAACCGAGCCCAGTACTAGCCATACACCAAACGGCCATTCCTTGCCACGAGCATACTCGAGCTGTTGATGTATCATCGGACGCTGAGCACCTCGAAATGCGAATGTCCTCACAGCAGAGATGTCTCACAGATATAAGCCATCTTCCCAGCATCGACGGCTCACTGACCCACCTCGTCCGCAAAGGCAGATTTCTCGCGAGTTAAGTTCGAAAGGCTGAGAGCTTGATTTGTTGCCGCCCTTGACGAGCGAGTGTAGTGCGATCGCGTGCTGTAGAAGACAGTGAGCACGGAGTTGAGTAGAGCCCGAGGTGATGAACCCCAGTTGCTGTACTCGATACCGGATCCAGTGATACTATACAGCCCCATCTCTGAACGAAACAGAAAGGTTGTAAAGCATGTTGCGACATAGGCACATGTATCTTCACTTGTCCAGTCGACTTGCTTCTATCCAACACTTAGACGTTCACAAAGTGAAGGAAAAAAAAGATTGCGTCGGAGGGGAATCGAACCCCTGTCTCCTGCTATCGAGTTACTCCGTATCCTGAATGGAAGGCAGGAATAATAACCATTATACGACCGACGCGATGGATATTCTTTGTAGAAAACTAGCTATTTATATACACACATACTGGCCCACCACACGCAGATGTTCCAGGAGGAGTTCGACGCACCAAGAAGGGCACAAAGTTGCGAAATCGCCGTCTTACAGCTGTTACTAGGCACAAATATGGCAACAGACTCAAGCTTGCTCGTGCGTTGGATCCTTCATCGCCGCTAAAGGTTTGGAGGTGTCTCAGGCAGACATTAGCATCGTCCATCTTTACAAGAGTGGACATCTGCCATGGTACATCTGTTCGTCTTGCACACTTAAGTCTATGCAGCTTGCTACAACACGAGTGGTGGAGGCTTACAAGCCATTGCAAAGCGACAACTTGAAGCTCTGTACTTGATGGGAAAGACAACTTTTACATCTGAACAGATTCAAAGCATGTTGGATGAGTGGAGGAGAAGGTAGAGATTTGAGGCCGTCAGAGTGGTTGATCTTGTGCAAGATGGTCCTGTCGTTGCTTTGAGCAGGATCAGGTCGAGTTTTGAGGCTCTGTCTTTCGGCAGAGCCAAACTTACACTTTGCTGGTCAAGAGCAGCTGAGGTGTTCAATTGTCACGTCGGAGGCTTAGGGATTGAGCGGTGGCGGAGCGGTGGCGGAGCGGCAAGCGAGCTGACTGACACCCAAAATCACACAGAGATTGATTCGTGCAGTCGGACATGGTCCTCTCACACGCATTCCAGTAGGGATCTCTGGCGATGTTGGTTAATGAGCGTCTCATTCTTCAGTGAACAGAGATTCGATGGAGCTATACCTTATCAACGACGAAGAGGCATCGAATCACAAGAGCCTCCCTGCGTCTCTAAAGGAAGCATGAGCGCTTACACATCTTGCCAATCCAGACTTCCCAAAATGGCCGTTTTACTGGGCAACCTTCCGGTACTGGGCGACAAAAGCGTAATCTTCTTCCTCATTGTATCGATATCCGCCACATGGACAAAACCCAAGATTGGTGCTCCGATGATTTCGTCGTCTGTGGGATTCGACGAGCTATCTGGCTGACCAGCTCCTCCTCCACCCCTCGGCGGCTGGATTAAAGCAAGTACGCTGTGCAATAAGCTCGTTTGGTCCGCCGCTGAGTTTGTCGGGTCCAGCTTGACAAGTTGAGTCTCTGTCACTGTACGCGATGCGCCGATGGGTAAAGCGGAAGAGGGAGCGAGAGACTCTTGACCAACTTTGTAGATCTCTAGTAGATCAAAGGGGATGGTTGTGCTGTATGGTGAGAGAGAGGGGATGCCGCCTAATGGATCCGAATGGCCGGGGAGCACAGCTTTTGGAACACCCCCTTCTGAGGAAGAGCTCGGGTTGGAGCCGCCATAGAAGTACGTTTTGACTTGAAGAGCTTTTAAGCGCGAACGATAGGTCTCGTCCAATTCGACGACTCCACCGGACTTGGGCAGTTTGACGACGTTGGCTCGCGGTAAGCGTTTGCCGCCGGAGCCAGGGATTCTTGCTGTTTCGGTAGCTGAGCCAAAGATCTTGGTCATTTCGAGGTTGAGCTTTTCATGACCGAGAACGACGATGGTGTCGATTTTGAAGGCTTTGATGCAGTGTTGGAGGAATGCGTACTTGTTCCTAGCATCCGAGGTGATGACGCCAGGTGTATCGATTAATAGACCAGACATGCGGGAGCGGAAGTCACGCGCGAGTCTACGTTCGACTCCTTCAGCTAGCCAATCGACGACTCTTCTGAAATGCCTTTCGTTTTCTCGTACGTTCTCCTTTCCTAGCCAGAGTGAGAGAGGTGCGACGCCATGAGCGGTGGATGTGCCAGGTGGGATTGCACCTGTCGTACCTGTGTTTGTACCGAAGGGGAAGACAGGCGAAGGTGACGGCAGCGATGCAAGAGGAAGCGGCGAAAGCGGAAGAGCAGAAAGACAACACGGCAAAGGAGGAGCACCGTCACTGGGATCCAAGTTGACCACTACAGGCCACCAGCCTGTAATGTCAGAACGTTTCTCTTCTTGCCTTTTCTCCTTCTTTGCTTCTTCGGACAGATTGGCTTCCATGTTGGGGTATATGATTCCATCGCCGCCTGTGCGCAAGCTCTCTGCTACTTTGCCTGCCTCGCCCTTTCCCAGGCTTGCTACTGCTGGCGATCGCAAGGCGTAATTGGCTAGGAGCTTGACTAAGCTTGTCTTTCCGGCAGATTCGGGACCTAGTACCATCACTCGTGGGCCCTGCCCTTCTGATCGATAGACGGTTGAAGCAGCTGACCCGCTTGGATCAGACTCGCTCTCTGTCTCGGTCTCGGTCTCGGTCTCAGTCTCGGTGCTCTGATGGGGCGTGCGTGGTGCGATATAGCTCGGATCCAAGACCGAGCCTGCCAGGGCGGAAAGCAGTTTTGCATCCGCCCTCAGCGCTTTACGAGCCTGGATCCTCTTTTGTTCGAGAAGGAGATGCAGATTGGAGTAAGCCGTGTAAACAGGCGAGGGTTCGTCAGCAAGGTACTCGGTGGAAGCTGTTCCAGCGATCTCGATCTCAGCACCTTTCCAAGAAGAGACTGCTGCTTTGGCTTCATCTGCAAAAGGATACCATCGTTCCTGAGTGCCGACGACGAGTTCAGCTCCAAAGATCTCCGCGTCGGGTTCCTCGCCTGCTTGTGTTCGGTTCTGGACGAGACGGATGGACAGACGTTCTTGCGGTTCCAGTTCGAAGCGGTATTCGGATCGTGGCGGGAGAAAGACTCGCCTGTATTGGGAGGATCGCTCTTCTTGGTTGTCCATTTGGCACGATCAGCTCTGTTGAAGTTGGACAGGTATGGATCGAAGGAGACCAAGCAAGCAGGATGGGGAGCAAAAGTTGCACCCTGTCCAAAACGCCATGCATGTTAGGCAAAAGTTCTTACCCGAGTTCCGTGAAAATCCTTTTCCCGATCTGCACAAATCAGGCTCGATTTTGAGAGATCCCGATTGGTTCCGCAACTGTAGTGAGGAGTCGGCAGACTGCCGCAAGTTAGGGCGAGGCGATATTTGTGTTAGGTCGGGACCGGCATTTTCACCAAGAGATGGTCTGTGCGTCACTCCGCCTTTTGAAGTTTTTCCCGAAAGAGATGGACATGGTACAAGGTTGGTCCCTGAAGATGCTCCTTCATATCCGATGCTTTCATCCCATCAAGGCCTACGGAGGATAAGGCTTGGACGATGGAAGAAGGAGGGGGCTAAGGCAAGCTTAGAGAGGTAAAAGGTATCACGAGCGTCACATAGATGTAGCTCTACTGTAATCATGCCCGGCTAATCATGCCTGGCTAATCATGCCTGGCTAATCATGCCAGGCTCTGTGTTTCGTTCAACTGGTATGGTGATTTCCCCGCTCGAGCCATCATCCCCGTCGACACTGACATTTCTCCCGCAAAGTCGATCCAGTTTGTCGCGGTCAGACGGTTTCCTATATAGACCTCCACCTTGCTCGTCGCGGTAAAGTACTCGTTGTCTCTCCTTCCTTCTTCACCTATATATACCAACTTGTCATCCTCCCTTCTACATCGCCTCAAGTGTATCCTTTCCCCGACTTTGGTAGGATCGACAAGGTCTTTGCGTATCAGCTCCTCGTCCCGCCTTGATCACTGTAACCAACAACAACAACAAAACAGCTAGGTCCTCTCCGAACAGTCGCCTTCAGAACGCTTCTGGTCTTAGTACAGCATCATGTCTGAAGCTGAAGTTCCCGAGGTCAAGACTTACGACGTCCCCTCGCGTCTCTTGGGCAAGGATGGCCGTCCTGTTCCTCACGTAGATGCGGCTAGGTACGAGAAGGACTACCCCGAGTCCATCAACAACACTGACGAATTCTTTGGCAAGGTCGCTCGTGAAATCATCGACTGGGATGTCCCCTTCAAGACGGTCCGCTCTGGTGGATTTGAGAATGGCGATGTTGCCTGGTTCAACGAGGGTCGTCTCAACGCCGCTTACAACTGTGTCGACCGATGGGCTCACAAGTACCCCGACCGTGTCGCCATCATCTACGAGGCTGATGAGCCAGGCCAGCACCAGGAGATCACCTATTCGCAGCTCCTCGTCCAGGTCTCGCAGGCCGCCAACATGCTCAAGTCGCTCGGCGTCAAGAAGGGTGACACTGTCATTGTCTACCTTCCCATGATTCCCGAGGCTGCCGTTGCTCTGCTCGCAACTGCCCGTATTGGTGCGATCCACTCGGTCGTCTTTGCCGGTTTCTCCGCCGACTCGCTCCGTGACCGTACCAACGACTGCGGCGCTCGTGTCGTTATCACCACCGACGAGGGTAAGCGTGGTGGCCGAACCATTGCTACCAAGAGCATCGTCGATGCTGCCCTCAACGAGTGCCCCAAGGTCGAGCACGTCGTTGTTGTCAAGCGTACCGGCGGTCAGGTCAGCATTGATGAGAAGCGCGACATTTGGTGGCACGAGGCTTGCTCGCGTGAGCGTGCTTACTGCCCTCCCGAGTCCGTGAGCTCGGAGGACGCACTGTTTATCCTCTACACTTCCGGTTCCACCGGTAAGCCCAAGGGTGTTGTCCACGCCACTGCAGGATACCTTCTCGGTACTGCGTTGACCTTGCGACACGTCTTCGATGTTCACCCGGACAAAGGCGACCGCTTCGCCTGCATGGCCGATGTCGGTTGGATCACTGGTCACTCGTACATCGTCTACGGTCCCTTGATGAACGGCGTTACCACGCTCATCTTTGAGTCTACCCCTGTCTATCCCTCTCCTTCGCGATACTGGGAGATCGTCGACACCCACAAGCTCACCCAGTTCTACACTGCTCCTACCTCGATCCGTCTCCTCCGACGCTTGGGTGAGGAACACGTCAAGAAGCACGATCTCTCCTCACTTCGTGTCATCGGTTCCGTCGGAGAGCCTATTAACCCAGAGGCTTGGCACTGGTACAACGACAACGTTGGACGACAGCAGTGTGCCATTGTTGACACTTACTGGATGACCGAGTCTGGCTCGATCATGATCACTCCTCTTCCTGGTGCTACCAAGGCTAAGCCCGGTTCGGCGACCTTGCCCTTCTGGGGTATCAAGCCTGTCTTGCTCGACCCTACCTCGGGCAAGGTGCTCGAAGGCAACAACGTCCAAGGTGTTTTGGCGATTGGCCAGCCTTGGCCCTCGGTTGCACGAACCGTTTACAACGACCACCAGCGATTCTTGGACACCTACATGCGTGCTTACAAGGGTTACTTCTTCACTGGTGACGGTGCAGCTCGTGACAAAGACGGTTACATCTGGATCAAGGGTCGTGTGGACGATGTCATCAACGTTTCCGGTCATCGTCTCTCCACTGCTGAGATCGAGTCGGCTCTTATCCAGCACCCTGGTGTTGCAGAGACTGCCGTCGTTGGTATTCCTGACCAAGTCACTGGTCAGACTATCGCGGCGTATGTAACCCTCAAGCCCGAGTTCAGCTACGACAGCGCAGACGCCCTTACCAAGGAGCTCGTCATTCAGGTGCGAAGAAACATCGGTCCCTTTGCTGCACCCAAGAAGATCATCATCGTTTCAGATCTGCCCAAGACCCGATCCGGTAAGATCATGCGCCGTCTGCTCAGGAAATGCGCTTCCCACGAGACCGACAACCTTGGTGACTTGTCGTCGTTGGCTGATCCTTCCGTGATTGATCACATCAAGGAGAAGACCAACGCCTTTGACAACAAGTCAAGAGGCTCCGAAGTCTAAAGGAATCGTCAGAATGTTGGAAAGTAAGCTCGCTTTTTCCATCTCTCTCTCTCTCTCTCTCTCTCTCTCTCTCTCTCTCTTTCTCTCTCTCTCGTAATGTAATTGGTTGAGATCAATGATGAGAGCTCTTTGTGTTGTGTGTGGATGCGGATCGTTAGTGATGTACACATGCATCCCGGTCGTAAGAGCTAGACAGTAGCCACTTGTACTCCATGGAGCATGGGGTAAATCCGAAATCGCCTGGCTTCCTCATAACAACCGCTCTTTCGCCGCCCCAACCCGGCGGATTAAGAATCTTTGCTTGCTTGCTCGAGCCAAGGCTTTGAAAGGATGAATTGCTTCTGCTTGTGGCTCATTGATCTCCTTACGATGCAGATTGAGTGAATTGTCCTGTGAGCGAGCTTGCGATGAAAAAGACCTCAAAGCAAGCTTGCTGTCAGTAAGGAATGCGGGCAAACTCAGCTCTGTTTGAGCTTAAATAGGGCTCGCTTCTCGCTACCACTCTACATTTTATCTTGCCACCTCGCCCAACTTGCAGGTCCATGTCGTATCAACTGGCGACCATCGCAAGACACCTCTCCCGCACAGTATCAGGACGGACAACAGCTTTACGCAACATGTCAAGCATCAAAGCGCTCCAAATCGAGGGTCAAGGTGGTCCTGAAGTAGTCCAAGTGGTGCCTATCCAGCCTCCCACACTGGAAGGCAAGGGTAAGGTTATCGTTCGCAACGAATATGCGGGAGTCAACATGATTGATACCTACCATTTCGGTGGTCTCTACCCTCTGGAGACGCCTGTTATTATTGGTCAGGAAGCTGCAGGTGTTGTCGAAGCTGTTTCGCCAGATGTCACTTGGCTTGCTCCCGGAGATAAGGTTGTCCAGTACGGTGGAGGTTCCTACAGCGAAAAGCAACTCGTTGACGCTCAACGAGTCATCAAGCTTCCCGATACCATCGACACCAAGACGGCTGCTGCATCTTACCTTCAAGGCTTGACGGCACTTACATTGCTCAAAGAAGCTCATCCTGTGAAACAAGGCGATTGGCTTCTCGTCACCGCCGCTGCAGGTGGTGTGGGACTTTTGCTTTGTCAAATGGGAAAAGCATTCGGAGCCAAAGTGATCGCCGTCACTTCCACCCAAGCCAAATGTCATCTCGCTCTATCCCACGGAGCAACACACGCAATCCTCTACAACAAAGAAAACCGCCAGGATTACATCAAACAAGTCATGTCCCTCACCAACAATCACGGTGTAGACGGCATCCTCGACGGCGTTGGAGCAGATACCTGGGAAGCTAATTTTACTATCGCTGCTCGCAAAGGTACGATTGTTACTTTCGGTAACGCTTCCGGTCCTGTTCCTTCTTTTGCCCCGCTTAAGCTTGCTGCCAAAAATCTCAAGGTCTGTAGACCAACACTGTTCAACTATGTGAGCACGCGGCAAGAAAGGGAGAGCTATTCCAAGGAGCTCTTTGACTTGGTCGAGAGTGGAAAGGTAAAGATCAATGTTCATGAGCAGTACGAGTTCAGTACGGAGGGAATGCGCAAAGCGTTTGCTGACATTAAGAGTAGGAAGACTACTGGTAAGCTGATTGTTAAGATCTAGCTCGAATCAAAGGTGTATCGAAGTGTTAGCGATTGACTTGAATGTAGACAGATTATGACAAGATACGAGCGAGCGAGAGTGTCTCATGTGAAAACTAAGGCCAAATGACAGGCTAGAACAACGCCGGAGGGCGCCAGAGTCCGGCTGCTCGATGAGAAGGAATGGCGATACGAGATAGATACATGTCGTGAGAAGGGTGGGATTAGTCGGTTTTGAGAGGAGAGACGCTTCTCGACAGCGATCCTTCGTCAGTCTTGGCACCGAGTGCGTCAGCTGCAACAATGCTTCCTTGGCGCTGAGGACTCGTGCTGCTGCGACCTGACCTCCAGCTGGCAGTCGATATGGATCGCTGGAAAGCATCCTTCCTCGCCGCACCCATGCTCGGCGACACACTTCCAGACGGCGGCGTGTTGATTCCAATCCCTGGAACAAGCGACTGACCCAAAGCGCCAAAGTTGGCATCCGAAGCAGCATTACCCGGTGATCTGCCGAGCATTGCTCCAACATTGGGGCAGGAGTTGCCGTTGGACTGACCAGCAAGTCGACCAAAAGGCTGAGATTCTGCAGAGGTGTTCAGACTAATTGCGATGGGTGAGCGAGGCGGCTGCTGCTAACCACGGAAGTGAGAGAAGCCTTTACCATTCGGCGAAGTTGGGCTGGTAGCCATCAGATTTAAGCTAGCGTGAGCAGCTGCGAGCTTGGCTCCGTCAGCATTGGGCAGACCTGCTGCAGCGCCGAAAGTACAGATGGTAGGTGTCCTAGCCATCGGCTGCACCGCATTATTGACACTATAGTACAGGCCTTGCTGTTTCAGATCATCGTACTTGGCGGAATGAGAGCTGAATTCGAGCAAGATGCCTGGCTCCTTTGTAATCTCAAGCAACGCAATGAGCTTCTTTCCAATCCTATTGACCGCTTCGACATTGCTCATATCTTTGACCCAAAGCGAGATTCGATCGCCCCTTGGCCTGACACTACAAACAGCACCGCACGTTTCATCCTCTCCATCCATCCCTTCTCCAATCAAGGCCAAGACAAGCCACAACCAGCTTCGATCAACAAGAGCTGGATAGCGCTGGCGGAAAGTAATGGTCCATTTGCCACCCTTAGCGTTCCGTGGATCTTCCCACATCGGCTTAATTCCGTCTTTGAAGAGATGGTAGCTCGAGTGTCGTTCGAGCTGCGATGGGCGATGGAGCTTGGCGAAACATCCAAGGAAGCTTTCGACGCTAGCGTAAGCGCCGATGGTGCGAAGATTGGCTTCCCAGGAGGAGCTGCTGAGGGTTGCTTTGGGTGGCGCTGGGAGAGAAGGAGAGGGAGGTGGCAGGCCGGGTGTTGAGGGTCCAGCAGAGCGAGAGTCAAAGTAGAGGGTCCATTCGTGCTGAAGTGGATGTGTGGGCGCTTTGGCTGGTGGAGCAGGGAGAGGGTGGGTCAACTTCTGACTACCGACCATGCCCGTGGTTGTTGGTGTTAGCGTGGGCTTGCTTGGTGCTGGGGTCGCTCGACTGGTCGCTGGATTGCTTTCCTGCACCATCGGCGACAAGGCGACCTTGGCTTCAAGGTTCGAGCTGATCTCAGGTGACTTGGCTAGACGACTGGCAGCAAGCTTGGTGGGTGATGAGGGTGTGCATTGCATGTTGGGACTTGTATCGTCATTGCTGGTAGCCAAACCTTTCCGTGAGAGTCGGTCTCGGATCTCTTCGAGACTTGGAAGCCCGTTAGGTAGGATAGGCTTGGTCGGGGAGCATGCGCCCGAGGAAGGAGCCTTGGGCGACAAGCATGAGGGCATCATCTGCTCGTCTGCCATCTTTGACGGCGATGCCGGGAGCATTGGGCTCTGACGATCGCCTTGTTGAGCAGGCTTAGACGAAGCCGTGATCCTTCCGGTCAGCTCGAGTCGCGGTCTTGTCGCATCGTTGCTGGTGCTTCCACCTAGGATCTGCTTGATGGGCGAAGATGCAGGTGTGGATAGCTCTCTGTCTCGGTTGAGACGGGCAGCAATGTCACTGAGCGTGGGTATCTTGGAGGGGGAACGCGTGTGTGCCACCTTGGAAGGTGAAGCAGAACAAGAAGCGGTTGGCATCGTGTTCTCGTCTTGTGCCAATGACTGCTGCGAGTCCATGATCCGCATGGGAAGTCTTCGGATGCTACTTGTAGCCATGACTAGTGCCCACACCTATCTGTCAACACAATTTGAGTGAATGTATGTCGTTGGAAGAGAATTGAGATGCCTGGTGCAGATATCGTCGGTGGTGAAGATGGAAGGTGAGGGGAAGGAGGCAAGTAAGTCTGGTGTAAAGGTCTCAAGAAAAAGCAGGATAGGTGCACAAGAGCGTTGGAAGCTGCAGCGAGACTCGCTCATGAGATCTGCAGGAGACTCAAACACGGACCCTTCTGCTGAAGGTGATGCAGCAACAAATGAGGTGTGGACAGACACGCACAACGTCGTGCAGCGTACATTGCTGCCAAAAGGCAAGTTCTTTGACGGGAACAATCAACATGAGATTGGCGGGGACTTGTGCCGGCGTGTGCGATCAAGATATGGAAGCTAGAGCGCGCATCGAGAGACGCCAAGATCGAGGGGAACGATGTATGACAAGGCCAATTGGACCATCATGTATGAACTCTGCATCGGGGGTGGGCATGGCAAGCAGGGCTAGGCTGCAACTAGCATGTCCTGGAATCCATCGCAAAGGCAAGTCGACGAGAGGGTACAGTAGGGAGGCTTACGATGCTGCTAACAGGACCGCAGCACAGGTCCGAGGTTGTGTGGGCGCTCGTGCTTTATCTCATTGAATGGGGACCATGTCGACTGGAATGTGTGGTTGCTGCTTGGCGAGTCCAACAGCTGCGAGAAAACTTAGGCTCGAGTCACCTTTCTGCAAGGCACGCATTCGACACAGCCTTGAAGTTGCTTCTTGACCACCCAGGCGTCTCTTCTCGACAGTCGTCCATCGATGCGACCATTCCGGGCAAGCAACAGCAGAAGAGAGGCCGAGGCGATCAGCAAGTTGGATCCTTGTCCACAGTGACATGTCACGTACATTGCTTTGGATCGCAATCGAATCGGCGATCCATCATGATCACTTGCATCGGGAACCAGTCGCGAGTCGCGCTTCGCGATTCGGGATTCGGGATTCGCGATTCGCGATTCGCGATCCGAATTTTGTTGTTGAAGCAGAATGTCGGTGCTCCGCGATATCGTCTTCTGGCCCCTTAACCTCTTCTGACCCCTGATCCTCTTCTGGCCCCTCTTGTGTCAGAGGCCAACTTGACTCGAGAGATGGGCTTGAGCGGTCCGTGGATTGGGATCACTAGGAGGTACGCTGCTGCTTCACAGTAACTCGATACGGCGTCGCTATCGTCGATGGTCTCTTGCTCCATTTGAAAGGTTAGATGGGATCAAAGTCTGTCACGCCAGAGTTGCTGGCCAGACGCGTTTTTTTGGTTGTTTTTTTGCTTGCCAAGAGAAGGCGGCGGCGGCTGCTGTCTGAATGAGCCGAAAAGTGGAAAAGGGATGTTCGTTGGGAGAGGAGCATGTGGGCACGAATGCACGAATGCATGGGTGGATGGATATAAAAGTGGGCCAGATGTTGATCATCAGAGCTTGACAAGCTTGACAAGCTTGGCTACCATAATGGCAAGCTCTCGTCTCTGCTCTGCCCATCCTCAAGCAGCTTTGAGGGTATGAAGCGATTCAGTCTCGAGAAAAGAGCAACCGAGACAGCCAAGGGAGGGAGAGGGTCAACAAAAAGCATATCATGAAGATTGCCTTGCCTACTTCTCCCTACCTCTCTCTAACCTCTATCCTACCTCTCTCCCACCTCTCACCGCTGCCCATTCGGATGGTGTCAGCTGGTTCGGCTTCTCCGTTGCTTGAATCGAAGCGAGATCTAGTCGAGCCCGACCTGACCAACTTGCCCTTCATCCTCCTTCTCTTCTTCTTGCCTTGCCTTGCCTTGCCTTGCCTTGCCTTGTGCCCCTGCATCCATCCACTTTTGATTCTTTGGTCCCTTCGGATACTCCGTTCGTTTGTCTTTTTGCTTTGGATTCGACTTGGTCTCTGCTGTCTCTATCGGATCGATTCCGAAGCTGATTCAGTGAGAGTTTTTCCTATCTTTTCTGTTCTTTTGGTTTCTATTCAACAGCATCGGCGGCTATCACCAGGGCAGGATCCCAGTGACGCCACACAAGCATCCATCGGAACTGCTTCTCCTCTTCTCCTCTCCTCCTCTCCTCCTCTCCTCCTCTCCTCCTCTCCTCCTCTCCTCCTCTCCTCCTCGCTAGTCTTGGCTGAATCGACCTACAACCTTGTTCGGCTTCTCTAATCGTCTTAGTCACTCTCCTTCGGCCCTTCCGACCAAAATAATAATAATTCGACACTCACCGGCATGTCCTCTTGATAGGCACACTTTCAGCGCCTTTCCCTTAAATCCAAAAGACTCCTCTATAGCGGTCGCTCTTTCCTCCTCTGGAAAGCAAGGCACGATGGGCCAAGGTCAATCTAGGCCTCCTGCCGTTCATCCCTCGAGAGTCAGCTCTGAAAGGATTGCTGACTTGGAGGCATCTCGTCACTATCCAATCTCAGCTTCAGGCTGGATCAAGAGACCCCGTTCCAGATTCATCGCTGGCCGACGAGATCGAGTCTCTTCCACCGACATCATCTCATATCCTCATCACCAATTCATCCCAAAAGAGCAACGCCAACGTTCGGCCGGTCCCATTCGCAGCCGTCCAGAGCCATGCGAGTATGCGCCTCGACCTGCCCCTCAGCCACCGTGGCTACCCTCCTCACTTGCTCTCTCTCCCACCACAACCTTTCCCCCTACGAATGTCGTCGATAGCATAGCTGATGCCTCAACTATCCTCAACCCGTTGCAGCCATCTGCAGAAACGTCTCCAGTCAAGTCCCTCAAGCGCAGTTCGGCTCATCGAGTCAGTGCTAGGCCACGCGATCCACCCCTTCTCGAAGAGCCGGAATCCATCAAGGATCATGCAAGTGTCGACGGCCATTGCAATCCTCCTCAAACGCCTCCATCCGCCTCCGACCACGCCCATGAGCCGGTTCCTATCTCACCCTCTCTCGCTCTAGCTCTCAAAGCCGGACTTGGCTCTTGTTCGCTGCCAAGAACACAGGATGATCATTTGGCGGTCGATGCTCACAACAATGCCTCCATCACTTCAGCAAGATCTAACCAGGGTGGCCCCGATCAACCCTCATCCCCGCTACAGCAAGGCGCTGAGTTATGGACACGCACTCCTCGTCCTTCTATCCCCGAGGGCTGCCAATCCGAATTGGAAGTCTTTCGTCAAAGTCCTAGTGACCAAGCTTCACCTCAACCCTCAGCTATCGCCGCATCGAGTCGTGCGCAGAACAGCCGCTTCTCTTTTAGTAGTAGCCATCCGACCACCTCTAGCAGCGGCAATCAGAGCGATGCCCACTCTGGTCGATGCCGCTCATCCATATACGCCACTCGGATGGATCTGCAGCGCTACAGCTGTACTGCCTCCGAGACCGGCGATTCAGTTCAGAACCGTGCCTCTATCTCCGTTTTCAGACATCCTCCGCCGCACTCCTCTCGATCACAGTGCTACACTCGCGCCTCTTTATCGTCCATTCAAGCCAACTTGGCAGTACCAGCCACTTGGACCCCTGCAGCCAGTATCGCAAGGAGCAAGAGGCATTCAGGCACGCAGCAGCCCGCACACCAAAGATCCAATCCTAGCTTGTTCTCGGCATCTTCAGATTGCGATCCTGCATTCTATCGCGATCAACATGCCGACCAGATCGCAACGGCCAGCAACCAGACTAATTCCATAGATCCGGCGACGCTCGTACATCGCGCCTTCGATAGCTATGAGGAGCCAGCGCAAGACACGGCCGCCGCAAGTCGACGCTCGAGCATCTTGCGCTCGATCCACTCGGATGTCGCTGGCTCTCGCCAATCTTCGCTCGGGACCAAGCAAGTGGAACAGCTGCGCAGAGGTCCACAAGTCGAGCTGCACCAAGACTCGATTGACACCATCTTTGATGTCCAGCCTAACCCTGTAGTCAGGCGTTCTAGAGCTCTCACCTTGATCGACAGGCTGCGTGGCAAGTCTGCCAGAGCAGCTCAAGCATCTACAGCAGAGGCCAACACGGTCACAGTGCAAGCCCAGCTCCTTGCAAATCCTGCCAACGCAGGCAGCATGCGCAGCCGCCTTAGGAGTTTGTCGCATTCCCAGGCAGCCAACAGATCTGTTGCGCAGAATGCTCCTACCCAGACTTTAAGCATCCAATCTCAATCACATGCTCAGTCCCAAACTCAGCAGCTCTCATGGCCAAGCGCATCAGGAACCCTTGGTCAGCGGCCGCCGCAGCATAGATCTAGCCCGATTCCAGCTCAGACAGGCGCAACGACATCCTCTGTAGTCTCAGACCGGATAGCTCCGCAAGCTACCTTCGACTCGTCGCGTCCGACAAGCATACGATCTGTTCGCACCCAGCGTAGCGTCCGATCTGCTAGAAGCTACAACAGCTCCAACGGGAGCCTGTCCGCGCGGTACAAAGCTGCACAACCTTCTTCTAATGCTTTCTCGAGCTCGAGGGCCAAGTCTACGATTACGTCCACTTCATCTCTCTGGTGGAAGCAAAATCAGCTCAAACGCAAAGGCTCCGAAGGCATCGTCTCCGAGGCGCAGGCTGCAAAGCAAGGTCGTTCTGGCTTTCTCCCCTCAGGACATGAGCCTCAAGACTCGGCTTGGGTCGATATCGATGCCGAAGAACAGAAAACAACCGCATCTGAGGACCCTTGGACATTCTCCAAGGCTCTTTCAAGTGACATTCCATTCGAGGCAAAGCCACAGAAGAGCAAGATGGCAGGCGGCCTCTGGATTTGGCCTCGACGGCCCTCTGCAGCTCGCGTCTTCAGTTTTCGTCTCTCTCGATCTCAATCTGGTCATGGCGGGCGTGCTGAACGCGTCGGCAGCGAGCCTTGCTATCCAACAACAGCTAGATCGACACAGCGCGATGACGCTGTCCTTTCGCCTGTCAACGTGATAGGCATGCCTGTAGACACATCCTCAAGCTCTTTACGACCAGTTCTTGCTGGATCCAGCACAGGCAACTCATCGGAAACCTCCTTCACTTCGTTGGCTCCGCCAATCCCACCGGCCCCTGTGCCTCCGCTCCGCAAGCCACGTCGTCCTTTGCAGAAGACAGAGACACCAAACAGGCAGGAGAGATCCGACTCTGTCGATTCAATCCTCACCCTCAGCTGCTGGGTGGACGGCGCCGCTGACTCAAACATCCAGCCACCACAACAGACGCAGCAGCATATGGCACAAAGCGAAGCAAGCTTGGCCCAAACCGAAATAACGGCGACGCAGGCGCATACATCAAGCACATCAGCGACTTCTTTGGCCGTGGGCTCAGCGTCCACAGCGCCAACCAGCGTCAACGCAGCCACGTCGGCAGGAGAACAACAATCTTTGCTCCCTCCAACCCCAAGAGTTACAGCTCCTAAGCACAAAGCTGTGACGCTAAGCGACTACGCCCTTTCACCTGCGCCTACACTTTCCCGCCGCCTATCCGACATCTCTGACGCAGGCACCAAGGAGACCTTGCTTTTGGACCGTGAGTCGCTGACTGCGCCCAAGATGAGCTCCGACTCTTTCGTTCGTGGTCCGATTGACGAGCAACATCCACATCTGCAGACCTTCTACCCGGCAGGTATCTTTGTGACGCGTCCAGTCAGACCGACACCTTTGACCATCACGTCGCCGTTGTCCCCAATGACGGAAGAAGAGGCAGGAACAGCCTCGCCTCGCAGAGTTGGAGGCCTGCCGGACTTCTCGTCGCCATCTCTCTCTCTTGGTCACGATGGCAGTCTCGGCAGGTCGACCAGTGCTCACACGCAAGATCCAAGCCTCACAGAAACTAGCCGCTCCTTCCGCTCCGTGCCTTCCTTCAGATCGACGAGCGATGGCAGCGTACATCGATACCGTCCCTTGCCTACATTGCCCGGACGTGCGCCTGGCAACTCGGTTGATTCAACGATGAATCGTCGGAACCCATCGTATGGAACAGACTCGTTCCTGACAGCTGAGTTGCACAGTCGATACGGAAGCATCGAGCAGCCAGCGCCTGACCGTATAGATGGCTTGCCTGTACGAGACACGCAGCTCTCACCGCTCATGCTTATGGGAATGGTAACCGCTGCCAACTCGCCTACCCAATCGACTCACAACAGCCATGATGGGCTTCCAGAAGAGCCATCTAGATCTAGCCTAGCATCCATCGCGTCACCCATGGCTGGGACAAGACCCCTGCCGTCGATTCCTACTCGCAGCATCGACGCCACCCTCGACTTGACTCGACCGCATTCCAAAGGTGCTGGGCAAAGACGCTCTCTGAGTCAGGCAGGCGGCGCCGCCGAAGGTCCGCCTCTGTCGCCATCAGCGTTCTACGATATCAAGCCTCAAACTTTACTTCCTCCAGCCAAGACACCTGCAGGTCCCAGGCACAGCTGGAGCTCGGCAGATGGACCCTGGTCTGCTGCTGTGGTGACGGCGAGCTCCGTTGTTGGCGCTGTCCGAGGGATAGCCAGTCCGGAAAGGACTGTCACTGATGGTGATGTTCTTCGACGAGCCCTTGCTCAGCCAAGGGACGATAGAGATGATGCCTACCGCAACAGCGAGCGGCAGATGGTCTCGTCCGGTGTCGTCATCGACGACGACGAAGATGCCGAGCTCACAAGACTCGAGATGTGGCGTTCAGGAAGTAAGATTCTGCCCAAGCAAACAGTCAGAAGCGAGTCTGCTGATGGCTCCGTCATCGTTGACAGGGCGCCCTTTGCGGACACAGGAGTCCAGGCGAGTCTAGCTGCGCTGCGTGCTCTTGAGTCACCCGGCGAAAGCCTCAGGACCGTCTTGGCACGTCAACGCATCTTCGGCGAGCCTGACGCTTCGGTCACCGAGTGCCTTCGTGAGTCACACATTCTGGACTCTGAATCACCACTCGATGACCAAGACTTGCTGGTCATGAGCGGGCCACGACCAAGGAGGCGTGCTGCACCTTACCCCCGATTGCGCGAGTCTTTCTACTCTTCCGAAGAGTTTTCCTCGAGCGGCAGAAGCTTGTCCGGTCGTCGGGTAGACAGAGTCAGGAGAAGGCGTCAGCAAAACTATACGAGCATGGCAGAGGCATCGAGCGCTTCAGTCGCCGAAACGAGTGGAAGAGGCTCTGACTCGGAAGGAGCTACACTCGCCGCTATCCGCTATGTTCGTTCTCGAACGGCAAAAGGCTCGGCTGAAGGACGAGCTTCCCAAACACATGGTGGAAGACGCGACTCCGCTGTTCAGACTGACGACGTGGTAGCAGAGGAGACACCGTCTGCGTCGCGAGCGACAGCTTGGGAAGACCTGGCTGGGATCACGAAGCCTGAACAAGATTGGCGAGCTGCCTCGTCGCGTCTTGACAGCGACAATGCGGTGGCAAGTCAGCAAGGCAAAATCCCGGAAATGGCCTTGACGCCGCCTGTCGGCAACCTTGAGCAGCAGCAGCAGCAGCATGCAAGTCGGCCACGACATGACCGATACGTGACTGCGATGTCGCATGCTGACAGCACTATGGCTTCCCACGAGCAAGACATCCGTGAGCTCGTAGATCAGACTCAAGACCCAATCTTTCGTCCTGTTGACTTCGATGGAGGGGTTGGGCTCAGTCCCCATGCCAACGCAGTCTCACCTGCCTCGACCATAAGTCCAGCGCTGCTTCTCAAACACGAACGCGTCGCTTCGCAGATGCCCTCATCTGCCACACTTGTCGGATCTCGTGTTGCGTTCCCGATTTCGTCGATACCAAGTGGATCTATTCACGAACAGCGATACATGCAATCTCCTTCCTTGCCACATGATCTCGCTATCGCTCAACGCAGCGAGCCGCGCAGTTACGTTCCGCCTGCGACCCGCATTAGGCCAGAGAAAGACACCGAGCAAACGTCGAGACGCATGCTGGTCCAGCAACGGCAACGTTCCCAAAGTGATGTTCACGTGTCTAGTGCACAAAATAGCAGAATCAGCTTACCTCGATCGAGGCATTACGAAACCGAAATGAGCCGATACGATGCACAACTCGAAGATCTGCTCCATCTGCGCGAAAAGGTGCTTCAACTCGAAAGTTCACGTGGTCATGGACGCTTCGACAGTCTCGCTACCAGCTTCGTCGATCATGGTAGTACAATTTCGAACCATGGCGATCACTCCTACAGCGTCGACCGCTCGGACGTACGACCTCGCAAGAGCTCAACCTCGTCCAAGCGAAAATTGAGGCCATCCAAGCTTGGCTACACCATGCCTGACATCATGGCTTGGCAAGCTGGTCTTGGCAACAACAATCAAACTTCTTCTGCGGTCGTGTGAGGCTCATCGCTGAACCGGGAAGAGGGCTTCGAAACTTCTCTTGAGCCTCTAACTCACCTTCTCGACCGGTGTATTCTTCCTCCGTGACACGCGTTGCGTCACCCGATCAATGCCCTTTTGTCAGAACACTTCACCCTCCTTTTTGTTCTAGACTCTGGCTGTTCTCTGTTATATCTAACAGAAGGGCAACCCTCGTCGCGCGTGTGATGCATAGGCGGCTCAAGCTCATTCGCGAGCGTTTAGCGGCGGCTGTAGCGGCCAACTGAAGGTACGATAAGGCAGTCGAAGGCTCGCAAACCTTTCTCGTCAAGCGAAGGGACTCGAGCAAGCGCTCCTGTCTGGTCCCTTATCACCTGCGATCTGGTTGACACCGCTTCAAACCGCCGGAACGGTCCGTCTCCAAACACACACTCTTCATGCTTAGGCTATCTTCACATTCATCCATTCGTTCATATATGCTCAACATCGCAATGCAGATATACTTTCTTCCAAACCATTCCATCATCATTGCGTCGAAGTTTGGCACAGTGCTCAGACCCCATCCAGCAAGCAGCAAGCAGCAAGCACAATCATCCAAAAAATGTAAGCTAGCACGTAACTGTGGCCTAGGCCTTGTGATTCTAGGGTCGCTTTTGTACGTTCCCTGCTTGAATAGAAAAGATCAGGCTAGCGGTGTTCAAGATCTGCACAGGCGGCTGCACTTACGTCGCCTTGGCTTGCTGCATAGGAGTCTCGCGAAGTTTGCGCTTCCGCAAGATGCAGCTGAGTGCTAGTGACCGAGTTGGAAAGCATTCACGAGCTGTTGCTGCTACTAGCATGTCGAATTCTCCGGTTGGAGCTGTTCCGAGGCCATCGCTCATTACTTTTCATTGCTCTGAATCTATAGACATGAGGAACAGAAGCTCTTCAAGATTCGATATCCGACTTTGACAGCCGTCAGATAACACGACGTGCTGGTTTCTAAGATCAGCATGTCGAGTTTGTGATACACAATTTGCCCAGCCTTCTTCGCTTTCCCTGACTGCTTGCACCTTCTCAACGACCAGAGGAAAGCTTGAGCCGAAGTGACGAAGCGGTAGCCGACCCGCACATGAGCACAGGACCCTTCAATAGCGCGTCGGCCAAGTCGGTTCGAACAATGGTGTGTGTGACACCATTGTTCGAACCGACTTGGCCGCACAGTTCTCTTTACAATCTGCACATATTGCGGTCAAAGTCCCCGCTAGAACACATCCTCGAACCTCTCGCTTGAAGACCGCGCAGCCTCAGCAAGAAGTCTGGGAAACGCAACGGGCTTTGGCCGTCGTCATGCATCGGAGTCGCCTCTGACTGGGTCAGTAGTGAAGGCACTATGCCAGCACCAGCTGCGCATGAGCATACTCGCTTCTCAGCCCGAGTGTCCGGAAAGGCATAGCAGCAGGCGAATGAATGTCAGGTTGAGACTTCTCATCCCACTCGGCACTGTTGATTGCGCTTCGAATACTTCGGTGACAGCTGCAGGATCGGCTTCTTTTGTCTTCCATCGCGCAGCTCTGCACGCCACTTCTAAGCGTCTTGACAGTGCAATCTTCTAGCCTCGATCCTCAATGCCCTTGGATCCTTGGTCTGGTTTCAACAGACAGGGGCTTCCTGTTATCACAGACGCTTGCGAGTCTATTCGAATACCTTGCCCACTTGTTCGTTTGATGATGACATGTCAAGTCGTATTGCGCCACTGAGAAGCGTCGCATAGCACAACAAGGCGAAAGCAGCGACTCGGTGCTTCTGAGCTCTGGTGTTCCGACTACACATCCATTCGGACGGAGCGGCTGGCCTCAGAAGACTACATATACTCATCTGCTCTGTCTTCCCTTCCTTATTCGTCTCCTCATCTTACTCTCTCCTCTCCTCTCCACTCCACTCTAATTCCTTGACCTGACCCTTTCCCTTCCCCTTGCTCCCTGCTCCTGTTCCCTTGCTCCCTGCTCCTGTTCCCTTGCGATACCCCAGGATCTATCCCGATTAATCTTTCGTTGGAAACCTTCTGATCTTAACGACTATCTTCAAGTCTACTCCCATATCCTTCCCCTCACACAAAATCTCTTCACGATGCGACTCTCTTCTTCGCTCATCCTGATCCTCGCTGCGATCACCATGGCCAACGCGGCCTCGGTCGATGCTGCTCTTCCGGCTACTCATAAGCACCACCTTGCTCGCGTCAAGGATGGCAAGGTTCGTGTCAACGCTCTCGACACTGCCAAGGTCAGCACCGGCCAGGTCGACCTCAAGAACCTCAAACACCTCGTCAAGGTTGCCGCTCGTCGTGGTCTCGCTGACGTCAACGCTCTTCACGCTGCTCACACCAATGTCGATGCCGTCGACATCAAGCACGTCGCTGGTCTCGTCCAGACCCTCTCTGCTCACCTTGAGAGCCAGACCAAGACCGCTGAGGGTATCCTCAAGCTCAAGGACCACAAGAAGCAGGCTGCCAAGACCGATGTCCTCCTCGACAACATCAAGGCTTCGCTCGCCAACACTTTCATCGACCTCCACAGCTTGACTCAGAGTACCAAGAGCGCCACCCACCACCAAAAGGGCTCGGTCGCCAAGGTCCGTCTCCTTAGCCGAGACCTTCTCAGCGTGCTCAACCCCCAAGTCGTCAGCAACCTCATCAGCTCCAAGGACGTTGCTGGCTCAGCCGGTCTTGCCACTCTCCTCCAGAACCTTAACGTGGACTCGGTTCTCCAGGGTGATGCCTTGTCGGTCCTCACCAACCTTAAGGTCATCGAGACCGTCCACAAGGTTGCCAAGATCGACACTGTTCTCGCTTCTATCACGGCCATCCCGGACGCTGTGCCCCTTATTGAGGCATTCCAGGGTCTTGACTCGCCTGTCGCCTTCGTCGCTGCTCTTGCTGACATTAAGAGCATCACCTCGCTTGTCTCTGCGGTTCACGGTGGTCAGAACGAGGTCGCCAAGGTCCCTGGCTCTGGAAAGCTTGTCGCTTACGCCGTCAAGTATGGCTTCAACACCGTCGCTCGCGTCTTCAACGTTGCTGGTGTCGAGTCGGTCCTCAAGTCGGTCATTGCGGTCCCTGGCTCCGTTGCTCTGCTCGAGTCGATCAAGAGCGTCGCTGACGTTCCTGCCTTCGTCTCGGGCTTGCAGGTCCTCAACACTGTCAGCTTCGTCAAGTCGATCCAGTCGGTCACTGACATCAACGCTCTCACTGGAGTCCTTGCCACTGTCAGCCACATTGCTCCCGTCAAACGCCAGCTTCTCGATGGCGTTAAGAGCACCGTCGCTGGTCTTGACCTTCAGCGTGTCCTCAGCCTTAAGCGTGCCATTGCTCACGTTGTCGCCCTGCCTAATTCCACTCTGGCGAAGGTCGAGGCGGTTGTTAAGCGTGGTCTCACTAGTGGCCTTGTTGACACTGACGTCGCTGGTCTTGACCTTGCCCACATCGCTGTGCTCAAGCGCTCGATTGCCGACCTTTCTGTCCTCGACGAGAAGGAGATCGATGATCTTCTCGCTGTCGTGAGGCGAGATGTGCTCGCCGACGTAGGTAGCCTTGTTGACATCAAGGATGTCCTTGGCATCACTGATGACAAGGTCAGGCGCGATGGTCTCCCCATCGGCAAGCTTCCCGTCGACATCGGTGGTTTCGGTTCCGGTCCTCTTGGTGAAAGTGGTGCTACCCTCGGCTTGCTCGACCCCAACGATGGTCTTGCTTCCACCGGCGGTGCTGGTGAGGGTACTCTCGGTCACGGTGGAGGAGATCTTACTCTCCTTGACATCCACCGTCTTGCCTCGATCAAGCGCTCTTCGCTCCTCACCCCCGTCGAAGAGACCATTTCCAACCTGCAGCTCCTCCAGACACTCCCCATCCTCAAACGTACCATCCTTGACACTACGGGTATGGTCTCTTCCGTTCCCGAACTGCTTCACTCTGTCCACCCTCTCCGCCGTCAGGCTCATAAGGAGGACAACATTTCGATCGCTCTCTTCGATGACTCCGTCGAAACCTTCACCACGGATGTCACAGCTATGTTGACGCAGGTCGTGGAAATCTCTGACACCCTTCAGGTCAGCTCGATCACCACAGATATCAAGGAGCAGATCATTCCTCTGGTTCAGGCGATCACCAAATCTGTCGCTAAGATCGCCAGCGTCAAGGCTCCTAAACTCAAGAGCAAGCTCGACAAGATTGACAAGTTTGTTGCCAAAACTGTTGAGTCTCTTATCTAAGTTTCAAATCAAGGCGTTGAGTTGATTGATTCGCTCCGCCGGTTTGCCTTTGTTTATTCTATCCTTCGTTTGTTCATTGTTGAGGGTGTGTTTGATGGTTCATCATGCTTTTGCCACCTCATCTAATTGAAGATAACAATTAATATACGGCGTTATCGGGGTCACGATCAGACTCCCTTTGCCACAGCCGTATGTTCTATGTAATGCTTAGTTTTCTTAGTGTGAGACTAAATGACAAACACATATATATACTCCATTCACTGCTCTGATCCCATCCGAGGCAGGGTGTGTTCCTTCATTTGTACCCCTGTGTTGCTATGATACCGGGTGCCACTGTGTTGTCACCATGACAACAATTGCGTACCTCATTGTGCTCCTCGCTTATGTGAGCCTCCCGTATCTCGATGTCTCGGCCGTAACACGTGCACCTTGCTTGAGATGCCGACGCATCTTCAACTCCCCCCTTCGGCGGGATCTCCAGTCCTATCATCCTAGCCAATCGTGAGGTGTTAAGACCCTGTAAGGGTTTTGTCAAGACATCTGCAACGTTGTTTGCTGTTCCGACATATTTGATCTCCACATCGCCCTCTTGTACGTGATCGCGTACGAAATGATACCGTGTGTCGATGTGCTTTAACTTCCAATGTTTGGCTGGGTCTTTACTCACCTGTATGCACCCCTGGCTGTCTGTGTATAGTACGGGCCGAACGCCCGTGGCCTCCAAATCCCGGAGCAAATATGAGAAGAATAAGGTTTCTCGTACCGCTTCGGAAGCGGCGACAAACTCTGCTTCGACTGCCGACAGTGCCACGCACTTCTGAACGTGTGATTTCCAACTCACCGGACATCCATACACATATGTTATCGACCCCGAGGTACTTCTTCGTCCATTTGTGGGGTCGGATGCCCAGTTTGCGTCGGTATACGTCGTTACCGGTGTATCCGAGTGCTCGTTTGTCTCTCCTCCTAGGTGCAACTGATATTCGTTCGTTTGGTTCAGGTACTTTACCACGTGGACAGCTGCCTTCCATGCACTGTCGATCGGGATCGACATATATCGCGCCAATACGCCGACGGCAAAGGCAATATCTGGTCGGGCTGTGTTGGAGACCCATAATAGTTGGCCGACCAATTCTTGATACCTCTTTGCTCGCTTAGGTTCACATCGCTCGCCTCCGGCGGTGTTCGCTACACTCAGCATGGGTATCCAGGATTTCTCGTTTGCTCCTCCTAACCATTTGTTCACCATTTCCTTGATGTATGCCGTTAGACTCAGGGATATCCTCCTCCGTCTTCTATCACGTATAATCTTGATACCCAGAAATTCTTTGATCCGTTAATGAATTTGTTGACAGAAGGTTAACATTAAGGTGCTTTACATACAATACATTTTGCAGAGAGATTTCCCCGTAACCTGTTGATATGCTCGCATCTCCTATAGCTGCCGCTTCCAAGACCTCGCTTCCGGCGGTAATTATCCGCTTTCGGCAAGTTCTCGGGTGAATGAGCATGCTGTAGTCGTTCACCATATGATAACTCGCCCCCGAGTCCAAGATCCAATGAGCTGTTTCTTTTGTGTTCGAGGGGTCCTGCCATTTCATTGGGAGGGTGAGGGAGCACCACGCTTCCTATTTAGGTTCAGCGAGGGGGGAGTCCTTGGGAATGGTAACCAAGGCGTCGCATTGGCTGATACCATGTCCCGGTCGCTTGCAGATCCAGCATCGGATTCGGCGTGGTTTGCTTGCGTTCCTCGGGCTCGCGTGGCTGTTGTCGGCTTCGGCTTCGGTCTCTCCGGCCCGTTCATTTTGATCGTCGTTGCCGGCGGTTCTAGCGCTGGCTTGTCGGGGGTTGATCCTTTGTGCGGGGACACTCTCGACAGCAGTCTGCCGGATGCTTAATGCGGTGGCAAGGGCGTTGAAGTCGATTTGATGGACGGTGGCAACCGTCTCCTTGTACACCGGATGCCGGATCGTGCATTTCTGCAGGGCCGAGAACAATGTATCATCGGCGAATGGTTTTCCGAGGAGACTGCTTTCAGTTTGTATGGACCGGATCTCTTGGATTAGCTTTCTGGCATCCGAGTGAAACATCTTTGCATCGTTGAGTTGCGAGATAAGCGCAAGTCTGTGGGACGTCTTGGTGGCTTCATTCGTGAGACCGTTTTCGATCTTTCTCCATACTTGGTTGAAAGTAAGGTACTCCTTGATTACATCTAGAACGAGGTAGTTTACATTGTGTTCTCCGGTAGTATCGATTGTTCCACGCAGGGCGTTAATTAAAGCGTCGTCAAGGGAGCGGCTCCATTTCGGGTGTTTCTTGTCGTACGTTCCCTCGAGATGTTTCATCGCATGAGGCACGGATCGGAGGAAAGATTTCACGTGAGCGCTCCAGCTATGGTAGTTTCGTGACGTGAGCTTTGGCACAGGTTCAAGGAGCTTTGCTAGGGTGCGAAAGTTATATCGCTTGTCGCCATCATCAAAGTCGGAGTCGGAATCGGTGTCTCCGTCGGCTTCATCGTTGATGGCCTCCGGCTCGTTCTCGCTCGTGGCATTATTGTCGACCCGAACCTGGGTGTTCTTGCCTTTTCTGCTTCCTTTAGTCCTCGTTTCGGTGTCTTCTACCATGGTTGTCGGCGAGTTTTCGGTTAGCTCGGTGATAGCTTCTTCAGACTCTTAATCAATTGAAGATAACAATTAATATACGGCGTTATCGGGGTCACGATCAGACTCCCTTTGCCACAGCCATATGTTCTATGTAATGCTTAGTTTTCTTAGTGTGAGACTAAATGACAAACACATATATATACTCCATTCACTGCTCTGATCCCATCCAAGGCAGGGTGTGTTCCTTCATTTGTACCCCTGTGTTGCTATGATACCGGGTGCCACTGTGTTGTCACCATGACAACAATTGCGTACCTCATTGTGCTCCTCGCTTATGTGAGCCTCCCGTATCTCGATGTCTCGGCCGTAACACGTGCACCTTGCTTGAGATGCCGACGCATCTTCAACTCATCTCTTTTGTTTTTATTTTATTATTTTTTAGGCCCCTTAGTCTGTATTGCATTTTTTTTTTTGGAGTAATCACAGTTCCTTTCTGTCTCCCTTAGTATCATTGAGACTCTCCTAGTATCGTAAGAGGCTCCTTCGAGAATGTGAGATGAAGATGTATTGGTTGTATTTGTGCTGGCGGAAGTCTGAGTGTGCGGTTTTACAAGTCATCCGAAAATCGACTTCTCGACGTCCTCGCACCGTAAGAAGGTGAGCCTGAATACCTCGAACCACCTCTTTCATCGCTCTGCTGATATCCTTCAGCTCTACTAAACATCCTATTCGTTCTCCTCTCCCCACCACTGTCGATGTCACGATCATACTTATCACTGCGATAGCCACGTTCGTTGCTATCGCCCTTGGCGGACCTACTGTACCAGCCCCTGTTCGCCCTTTCCTCGTCGCGCATACGTTTCTGTAACAATCTAAACGGCTGACCAGCAAGTGTCGCTGCTTGTTCGGCATTGGCGAGCAACCATTTCTGACTCCAATCCTGTGCTGAGTCTTTCTTCTTCCCCTGTGCTTTCATCTGCTGGTCAGGATCGCCTAGGATATGATCGAATGAGAAATCTCTTTTGTTTCCAGCATCAGCGCCGAGTTGCTGTTCGAGCACGAATTTACGGACCTCGTTGGCGATCCTATCGACTGTTTCGCGGATACTTTCGTCTTCGCTTGTCGCAAAACCCATTAATTTCCTCTCTTCCCCTACTGCCGGTGCGATGGGCGAGTACCTTTGAGGAGCGGAAAGAATGCCTGTTTCTCTAGCTTGTCGAAGGGTTGAGACTACACCCTGCAAATCTCCTAGCCAGTCCCATTGAGTTTTGAGCACTTCGTTGTATAGACTGCCCGTGACACCAAGTACGTAGGATTCAATACCAAGCCAACGGGTTATGCGCGGGATGGAAAGCGCTACGTGTGGAAAATTATACCGATCCCGTATAGCTAGGAAAAGAAGCTGGAGGACGGAGGAATAAAATGGTGTATCTTTTCCATACTTCGGTCCATCACCCTTGCTTTCTGTAGTTGCTCCAGTGGCTTGTTCCGCATCATCAGTGGAAGTGCAAGTGGTGATGGAATTAATACCCCAAACCTCCTTCTTAGCCCACTCGAGCACCTCACCGAGATTTTTACACATTGCAATGCTCTCCCTCGCCTCATCAACGCCTGCTTCCAATTCTATGGGATCGATTTGGGCGGCCAACCCCTCTCTAACAAAGCGTTTCGCTCTTTGTGCTTTTGCTTCCTCAAACCTCTGCAGTCGATTTCTCTTGGCAAATGCCTGCAGGAGAGCTTTCGAGCCGGATTGAGTTTTAGGATTGCTGATGAGCGAAGTGTAGTTTCCGAATGGCGTCTGTTCCTCTCTTTCCTCGTCATGGGACCAATAGGAGGAGGGGGAGGTCGAAGTTCCGGCAAGAGCTTGGTCGAGAAGAGACATGAACGCGTTTGCTTCTTGTTGGGTTAGTGGTGTTCTATCGAGTCGTCTTCTGACGGGGTAGGAGGAAGAGGAGGGTATACGAGGTCGGAAACCATCGGATCGACGAGTGGAACCAGATTCTGCGAATAGGACGGAGCGGGGGATGGAGTGCTTGCGACGGCCGTCGGGAGTTTCGTAGCGTGATCGGGAGTGACGGGTGGAGGATGAGGGAGAGGGGGAGGAGAGAGTCTCTAGTTGGTCTGATAACCAGTTGCCTTTTTCCGAAGGAGCTGGTTTGGTGGAAGTGCGGGTCGGGCTAAGTTTTGGGACGGGGACCTTGGGAAATGGGTTGGATCCGTCGAATAAGCCTGTGTATGGGTTTGAGCTGGAAGATGGTGCCTCGTCGGAGGAGGGTTGGGAATCGAGTGGCCATGGTCCTCGAGATTGTGAAGGAGGCTGATATTCTGTGCTTAATGTGTCTTTCGATTCGGTTGAAACAGCACCGGTCGATGAGAAGGGAGAGGAAGCCTCTTCAGACGACTGGGATTGCGGTTTCTGATTGTCTTGATCGGAACGTCGAATGCTGGCTGAGAAATTGCGCTGTATTTCCACAGTAGAAGAAGATGGCGATGACGACGCCGACGCGGAGAGACCTAGACGCCTGACTGATCGAGCCAGTGCAGATGCCATTGTGAGTGAAAGCCTTGGAAGCAAGGCTGTGTGGTAGATGATGGTCAAGGATGGAGAGAGGAAAAGAGAGTTGGACAGGCCTTAATTTGCGAATCCGACCTTTTTTTTTCTTTTTCTTTTTTCTTTTTTTCTTTTTTCTTTTTTTCTTTTTTCTTTTTTCTTTTTTTCTTTTTTTCTTTTTTCTTTTTTTCTTTTTTCTTTTTTTCTTTTTTCTTTTTTCTTTTTTTTTTTTTTTTTTTTTTTTTCCTGCGTTTCTTCTTCGCTCTCTCACAAATTTCTCCACAAAGGATCCGAGTCCCGGACTTTCACTCACCACCTGTGCATGGTGGACACAAGCTTCTTCACTTCTCAGCCGGTCTCGCTAATCAAACAACTTTCCAACGCTCACGGGAGACAGTGTCGAAAGCTGCCCAGTATGAGGAATGCTGCAAGAGGCATTTGGATTTGCAAGAGAGTGGATCTGCAAGAGAGTGGATTCTGTAACGTGGCATTATGCTTCCTCGCGCTCCAAAACCGCGACACCTTCAACATGATGTGTCTGAGGAAACAGATCCGCCCCCCTGACACTCTTGATCTTGTACTTTGCCTCCATGCCTATCAGTTGGCCCACATCCCTTGCCTGCGTATGAACGTTGCAGCTGATATAAACGATGTGCTTTGGCCCCAATTTCACCAGTTGTCTGATGAATTCCTCATCGCATCCTCTCCTAGGTGGGTCGATAATCACCGTTGTTTTGTCTGCAGGGTACTGAATCTTAGCAAAGATGTCTTCTGCATTGCCAGCGAGGAACTTTGCATTGGTAATCGAGTTGAGTTCTGCGTTCTTCGTGGCGTACTTGATGGATTCGGAAGAAATTTCGACTCCAGATACCTCACCGAAGAGCGAGGCTAGGCAGAGAGAGAACAGCCCCGAGCCGCAGTAAGCATCTACTAAGTACCTCTCCTCTGCACTGTCAGGGGTGGAGGAAGAGACGATTGCCTCACGCACGTAGTCAAGGAGATTAGGAAGAATGCCTCGGTTGTTCTGGAAGAAGGTGCCTGCCGGAGACTCGAATTTGGTTGTCAGAACTCGTTCCTTCACTGTAGCCTTGTGGTCCGTCACTACTTGGGTATCCAGTTCCTTCTCCACCTCTCCGCCTGGGGGTTGAGTAACTGCTTGGTCCTCCGCAAAGCTCTCGTACGTCCTAAGTGAGTCTCGCAGCAGAATAGTCGCACCATTCTTGAAGCTTTCGATACCATCTCTGACTTTTTGCTTGGCTTCGGGTAGCGCGCGATTGATCGTCTTTGTAGCGATAGGACATTCTTCGATATCCATAACACGTTTTGTTCCAATGCAGTCGAAGCCGATGGCTACCGAGTATTGCCTCTTTTCTGCTCCCTCCACAACCTCTCTGTTGGCGTTGTTGCGAATGCCGCTTCTCCTACCTCGACGCAGTTCGTACGGCAGCTCGAAATGGGGAGTGAGTTTCGTGCGGTAGTTGTACTGGTTTGGACTTGCAATCGTTGGTAGCACCTGAGGTACCAAGCTTGGATCTAGGCCTGAGAAGCGTGCAAAAGCTCGCTCGACCACTCCACGCTTAATCTCCAGTTGACGCTCATAGTCAATCATCTGATACTGACAACCGCCACAGTCGCCAAAGTACTTGCACCTAACCAGCTCGTCTTTTCGAACATCGCTCTTCTCCAGCACTTCGATCAGCTTGGCTTTGGAGTAGAGGCGCTCGTTGCTTGTGATCTCAGCCACTACTTTCTCTCCAGGCAAGGTGTGGGGGATGGCGATGACCCAGTCGCGTTCAGGAGCGATAGCAAGTCCATCTCCATGTGCATCAAGACGTTTGATTTGGAGGGTGAGGCGAGTTCCTCTTTCGAATCTGTTCGAGTATTCCAGGCCTTCCGAGAGGATATCGGTCACTTTGCGGATGGAGAGAAGTTCTTCGATGTCCAACTCGATCGGTTCGCGGCCGGTTTTGGTGAGTTGCTTGGCATAGTCTTTGCGCTTTTGGCGTGTGCGACGTGCGTCTGCTTTTCGTTGCTGCTTGTCTTGTACGCAGGATGGAGCCGAGGTAGAAGAAGAAGCAGCGCCGTTAATACGAGTCGTATCTGGTTGAGTTGGTGGGCGCGAACGCATGCGCTTGGCTGGCGGTTGCTCTGGTGAGCAAGGTGCTGCTGTCGACATGGTGGATCTAGCAAAGGCTTTTGCAAGGTGTATTTCGGGCAGCGGGCTAATGTAAGGGAACTGCCTGATGAGCTGGGAAGTAGGGAGCGCTCGAGAGATTGGTCGTAATGCTTGTCGAAGAAGAGTTGTAGACCTCAGCAGCATCTAGCAGGTCAAGATGATTGTTATGTGTGATGGTCGTCAACTGGCAAGAAGAAAAAGTTCAGCCAACCAACCGCTTCGCATTTCAACACTCGCAATTCTCCACACTTTTTTTCTTTTTCTTCCTATCGTGCGAATGGATAGAAGCGCATTTTTCAATGGGGAGCGAAGGGGCACGTGACCATCGCTCACTCGAGTCAGGAAACTTAACACATTATTCTTATTATTTTCCTTTTGATTCTCAATTTCTCAGCCTCCTTTTCCAACAATTTTCACGCGCTGCCAAGGGCGATAACTTACCGTTGATTGTTTGCTCTTTTGGGAAATTTTCACGGCTTTCGGGACAGAGAACGAAATTCTCCTTGGTTGTTTATTCAATCGGTCTAACACTGATGGAAAAGCGCCAATCGGATCCGTGCGATCAAGACCCTGATCCTCTACCTCAACCTTCCCAACTCCTCACCTCTTTGCTCCACCTTACCACCTCCTTCCATCGCAGGAACCAACGTCAGCTCCATTCTAACCACCTCGAGTGCATCTCGGTACACTTTGGACAAGATGGCAGAAATAGCCAGTGCCTCCACCACAACCTCTCGCAAACCACGCGGCGCCAACCCATCAACTGACTACAAATCCCTCTTCCTCAAATCCAAAGATAAATACGACCGAGTCTCTAACGACCACACCGAGCTCAAAGCCAACGTAACAAAGGCCACAGCCAAGCAACAGAAACTTCGCGAAGAGCTCGACTACCTTCTCGACGCTGTTGCATCCAAGCGTGCCCAACGTACACGGATCGAACAATCACACCGCGACCACGCGCTGGAGTTGGAACGAGAAGCTGCAGCTGCCAGACATCATGCTAGCTCGCTTAGCTCAAGAGATAGGGACGATTACGAAAGATACGAGCCAAGGGCTAGTGCGTATGCAGGGGAGGAGTACAGCTCTTACTCAGCGAGGTACGGAGCGGGGGAAAGGGAAAGAGAAAGGGATGCGGATCCGAGCTATCCAGCATTTGCGAGCGGGTTGGGCGGGAGATATGTTTCTCCGCCTCCTCCAGCAGCGGTGGTGGGCGGGAGTGGGTCGAGTCAGAGGTATGCGCCATCGGAAGGCTCGACGCAGGGAGCAGCGTCAAGGAGTCCTTACGCCGGAGAAGCATACCGTGGTGTAGCGTCACGGTCTCCACCTTCGATGCGTAGAGCACACCCACACGATCAGCACTCTTCACCTTTGAGGTACGATGCCCATCAGAGGCATAGGGAGTCTACGCCACCTTTGGTACCTTCAGCGGTAAAGAGACCAAGACCGCCCAGCGTCGAACGAGAGCTGCTCGAGAGGGATAGTGCGTACGATGTTGATCCTCGCGATCGGGAGGGTGGTCATTACGTCAAGCGGCCGAGGAACGATTGAACTCCTTTTCGCGAGTCAGCACTTTGCATTTGTATCACCATAATCGCATCTGCAATACCGCAAAGCCACCTGCACTGCAGCCGTCTCGATTTTATCTTGCTTGCCTATTCCAGTCGTGGCGTGTTGATTGTGATGATGGCAGCGTGGAATCTGTCAGGCTTCACAGGTGGCAGGATTACACCCATTCGCAAGCTGGTTCTGCAGCTTCAATTGCCGTAAGTATAAACGTGCACGCTCCCCTACGGCCGTCGGTGTCATGCTCAATAGCCGCCGGACAGTTCAATCCGTGTGCACACTCGCACCTCCTCCCCTCCTTTCATGCCAAAATGTGTGGGACCGAGGACACCATCTCACCTCACCGCCCCAGCAGTGTTGTCGAAAAGGGGCTCAGTGGTGGGATCTCTCATCCGATTGCGTAGTGGTGGCGGACGACTTCATTATGTTGGCGGCAGGCTTCATTATGTTGGCGGAGTGTGTGGGTCTAAACGTACTCAGTTTTATTTTGACTGTGTTGGGCGAGGAGCAAGCGAAAAGCATCGCATCTTCGCACGTGGGCTATGACCCTTTCTTGCTTCATAGCGCTATACTAGATCTGAACAATGACGCTTTGGTGGGAAAGCGATACCGAACGGGGCTTGAGCGGTATCGGCTGCGGTTCGTGCGGTGGGACTTTGGATGGGAGGTTTCATGTCCTCACACCGCCTCCTGGAAGAGCTTGCCGTCTTGGCCTGTCCTTCTTCTTCCATCCTGGTCTCGTCTCGACTACCATTAAAGCTGGAAGTTGGCATCGTCACGACTGGCCATCTTTCCCCTTCCTCGTCATAATCATCTCCTGTTCCGACTCCAGGGAAAAGCAACGACGATGGCGACGAAAAAAGACTTTACCTCAGAAGCCGAAAAAGCTCGCAACGAAGGCCTTCGACTCAACACACAACCTTCTCCTAACCCTCCCCCTCCTCGTCCGCCTCTACCTCACCAACCCAACTCCTCCTCAGAAACAGATTCCAACACGAGCCACATGGACTCGGCTCATCCTCTCCAATCTCCCCCTCAAATCCTCTCCCCTCCTCGGCCAAACCCTCAAATTTCATCCGGCCAACGAGGAATCCCAAATCCCCAAGGCTACCCTTCCTCCTCCACCACCTCCTCCCATTCCTCCTCCCAACAACAACCCTCACGGGCCGCAACCCAAGCCAACGCCGCCATCGCTTGGCTATACGACTACGATGGATCCCCCGAACCTGACGACTGGCTTCATGTTCCCGGAGTGGAAAAACCTCGTTCCTTCCTAACCACCACTTTGGGATGCTGTAACATTTCTTGTCGAGGTGTAATCAACCTTCTTGCTCTTTTCTTTCTCTCTTCTTCGATTCTGATGCTTTTCGCTGGCTATCCTATTTTGCATAGTTTTTTGTACAAGAATGGAGATGCGAAAGCAAAATCCTTCTTTAACCTCGGCGGAACAAATGGTTCAGGCCAGGTACCTCTACTACCTGGTTTGTTCTCTCTAATCGACTCGGACACGCCTGGTTCAGCACACGAGTGGAAGAATCCGATAGATGGCAGTGGATACCATCTCGTGTTTAGCGACGAATTCGAACAGGACGGAAGAACTTTTTGGCCGGGAGACGATCCTTTTTGGGAAGCCGTAGATTTGCATTATTGGGTTACAGGAGATTACGAATGGTACAGCCCGGAAGCAGTTAACACTTCTTCGGGATTCTTGAATATTTGGTTGCAAGAGAAGGAAACGCACAATCTAAACTTCCAATCAGGCATGCTGCAATCTTGGAACAAATTCTGCTTTCAGGGAGGCTACATTGAAACTTCGGTGATTTTGCCGGGTAGTTTCAGTACAGAAGGGTATTGGCCAGCGATGTGGATGCTGGGTAATTTAGGTAGGGCCGGGTATGCGGGGACTACGCAAGGTATGTGGCCTTATAGTTATAATAGTTGTGATGTTGGGACATTGGCGAATCAGACGAATCAGGATAAAACGGGGCCATATGCTGCAATAAATGCGCATGGGTTGTATTCTGATAGTGTACACAACAAGATAAGTTTTCTGGAGGGGCAAAGAACATCAGCTTGTACATGCGAAGGCGAGGACCACCCGGGACCTAATGTGCGCGTTGGTCGAAGTAGTCCAGAGATCGATGTCTTCGAAACGCAGGTATATGGTGGTCATGGTACAGCTTCCCAATCCTTCCAAATTGCTCCATTCGACGCCAACTACACTTGGTCTCAAGCTCCCTCAGTAGCTACGCTTCACGACCCCGGCATGACCTTCAACGTTTACACGGGCGGGGTGTATCAAGAAGCAGTATCAGCTCTAGCCCCCGTTCCCAACTCTGCTTACTCTCTCTCCGGTGCACAACCGGTCACCATGGGAGTTCACTACACTCCAGATTGGGACGGAGATGGTTCTGGATCGATAACCTGGTTTATGAACCGAAAACCAACTTGGACTTTATCCGGAGCAGCATTAGGCCCGAATAAAGCAACAGAGATCGGTCAGAGATTGATACCAACCGAACCGGTTAGTATCGTCATCAACCTAGCTCTATCCGATGGTTTCCAGAAAGTGAAATGGTCCGATTTGGAGTTTCCAGCAAGCATGAGAATCGACTACGTTAGGGTTTATCAGAAAGACGGAGAGAAGGATAGAATTAGTTGTGATCCCGAAGATCACCCGACAGCGGCGTATATAGAGAAGCATAGAGATGTGTATGAGAATGTCAATTACACTGTTTTTCCGCAGGACAAGTATGGGTATGTAGCCAAGACCTGCTCCCTGCACACCTATCTGGGAGTGATAGCTGACATTTTTCTGTTTACGTTGGTGACAGGTGGCCGAAGAATCGATTAACAGACGAATGCTAGGTTCGGTACTGGTGCGAGCAATACAGACATTTGATACAATGTACACAAGAGCAAACACACACACACACACACACACACACACACACACACACATAGTGAAGAGTGATAGTAAAAAGAATCTGAACAGATTAAGCACGACCGCAGGAGCGAGAATTATACAAGCTGCCCCCTCTTCGATTTAAAGGGAGGCCAGAATACAAAATGACCGACTAAAAACCTAGCCAAACTATAACAAGTAGGAATAATCAAAGGATGCGAAGCTAGAAAGCGATAGAGAATGGCAGCTGCTGTTGTGTATGCTGCTGCTGGAGGTGGTTGAGGCTGAACTGATCACCGCTGAGGCTGGTGAACTGGTCGAGTTTGGTCGGAGTGCTAGCTTCAGCGGTGGCACCTGAAGAGGAGGAAGAAGAGGAAAGAGGGTCGTTCTTGGGGGAAAAGTGGTCCATAGCGGTTTGGAAAGCGATGGCTTCAGCTGTCATGCTCGATTGCGAGCTGATGAATGGCTGTTGCTGTTCCGATGGCTGGCAGAGTTCCTGCTGGTGATGAGGAGCCATGATTTGTAGGTCAACGTGAACGACGAGGTTGGCAGCGACGACGGGGTCGTTGTGTTCCGAGACGGTAGGCACAGTGCTGAGAGGGAAAAGCATCTGGTATTGCGCAGGAGAGAAGTGGCTTGTTGACAGGTCCAATGCTCCTGCATCGAAGGTTGCTGATGATGAAGTCCTCAACAGACCCTCTTTGGTGTCCATGCCGTTGTTGTTGCATGCGAAAGCGGTCAAGTTGGGAAGTGCCAACCCAGCACCGTATGCTGCAGCAGCATCGTGGGCCGAGTGCTTGTTGCGAAGTTGAGCACCGAAAGTAGGCCACATGTTGTCCCATTGCGCATCACTTTCGTGTCCGCTGATGGTCTTGGTCAACAGAGGAGCACCATGAGGAGGAAGGAAGTAATCGCATGCCACAGCATCAATCTGGAAAGTATCCGCCGTTGAGATGTCACTTGGGGAAGAAGCTGGGCTGTCTGCAAACAGGTCCGTTACCTGTGTAGCAACACTGAGCATTTGCATACAGCTGCTCTTGCTATCCTCGAGACCGCCTTCTGCCAGCAATCCGGCAACTGCGCCATCGTTGGTGGAGTTGGACCTTGTTCTGGTACCGGCAGCCTCCTTGACTTTTCGGAGCATCTCTTCTTGCTGCTTGCTCGCCGCACCAGAGCCGAGCGAGGTGGTGGCGGTTCGACGACGACGATGAGGACGGGTGCCGCGGAAGATGATTCCTGCAGCCTCGAGGATAGCACGCTCCTTCTTGGAGAGTGGCCCACGCTTGCGAAGCATGTCTTCGGTGGTGCATTTGCGACCAGTGGCTGTACAGGAGCCGCAGGTGGGCTTGATGCGATCACAGCGGATCTTGCGTCGACGGCAGTAGTCACATGCTGCAACCTGGCCGTCAGCTCCATCGGGCATGCGACCGCGAAGGGACTCAAGAGCTTCGGCAGCCTTCTGAATGTTCTCTTCGGAAGGGTAGGAAGAGGAGGTAGTGGGACCAAGAAATTTGGCAAGCTCGAAACCAGCAGGGATGTGGATATCTTCCAGGGTCAGACGACGAGTCTTGCGGGATGACGAGGAGGAGGAAGAGGTAGAAGCTGAGGTGGTAGGTTCAGCAGACGGGCTGCGAGAGGTAGAGGAAGAAGGGCCAGCCGAGAAGGTGCCTCCTGAAGAGCTGCTGCCACTGCTGTATGTCATTGTGTGTGATTGGGTGGTGGAGACAGGGTGTGATCGGAGTGAAAGGTTGCAGGGATGTCGTATGATTCTCGAAAGATAGATATGGTTACGAGTCTACCTACAGAGGGCAGTCGTTGAGTCCAAGAAGGTGGCGTGGATGTGGGCTGGACGTGATTTATAGAGCCGGTGATGAGCCAAATGGGATGGCGTAGCCGTGATGAATGAAGAGACAGGATGGCAACGGCTGGTGGCGTGTAGTATGAACGGCACAAGAGGCTTGTGAGCGTCGAATGTGCTGTTGCCTTGCGTGGAGACGCAGTGAAGACCTGAAACGAGCGGTGATGGGACGAAAAAAAGCTTTCGTCCTGAGATTGGCAACTTGGTGGGCTGCGACGCTTTCTATCGATGCGATGTGTTGATCGAGAGAAGGCTAGGTGTAGAGTGTGTACGGCGATGATGATTAATGGGTGAAGGGACTGGTAAGCGATGATGTTCAAGGTTATAAGGAATCTGGGGAAACGCCGGCAAAGAAAGAAACCGATCCTGGGGTTGGTTGGCGAGGGCAAGCACTACTTGGACAGGAAGAGGAGTTTGCAGGCACTGGAGAGGGGCATGGCTGAGCAGACGCAGTTCTCAGACAGGACATGAGAACCTTCGACACACACACAGAGCAGAGAGGATCGCATCACAGACAGAGCATGCAAGCAGGTTGACGCTCACTCGGTTACAGCTGCAGGAGCATTGTTCGACAACGACGTCGTCGTGTGGCCCATCTGTGGTGACAACCAAAGCGACGGACAAGGCACTTTACACGACAACACTCCACTGTTCCACGCCGTTGTACTTCTCCCAAGGGCGGACGAGGAGAGGACAAAGTTAGATTTGTCGTTTCAAGCGAGAGCAGGTCAATAGGCTGGGTGACACAGAGAGTTGCTCAAGGTCGAAGAAGACACAAAAGGCGGGGTGGAAAAGTAAACTAGCCTAGAGAATATGGTTGGACGCAGCAAAGGTTTGTGTGGGTGGATGCCCTAACGCTGTCTCGCTAAGGAACGAAGGGAAGAATGGTTAGATGCAGAGGACTGTAAGCGAGGGGAGAGATGGATTATGCGAACAAGGCAAAATCCTAGGTCTGGCGTTGCCTTTGCTTTGGTCTGAACGGATGAAATCAAAGGGAGCTGCAGCAGTTTGTTGTTGTCGTGCAAACACGGGAACCAGAATGACTGGTACCCTCAACCCAAAGGAGAGGGGCGATTGAGCGGCGGCGCATGAGAAAGTGCTTTGCAGACTGCACTTGTAGACGGATGCTTTCTGGCGGGCAGACCGAGAGGAGCAACCAAAAGCAGCTTAGAGAGGCAGAGTAAGGATGGTCTGCTGTACCCCAGACTTCTCAGCGTCTTGCTCGCTAGAGCTCAATCCAATACAATGATTGTGGGAATGCCAAGGAATTGCTCCTCAAGAGAGAGAGAGAGAGAGAGAGTTTTGACAATGAGACAAAGTTGCACAACAGCGAAAAGCCTCGACACTTTGAGGGCGAATTTAGGAGACAGGAGCCTTTTGTTCGAGAACATTGCGTTGATGCCCAAAAACGGAAAAAAGAAAAAGAAAAAGAAGTTGGATTTTTCGGCGACACCGGAGTTGGCATGAGGTGGTGACACCCTTTGAGCCCCTCTGATTTCTCATTTGGTCTGAGAAGTGAGAGAACCTGAGTGGAGATGTATTTATGATGGGCAGCACAGACGCTGTTTGTAGTACCTCCTCCTTAGTTTCTTGAGCTGAAACCGCCCCGCGGCAACGGATGCTGCTCTTTGTTTTTCGCTAGCTTCCGTTCCTGGCGGTGCTACAAAAACAAACAAACAAAAAACGAAACGCCGTCTTGCACTGAACAAGCAGCAGCAGAGCTTACAGTATCGAAGTGGTTCGGGCCCCCTTCTCTGGCGTATCAACCCTCATTGATCGTGAGTGGTCAGCATGATTTGTGTTGAGATTGACAGGGAGAGTGCGATGCAAGGCGACAAACAAGCGAGGATGGTGGGAGAGGAAATCGAAGCAATAGCGCCGTTGGTTTGGATGTGCCGAAAATTGCCAATTTCGATTCCTCCATTACAAGCCATCCTCGTTGTGAATACACTGGTAGTTAAGTCAATACAAACTAAAAACGCCTTCGACCCCGCAAAAAGAAAACCCAAGTAAAAAATAAATAAAAAACCAAAAGAAAAAAACCAAAAAGAAAAAACCAAAAAGAAAAAACCAAAAAGAAAAAAAACCAAAAGACCTCGCCTCTTGACACAACTACTGCACAGGAGAGAAGCAACCTCTTGCGTCACTTCTGAGTTTGGATATCAGGAGACGTTACACTGCATGATGCATGGCAACCGAGCTCCTCTTCTCCTCTCTCTCTTATACACTCGAGTCTGCGTATATGCTGTCTTTTCCTCCTAGCGAGCTTCCTCTCATAACCATTCGTGAACCGCAGACCCAGATGCTCTTCCGAGGGTTCTTTGCGCTATGCCTGCGATAGCACATCGCTCTCCCGCCGTCGTTTTGTCTTGGTCCAGGAACACTTCCTTGCCCGCAGTATGCGAGGCCGCCTCTCCCAGAGTCGTGCGATTTGAAATACAAGTCTTTGACAACGACGATTCAATTGGCGGAGAGCTTAATTACGACTCCTCCCTCTATGCGGCTGCATGCTCATCATTTGAGCACCAGCTTGCACCCTGACCCAGCTGAACGACCCTCTCTCGCTGCCGTTGCGATTGTGCGGGATGCCGATCATGCTGCTGTATCACAGTCGCACCATCATCAGCAATTGCAACAGGAAGGACAAAGAGCGATTGGTGAACAACCCAAAATTTCATTACGCAGAACGGCGCTGCACCTCTTGATTATTTCGCCCCGACGCTGCCGTTTTGCACACCCTCCCCTCTTTTCTCTTTGTTTTGCATAGTACTTCCAGGATGAGCCAGGCCGCACAGCCGAACAAAGCTTCATGGTCAACAAGGTCTTATTGCAAGAAACTCTCCGTGCAACAGCAAATGAATCGACGAGTTTATGCCTTTCGAACCACTTTTTCTTTTTTTTTTTTTTTTTTTCTTTTTTTTTCTTTTTTTTTTTCTTTTTTCTTTTTTTTTCTTTTTTTTTTTCTTTTTTTTTTTTTTTTTTTTTTTCTTTTTTTTCGTGACGACCTCTACGTACAACAGCTGGATCCGGTTGGAAGGTAGGCTGAAGGAAGCGAGGGCTGAGTCGCCAAGTCTGGCGACAGCCAATCGTATGACAAATCCACCGCTGCACAATGGTTGAAAAGCAAGCATAAGAAAGGGTTCCATGGGAGTCGCCGAACAAAAAGAAAAGAGAGAATTCTAGGCCACGAGACAGAGTCGATGCGAAAGGATTATAATTCTGGCAGCTGGCGCAACTCTAACTAAGTTAGCGTCTCTCTCTCGGGCGCTTTCGAAGCAGTGGGGTCAAGTATGCAAGGTCCTGAGTCCTCAACGGCAACCCACCTTGCACTGAGAAGTTGCCGTGTGTCTGTCTGTGTGTGCTATGTGCTTCGGCAGGAGACTTTAAAAAAAAAAAAAAAAAAAAAAAAAAAAAAAAAAAAAAAAAACACCTAGAAGCAATACACATACGATAGCACACTGGATCGCTTCTAGGTTCGATGAGAACAAAGCTTACCGCTGCATAGAGCTCATAGTCTAATCGGCACTACAGTTGCATCATCGCCTTCCGCCATTGCCGATCCATACGTCTCGCCAAGACGATCATGCCTCTGCTATGTTTAGCGCCAACACTTAAAAGGAGCGAGCAAGAGGAGCGAGGTGTGATTTTCTAGCGAACTGCAATGCGATCCCCCTCGCCTGGGGGAAAAGGAAAGAGTGATGCGGGGCGATGGGAGCGAGATCGTCGCCTTGTTTCGCCAAAGCCAAGTCGAGGATGCGATGTATTATGTCATGTCCTCCGCAAAAGCAGCATGTACTAGATCGGCGCAAAGCATGGCTTGCAGGCCAATTGAGGTTGAGCTTAAGCTTGTTAGATCGTTTGGCAAAACAATCAGGTAATGATTGGTAAGCATCATTGGCTGCGCCTAGAAGATTTCGCTTTGGGTTGGTCGCTGAGCATCATCTTGTCACCACACAACCTTTTTTCGACATCAAAGCCATCGAGAAGGATCCGCATCGCATCGGCACAATACGGGGAGAAGGCGTCAAAGATGCAGCAAACGAACGCAGGCAATCCACGCAAGCGATTCACCGCCACTGGCTCTGAAGCTGGCCCCTCTCGCACCCCCCGAATCGCCAACGCAGTCCCAGATTCCATCCTCCAAGACGCCGCTGTCAACCAAGCCATCGCCTCCATCCTCCCTGGGAACTACAACTTTGAGATCCACAAAACAATCCACCATATTCGTAAAGCATCTGCAACATGTGTCGCTCTGCAGATGCCCGAAGGTCTCACGCTGTGGGCTACAGGTATCGCTGACATTCTAGAGCGGTTCACAGAGGCAACGACGGTAATCATGGGCGATGTTACCTACGGAGCATGCTGTGTGGACGACTATACGGCGATGGCGTTGGGCTGTGACATGTTAGTGCATTATGGTCATAGCTGTTTGGTGCCAGTGGATCAGACGGCGATCAAGACGCTCTACGTGTTTGTGGAGATCTCGATTGATCCTGCTCATTTGGCTAGTACGGTGAGGGCCAACTTTCCAAGCGACAAGGAGCAGTTCAGGGCAAAGATCCTGGGTGGAAGTCAGAATGTGAAGGGGGAGAGGCAGGCGGTTGATGAGAGTGCTGGGCGCGCAAGGATCCAAATCGGCCAAGCTCACGATGCCAACGCTCAAGCGTCCAATTCGTCGGCAACAAGCTCAACCCCAACACATCTAGCATTGGTGGGAACAGTACAGTTCATCAACGCAATTCACGCTCTACGAGAGGCACTGGAGCAACAACAGCATCGCTCAGCCCATGGCACCATCGTCAATGGCGAACCTGATCCTGATCGACTACTTCTCACCGCTGCATCCGCCACAAGGGGCACAGTCGACCCTATTTCGCAGGCAGCCAAATGGAAATCCTGGACATCAGGAGAATACAAAATCACAGTTCCACAAGTCAAACCTCTCAGCCCAGGAGAAGTTCTCGGCTGCACATCCCCCAAATTGGACAAAGACAGCATCGATGCGATCGTCTACATTGGAGATGGACGGTTTCATCTCGAGTCGATCATGATCGGCAATCCCCGCATCCCTGCTTTCCGATACGACCCGTACACAAAACGCTTTGTTAGAGAGCTATACGATCATGCCGAGATGCGCAAGATGCGCCGAGAAGCAGTTCGACTCGCTCAGGCCAGCGTAGGAGCGATGGACCTCGATCCTGAAACTTGCATGGACAAGCAGAAATCAGATGCTCAGGCACTGCAGGAAGAAAGGAGGAAAGCAACGGGATGGGGTGTTGTCTTGGGCACTCTTGGTAGACAAGGCAGCCTAAGAGTGCTCGAATCTCTGAGCACATCGCTAGCACAGCACTCTCCTCCAATCCCACACGTGCGGATCTTGCTATCCGAACTGTCACCGCAGAAAGTGGGACTGTTTGGAGACCATCTCTCGGCGTTCATCCAGACAAGTTGTCCGCGTTTGTCGATCGATTGGGGCTCAGCATTCCCGAAACCGCTTCTCAGCCCTTATGAAGCAGCGGTAAGTGTGAACAAGATCAAGGGCTGGCAGGAGGATGTGGAAGGCTTAGGGATGAGTAGGACTCCAGCCAAACCAACTGCGAACGGTAGCAAAGGAGAGGTACCGGCGCAAGACAAGCATCTGCCACTGGACGGTGACTATCCCATGGATTTCTACAGTGACAGTTCCTTGGGACCTTGGACACCAAGACATGGTATGGCACAGGTAAAGAAGCCAGCAGGTGCAAAGAGCAATCTGGCCTTGTTGAAGAGTTTGAGGAGCAAGAGAGCTGCTGCGTCTCCTTCTGCTTCGGCATAAGCTTGAATTGGATTGCAGTCTAGACGCTTCATACACTCAACATTGTGTGTCTGCTAGTCTTCTGATCAGGCTTGGAGCAGCGGTGCAAGCCAGTGCCTGATTGTTGAGCTAGGCTTAGGGTTGGATGTGAGTTTACCGGGGCCTTGAGCGGGATTTGATTCGAGAAGAAAAAGAGCCTTCTAATTTCAATTTACAGTAACAGCAAATTCCACCACAAAAACAAAACAAAAAAAAAAAAAAAAAAAAAAAACAAAAAAACAAAAAAACAAAAAAAAAGGTGATTTATCGTGCGAATGGATAGATGCGCAATTTTTTTTAAATGGTGAGCGAAAGGGCACGTGACCAACACTGACCCGAGTTGGGCAATTTAACATTTTTCTTCTTCTTTTTTTTTTCTTTTCTCCTTTCCATTTTCAGTCTCTCTCAGTTGAAGATGACAAGTGAAACGCGACAGATCGGAGCTTCTTGCAAGCTCAACTGCACAGTCGTATAACTCCTTGAGTACTTATATTGTATGCTACTGTGTGCATAAACATATGCATATATATATATCTGATGATCACTTCCAATCCCACATTTATCCATGATGAGTCATCACTCTTGGTCACCCCTGAGTTGTTATCCAATGCATGTCATCATGGCAATGCATGTGCATCCCACCTGAATTTCCAACTGTGTGCAGCCTTTCCCATTAGACATTCATTTAGGTCTCACTTGCGCTCTGCAGACCCCATTATCCCATTGTGGTGCCGACACATCTTCAACTCCCCCCTTTGACAGCATCTTGAGTCCCAATGACTGTGCTAGCTGAGATGTTGCCAACCCTTTTAGTGGCTTTGTTAAGATGTCTGCCACATTATTTGCTGTTCTAACAAATTCGATTGCTATTTCCCCATCCTGTACATGGTCCCTAACAAAGTGGTACCTGGTATCTATATGCTTCAGTTTCCAATGCTTTGCTGGGTCCTTACTCACTTGAATACATCCTTGACTGTCAGTATGTAAGGTTGGCTGGATCATTCCCACCTCTAGATCCCTGAGGAGATAGGAGAAGAATAGTGCTTCTCTTGCTGCCTCTGAGGCAGCAACAAATTCAGCTTCCACAGCTGATAACACCATGCACTTTTGGACGTGCGATTTCCAGCTGACAGGACACCCATGTACATATGTTACAGCCCCTGAGGTGCTCCTTCATCCATTCATTGGGTCTGATGCCCAATTTGCATCCATGTATGTAATGACTGCATGTCCTGAATGCTTGTTTGATCAGTCTCCAAATATGAGTTTATACTCACTGGTTTGGTTCAGGTACTTAAGTAGGTGGATGGCTGCCCTCCATGCCCCATTGGTCGGGTTTGACATGTATCTTGCCAGTATCCCTACTGTGAATGATATATCCGGGCATGTGGTATTCGAGACCCATAGTAGTTGTCCAACTAACTCCTGGTATTGCTTGGCTTCTACTGGGTTACATTTGTCTTCTCCAGTCAAACTTGCTATTCCTTGCATTGGTACCCAGGACTTCTGACTGGTCACTTGTAACCACTTGTTCACCATGGCTCTTATGTAGGCTGATAAGTCGAGGGACATCCTCCTTTCTGCCCTGTTTCAGTTTATGCATACACCCAGAAACTCTCTCACTGGCCCATTATCTTCTGTTCCCCATTTAGCCATTATCTCCTTCTTAGTTCGATCTATCTCCTTTCAGCTGGGGGATGCTATAAGCATGTCATCCATGTATGCTGTAATAATAGTTAGATTATTCCTGGTCCCTCTTGAGTACAGACAAGGTGCACTCGGCATGCAGTAAAAACCCATGCTTCGCAAATGTGAGTCCAACTCCAAGTTCCATTCTCTGCCTGATTGTTTTAGCCCATACAGTCCCTTGATTAACTTTAAGTGCTTTCCTGGAGGGATCTTGGTCCCAATCGGCGGCTTCAAGAACATGTCGTGGTGTAGCATCGAATTCAGATATGCTTGCTTGACATCAATGCAGTCTACCTCCCAATCTTGCATGGTTGCTATGGCTAAGACTCCTTGGATAGATTGGATAGGTGCCACAGGTGCAAACACCTCCATATAATCAATTCCTTGTCTTTGTGTAAACCCTCAAGCTACCAGTCTTGCTTTGAATTTCGTTGGGATCAGATCTGCATCTGTCTTGATTTTTAAAACCCAATGCATGTCGACAGCATTCATCCCCTTCAGGAGGTCGGCGATTTCCCATGTGCCCATGGCTCTGAGTCCATCCAGCTCCTTACGCATTGCTTCTTTCCAATGCTGCTTGTCTTCTCCAGATAAAGCTTCACTTACTGTCAGATCCAGGTTCCTCTGCCTATCATGGTTCATTGCCATGAGTCCAAGAATTGGGTCGCTGGCCTGTATTTCAGAGTCAGTCACATTCTTTGTATGTTTTGCCATATCCTCAATGGAGTCCTTTTCATCATTTGGTTCATCGATTGTCTTCATATCCAAATGCTCATCATGGGGCTCTCTTTCCCTTTCATTGAATAGATTTTCGTTCATGTACCTTAAGTCACTGAGGTCTGCCTCATCTGCTAGCGCTGGCAGCAACTGTATTCTTGTTGGGTGCCATTCTGTTCTGTCAGCCCAGCACTTGTCTTCCATGAACTTCATGGAGTTGCTCCAGAATATGTTTGGATTATAGTCTGGACTATAGAAGAGCCACCCTCTTCTTTCCAAACTGTATCCCAGGAATATGGATGCCACTGCTCATTGGTCCAACCTCTTGCTGTCTCTTTTAACTTTAGGGATGTTAACCCATGCTAGGCATCCAAAAACCCATAAGAACTTTATGAGCCACTCCAGTGATTTCCCGAACATGACTTGGTATGGGAACTCACCATCAACATTGGGTGTGAGATTTATTTTGAATGCCACAGCCCAGATCGCATACGGCCAGAAGCTTCTCGGCAGTTTCCTCTGCATGAGTAGTGTCAGGGGTCTCGCGCCTGAAACCCAGGTCGGTCTGTCGAGATACTCGGTGACTATCAAACTGTGCGACAGCTATTGTCTCGGTATCGGTGACTATCAAGTTGTGCAGTGACAGCAGGTGGCGTTCGTTGTATATACTATCATAGGTTTCGGCTGACCTCTGTGGACACTCCGTTCAGGGGTAGCTCGGCACAATCAATATCAATGCTTTGGTTATGATGACACCAAGGTCTGGTGTGAGTGCTGATGATGATGAGGTTGATGATGTTGGTGATAAGGTTGGTGAGTGTTGATGATAATGGGGTTGATGGTGTTGGTGATAAGGTTGGTGGCGTCAACACGAGTGTCCAGTGTGTTGACTTGATGCTTGAAGTGATCCCCGGACCACAGTGGACTACTGCCTTCGGTTCTATCTATATCTGGACTGCTAACCTGCTATGGGCACCTTCGGACATCAGGTAGTGGTGATACAACACACACACTACGATGAGGAGCAACCTTGATAGATTGCTGCTATGCTGACTGAAACTAATGTATACTTATGCTGAAGTGATAACTAGTTATATGGTGAGTAGAGTGGATGAGGATCCACTCGACCTATGATGATGAGAAAGCATGGTTATATACCTCTTCACAGCATCACCAGCGATGCTGCTCCTGCTCTCTCTCCAGAGAGTACCTTCTTCATCGAGTACTGCTCAGGGGCCTCTCCTGCTTGGCGCCCCTGTGCCTCTTGAGTGGTGTCGACTCCTTTGACACTGCTCCTCCTCCTCATGACCTGGTGTCAACTCCCTCAACACTGCTCCTCCTCCTCATGACCTGGTGTCGACTCCCTCAACACTGCTCCTCTTCCTCAGGACCTGCTTGCCAGTGTCCTATGACTCTTGTCTCTCGAGCCCCTGAGTGGTAACCATCTGAGCTTGGTCCTCTTCATGGCTGTGCCTGCTCCTTGAGCTTGGTCCTCCTCGTGGCTGTGCCTGGCCCTCCTCGCATGTGGCTCGGTTCTCCTTTGCATGTGAGTCCATAGGAGTCCATGGTCTCCATGGAGACTGCACTACGACCATGCTCTCTACTGGTATCGACTAGATCTTCGATACCTGTGCTCCTTCCATATGAACCAGTGACCCTCCTGCTTCTTGAGCATCCAGGCCCATGACAAGTAGCATCCTCATCTTTTCTCCTAGACTTCTGTTCATTCTTTCCACGCATCTGTTTTGCTTGCTGTTGTACCTGACTGTCATCTGCCATTCTATACCTTTATCGTATGCCCAGTCAAGTGTGTCATTGCTTCACCACTCCATTCCTTGGTCTGATCATATGGCTTTCAGTCTCTTTCCCATCTGTGTTTCAAGGTATGATACTATGGCTTGGAGTTTGGAGAACGCATGGCTCTTCCGTAATAAGGGCTGCACATACATGTACTTGCTATGGTCATCAACCATTACCAGTGTGCATGTATATTCTGCTGCATGTGAGGAATCAACTATCAAGTCGATGTGGATGAGGTCAAGTGGGGAGATGGATTTCTCACCACTACCTTGTCCCATTCGAGCTGTTGTACTCTTGGATCGGATGCATTGCTCACATGTTTGGGTCATATCCGGATCCAATTCAGCCATGTTCTTTTCCTTTAAAAGGTTGGTAATGGCCCTTGTCTTATCTCGACCTGGGTGCCCTAGGTGCTCATGCCATAGTTGTTGCTTAGATATCCTGGTTTTGCTTTCTATCTGCTTGAAATCTTCATTAACACCCTCAAATAATGATGTTGATGTGATCATTGCATTCTCTTGCCATGGATCACCTCGGAACTCTAAAAGTCCTCGCTTGTGATTCTTGGTCATCTTGAGTAGCATACCGTTCGCTAGGTGTATTTGCCCACTGGTGGAATCCAATATCACTCGTGCTCCTTCATCTGTTAATGAGTTGGTTGACAAAAGGTTAATATTGAGGTGCCTAACATATAGTACATGATGGAGTAGTACATCTCCGTTACTTGTTGATATGCTGGCATCTCCAATAGCTGTTGCTTCTAAAACTTCGCTTCTGGCTGTGAATACATGTTTTCGGCAAGTTTTAGGATTGATGAGCATACTGTAGATATTAACCATATGATAACTGGCCCCTGAGTCTAAGATCCAGTGAGGGGCTCTTTTAGAGCCAGGGGGCCTCTGCCAACTTGGTGCAAAGGAGCACCATGGTTCCTATTTGGTTTTGGCTAGGGGAGAATTCTCCAGGATGGTTACCATAGCATCGCACTGGCCAATCCTGTGTCCCAGTTGCTTGCAGACCCAGCACTGGAGCTTTCGAGGTCGAACACTAACTTTGGCATTGGCATTGTCTTCATCCTTCTCATCCTTCACAGCTGGTTCCTCTTGGTTGTTGCTGCCAGCAACTCTGGCACTAGCCTGGTGAGGGTCAATCTTTTGGGCGGGATAATTCTCAACTGCTGATTGTTGGATGGTTAGGGTTGTAGTGAGTGCATTGAAAGTGAGTTGACTGATAGTGGCAACCATTTCTTTATACACAGGGTGGCAGATAGTGCACTTCTGTAGGGTCAAAAACAAGGTGTCATCTGCAAATGGTTTTCCCAGTAAGCTGCTCTCTGTCTGGATTGTCCTAATTTCCTGGATGAGCTTCCAGACATTGGAATTGTACATTCTGAGCTTGCCTAGCTGGGCTATGAGGGCGATTCGACATGAGGTTATGATGGCCTCATTGGTTAATCCATTTTCAATCTTCTTCCAGATCTGGTGGAAAGTGTGATATTCCCTAATGATGTCAAGGATTAGGTAGTTGATGTTGTGTTCTCCAGTGGTGTCGATAGTGCCATGTACTGCATTTGTGAGGGCATCATCAAATACACAATTCCACTTGGGGTGGTTCTTGTCATATGTTCCCTCAAGGTGTTTCATGGCATGGGGAACAGATTGAAGGAAAGACTTGATGTGGACATTCCAACTATAGTAGCTTTGTGACGTTAACTTGGGCACTGGCTCGAGGAGCTTCACCAGAGTGCGAAAGTTGTATCGTTTGCTGCTGCTGTTTTGATCAGGATTGGAATCGGTTTCTTCATCAGTCACTTCATTTTCAGTTTCATTGGTGGTGTTGTTATTGGGAACTCACAGTTGAGGAACTTTACCCTTTCTACCTCCTTTGGCTTTACTTGCACCTGCTTGTATTTCAGTGTTGTCTGTCATGGTGATGAAGGGTTCCCTGTTACCTCAGTCAGTAGGGCTTCAGACTCTTAATCAGTTGAAGATGACAAGTGAAATGCAACAGATTGGAGCTTCTTGCAAGCTCAACTGCACAGTTGTATAACTCCTTGAGTACTTATATTGTATGCTACTGTGTGCATAAACATATGCATATATATATATCTGATGATTGCTTCCAATCCCATGTTTATCCATGATGAGTCATTGCTCTTGGTCACCCCTGAGTTGTTATCCAATGCATGTCATCATGGCAATGCATGTGCATCCCACATGAATTTCTGACTGTGTGCAGCCTTTCCCATTAGACATTCATTTAGGTCTCGCTTGCACTCCGCGGACCCCGTTATCCCGTTGTGGTGCCGACGCATCTTCAACTCTCTCTCTCTCCAATATTGACGCGTTGGCAAGAGCGATAACTGACGGTTGAATGTTTTCGCACGAGAGTAAGAAAGAGATAGAATTGCGTGCGTTTATGCTTCCCGTTGTTCTGCGCCCGTCGATCTGAGCTCAGTTTGAGTTGCGTTTGGCTTTCATTCTCTCCCCCACATAGCCATTGTATGCATTCCTTCGCCCCCCTTTCCCGTCTCGATATCCCACATCTCGACTGTCGACTCCTCTAGCTTGGACGTGGAAGGGCGTCGATTCAAAGCCCAATCAGGTGGCCGTTACCAATCCAAGGGCGTGCATTCATTGCTTTCTTGCTCTCCTGCCTCCATCACGGACTTGCAGGCTTCTGCCTGTTGCCCTCTTCCTTCCATCCGCACGGCATCGTGTCCATCGTATAGGTTGCTCTCTCGTTCACAATTCGACCTCTACTCCGTTCGCTCATCTTCCGCATCCATCAAGGCCAACGTCCCGCCCGTAATCAAAGCTTTTAGAATTGATCCGCCTCTCAGGCATAGAACCCCATCATGGCATCCACAAAAGCCGTCGATCGCGTCTGGGCGCTTCACGACTTTGAAGCCGAGAACCCAGATGAGGTCTCGTTCAAGGCTGGAGAGTGCATCTTCGTCGTTGAAAAGGATGACGAGTTCGGAGATGGCTGGTGGCAAGGCACCAACCAGAGCGGTCACACCGGTCTCTTCCCCTTCACTTATACCACTCTCGATCGCAATCTTGCTCTAAGCGCCAAGTCCGACAACGCAACTCCAGATGCGCTTGGCACACCTCAAGCTCTTGGCTCCTGCGCAAAACCCGGCGTAATGCACTCCACCATGGCCGACATCGACAATGCTCTTACAGAACTCCAAAGCGATCGCAAACCATCTAGCCTCAACGGAAGCACCTCCGCTGCTGCTGATGCTCGTGCAGGAGGAACAGTTGGCAGCAATCCCAATGCTCATGCTTCTCGAGCTTCTTTCACCAGCGAGCCAACTGACGCCGATGATCAATCCGACAACTTTGGCGAATCCGACAACTTTGCCAACAGAGCCATCGCCGCTCGTGCCGCACTTGCAGCTAATGCACAGAAGAACCTCGCCAACGATGCAGAGCGTGAAAAGCAGCAGGAACAGCGCATACGAGCAGAAGCACAGCGTCAATTTGAGCAGGAAGAAGCTTGTCAACGTCAGCTGTTGCTTCAAGTGGAAAAGGAACGCCAGGCCAAGTTGGCCGCTGGTGAATTGCATCCATCTGAAGAAAAGTCAAAAGCGCCTCCTATCGCTGGCGTGGATATGAGCGATGAGAGTGATAGCGAAGGATCGGTCGGCTTCTTGGATGATTTCCAGGACAAGACTCATAGTCCACTCTTTGGCAACCTTGCCCCGACTCCCACCGAGGCTACGGCTGCCAGGGAGATCAAACCTCCCACTTCGCATTTGCAGGGGATCGTGGAGGATCATCTCGCAGCTACTGCCAAATCGCCAGTCCAACCACAGTCTAGTCTTGTGCAGGCAGAGACACCAGCTCTGGCGCCTCTCACTTCCAATGACATTGCTTCCTCGCTCACACCAGATGTCGAGAGTGCTCCCACCAACACTACCGCTGTAGCACCCGTTTCCCAGTCCACTTCGAGCACTGTTCCCGCTTTGGCGGCTGGTGCGGGTGCTGTTGCGCTCGGTAGCACCGCTGCTGCCGTTGCAAACCACGAACGATCGGCCAATGCATCCACTACCGGAAGTGCAGCAGTACCAGCAGCCGCTGACGACGGTGCTCGATCTGTCGCTGGTGATAGTACTCGAACCGGCACAGAGACAGGTCCAGGCACTGGCATAGCCACCGGCACTGCCACTGCTGCCACTTCGATCGCTGCTGGGACCGACAATGACACACCACGATCAAGCACTCCCGCAGCATCCACTCCCGCAGCTGCTGCGGGCACCAAATCTCCCGCTCCCGTATCTGCCAACATCGCCGGTGACCCGACAGAGTGGGGTGTCGACCAAGTCGTCGAATGGGCACGCTCCAAAGGTTGGGACGAAGCATCCGTCGTCAGCAAGTTCCGCGAACACGAGATCTCGGGAGACGTCTTGCTCGAAATGGACATCAACATCCTCAAAGAGATTGAGATTGTTGCTTTCGGCAAGCGTTTTCAAGTCGCCAACGGTATCAAAGAGCTTCGTTCTCAAGTTCCCGGTGCTGTTACCACTCCTGGCTTATCTCAGTCTGTGCAGAATGAAGGACTTGGTAGTCCAGCGCTCATTGCTCCAGGTGCACCTGGAACTTCCACTTACTCGCCCTACAATCCGGGCTCGCACAACGGCAGCAATGCTGATGGTCGAAGCTTGAGCGCTAGGATGGCTGAGACGAGTTTGGATCAGAGTTTCGCGCCGACTTCCAGTCGACCGGGAAGTTTTGGTGGCGATCGAGACTCGTTTGGTGGTCCAGCTCAGGCTGGTGGGTTTGGTGGACAAGGTTTTGCTGGTCCGGCAGGTGTGGCCGCGTGGCAAGCACAGCAAGCGGGTCAGTTGGCTCACGGATCGCGTGTTCCGAGTGGAGATGTTTCTCTTTCGCCTACCAGCACTTCGCAGTTTGGTGCTATGCAGAATCCAAGATATGCTCCCACAAGCGGTGCGGGTGCGGGTGCAGGTGCGGGTGCGGGTGCGGGTGGTCCGTATGAAGACAAGCTGGGTGCTCTCCCTACATCTCCACGCAAGCGAGAATCGACTGGATCGGCGGGGGCTTCGGAGAAGAACAACAGATCGAGCTTCTTCGGTCTTGGTCAACGTAATCGCAAGCCTCCTCCTAACCAAGCGGCTAGAGCTGACAGTGTAGTTGGTGGACCAGCTTCTAGTGTTGGTGATGATGATGGTAGGAGTAGCAAAGGTACCCTCTCGAGACTTGGGTTTGCGAGGAGTTCGAAGAATATCAGCAATCAATCCTCGCAGAGCAACTTTAAGGATCAGATCTCCTTGCCGACTTCCAGTCCTCACTTTGATAGTAATGGGGATACGGCAAGACGACAGCGTCAATCCACCGGTGGTGGTATGGCTCCTGGAATGCCTGGTACATCTCAACAACACCAACAACAAGCGAATATGGGAATGGGAATGCCAACCAACGCTCGTCCCACTTCGATCGGTTCAGCTGGACTCGACGCTCCTCCTACCCCTTCCGCATCCGCTGCCGCTGTCGGTACAGGCGCAGGTACCGGTACAGCAGATGGTCCAGTAATGTCTCGCATCCAACCAGTCGATCTGGAAGGATGGATAAAGAAAAAAGGCGAACGGTACAATTCCTGGAAACCTCGTTATCTTGCCCTCAAAGGTCCCGATCTGGTCATCCTACGCGATCCCCATGCTGAGAAGATCAAAGGCTACGTCAATATGAACGGATACAAAGTTATCGCCGACGAAAACACAAATCCAGGAAAGTACGGGTTCAAGATTCTCCACGAAACTGAAAAACCTCATTACTTTTCCAGTGAAGATCCAATCCTAGTTCGAGAATGGATGAAGATGCTAATGAAGAGTACGATTGGTAGGGATCATAGCTTCCCAGTGATAAGCAGTTATAACAATGCCACTATTAGTTTGAAGGAAGCTCAGAGGATGAATCCACCACCGAGACCACCGAGTCCAACAAGTAGAGCTAGGACGCAAAGGGCGAAAGTTAGGCCAAATCCGGAACAGTTGACCGCAAGAGATGCGGCGATATTGATGAACTTGACTAGTGCACAGCCGACAAAGATGGATCATCATGTCTAGGCTCAAAGTATAGGGGATCTGATCAATCCATGCAATGATGAAGCTTTTTTTATGATTGTTTGCAATGGTGTGTGTGTGTGTGTGTGTGTGTGTGTGGTATGGGGTTAGAGGTCGGTGAAGAATGATTGACTTTTGCCCTTCTTTCCCTTCGAGAATGGTGGTGCTTCTTCTTCTGACTCTTCCTCCTCCTCTTCGCTAGCCTCTGCGTCATCTTGGTCGGAGTCGTCGGGGGAAGGTTGGTTTTGTAACCCGGCAAACTCGTCCTCCTCTTGTTCCTCTTCTTGATCATCATCACTATGCGCATCCGGATGGAACCCAACAACCCCCAATGGTCCCGCCTCTGCCTCCTCCCCTTCCCCCTCTCCATCGTCATCATCCAACAAGGGAGTCAAATCAGTAAATTTAACGGCATGACTATGACCAATACTACCCAACACATTGGCCTTTCTTCTCATCCTTTCCACTGGTAAGCCATCATGACTTGCAATCACACCCAACAACTTACTCGGCAATATTTGAACAACCCTCACAAGTCCATCTGAGCTACCAGTCAAAACAGTCTCGTTGTCCAGAGTGACGAGTGTATCGACGGAAGCTGGGTGACCCGGAACTCTATCGACGTGATCCAGTAAGCCTCGAGACGGGTTCCAAAGCGAAAGAATGCCGAGTTGTGTGCCAACAACTAACTTTGACGAAGAGCGGATGCAAGTGATGGAGAGCAGTTCGTCTTCTTGGTCTTGGGATAATTCGAAAGAGGTTGGTCCTGAAGATCTTAGATCTATGCTAGACAGGGAACCGTCTCCAGAGGTTACCATTAATCTTTGCCTACCTTGTCTCTTTTCCTCCTCTCCCGCATCTTCGTCACTACTCTCCCCCTGACTCTGTTCATCACTTTGATCCTGCTGAGCTTTGACTAGTGCAGCTTGTCGTGCTTTCTTCCGTTGCTTCTTAAGCTGAGTTTTACTTTTCCTCCCTGCCGCCTGCCCTTTGCCTTTTTTCGGAATGGGAAGATCAGGGAGGAAAAGGAGATCGGTGATCCAATCAAAATGATGTTCCCACTTCCTAACTTGCCCTCCCTTTCCCCCCTTTCTAGGATCAAAAAGTCTTACAACTCCATCGTCATCACCCGTGACAACCATGCCTTCATCTATCGGCAACACGCGGCTCGGTGCTGCATCATGGACCCTGATCCAACTGTCAACCACTCTGCCGGTCTCTACATCTGTCTTGAACAGGCTTTTGTCCTTGCTAATACTATAAATGTGCGGGGTGGTGGGGTGAAATGCTAGGCCTCGACATGATTTCTTGCTTGGACGGGAGATCCATACTTTTTCGTAAAGTTTGGCTGGTGAGGTGGTGACGGGATCAGAGGAGGTGCGGATCTTCTTTGAGGGTGGCGAGGAGGAGGCGGGTGCGGGCGTGCGAGAGGAGGAAGGGGCAGAAGCATAGTCGTCATAATTGATCAGTTGGATTTTACCTGAGATGAGTCCTACAGCGAGTAGGTTTTTGTTTTCGTCTGGATGGAAGGAAAGATCCAGAGCATCGGATGATAGAGGGATGTCCATGGTTGGCTTACCCTTCGTGCTGCGATGGATGTTGATGGTTGTACGATGAAGAGGAGGAGGAAGTGCGAGAAAAAAAGAGGCAACAGAAATGAAAGCAATTGTTTTGTGCACGGACCATCTAGGCAAAAGGCGTTGATGTTAGACCGAACAAGTTTTTGTCTGAAGAAATGGGCAAAAGTTGCGATCGGATCCGATTTCAAATCAGGTGTATCTAAACCTTCTCGGATCCTGTCTTACTCCACCATCACTCCACTCACTCAACAGCTGTTGTTCTGATCCTTCTCATCAACACACACATCGCAGGGAGCCCAAATTACAGCTCCGCACAGCTCTCCGTCCATCGCAACCAAACAGCACCAACATCGACACAGACAGATCAATAGCCGAAGATGCCAGTTCCATTCGAAGCTTTTTTGCACATGGGTACGTCCCCATCCCCCCTTTCCCCCACCCCTACCTCTCATCCTCGGAGAGTTCTTGCTGACACCAGTTGAATGTTTTGCTTCGGGCTTCGGCAGGGATGGTGGTAGTAATGTTCGGCGTAGCAGGAACAGGTTATAACGTCGTTCGAAGGTTGGCTGAAGATGGAAAGGTATGTCCCTCCCCACAACCCATCCCCATCACCCATTACCATTCTTATCATCCCTTCTTTCCACCCCTGCTTACCCCTCCCCTATTTCTTTTGATGTGGTCCGATGGATGATGTAGCCAATTCGACACTCGCTAGACGACTGGGAACGAATGATGATGAAACGTGATGAACGTTTAACGGGTAGTTTGCGAGGTCAAAGTGTAAGTTCCCAATCCCCAACCCCCAACCCCCAACCCACAACCCTACGAGAGGAGAATACTGATGACCATGACAATATGTGTTTTGGGAATTGGGGATGACAGACAAACCCTATAGCACCGAAAGAGTTTGCTACTAATAGCGCCTGGTCGACTGAGAAGCTCTCTTAGACGTCGCAAGGCATTCTTTTACTACATGTTTCCATTCAAGACTCTTTCTCGCAATTTTACAACGTCCTCACAAACAGCGTATCGCAGAAGTTTCAGGCGTTGTGCGATCAGACAGGCATCATTGGAGATGATGTTGGTGTTCGGATTGAACGATGCCTGGAAAAGAGCGCAGGGTTGGTGCTACTTGCAAATCTCAACCCTCCTCCTCAGCACCTCGCTGACATTCACTTTTCCGTCATCAATGTTCCCAAGCTTCTCCAACAAATGCCGATACTCGTCGCCCTTCCTACCTTCTTCCTCGGCATGGAAAACAATTTCAACTGCTTTTGCTAGCGTCACTGCCTCCCCCTTTGCGCCCTTGCTTTCCCCCTCCGCACCACCACTCGTACTACTCGGCAGCGTCAGTAACCTCGCCACATCCCCCACCACTTTCCACGGCGCTTCCGGCTTCCTACCCAACCTACCCCCTCCCGCTAACTCCCCCACCACCCCTAGCCAACCCTCTTCTAAATCCTTCCTAAACCTTACACCCCCAGCTAGATTAAACCTTTTCGAACCACCTGCCATTACAAGCCTCTCCACTAGCGCCCCCGAAATAGAAGTGGAGATATGGCGGTAGATGGGGAGCATTGTTTCTCGGGAGAGAATCGTTAGGAGATGCGAGAGGTGTGAGTTGAAGATGGCCAATGCCGGGATGAGAGAGGGGGTTGGGTACGGTTCGATTTCCTCCAATCCTTCGTCGGAGTCAGGGTTGAGAGGGGTGGAGGGGAGGGATTCTTGATCCCACCTACGCAAAGTATAGGGACGGAGCAATTCGAGCGTTTCAGTAGTAACCAATCTTTCGATAGCTGCAATAGCACGTTGTGAAATCTCTCCAAATTTGCGTCTTGGTTCTTCCCATACTCCATACCGACCGAATTCATTCAACACCTGCTTATTCCCCACATCACCAAGCTTCGGAGTCCCAAAGCCACCTTCTCCAGTACTCGAGATGATGGGACTTGCTCCTCCACCACCGGCGAGAGGTCTTGCAACTGCAGCACCCCTCTTCAACCCTCTCCTCAACAACATGCCCAAACTAGCCGCATCCAACTCTCTATCCTCTTCCCTCCCTTCATCCTCCTTCAACCCCAAAGCTAAACCCCTTCCCTCCTCGGTACTACTCAACTGCTCGCTAAGTTGGATAAACCCAACAGTCTCACTCCATCTCTCCAACTCCCCGCCTACATATTCCGAACTTAATAAGGCCTTCACTAATCTTCCTAAGCCTCTCAAACCTCTAACCATATCTGAATCGCCTCCTGCACCGGAGGGAGTTGTACCGGGAACGATTTCGCCCGGCATAGCCCTAGCAAAAGCAGAACTTAACGATTCGAACGCGTCCAAACTCCTCGTCAACCTCTGTGCATAACTTCGTAGGATGGGTAACTGGACGATGGCGAGGAAGGAAAGTCGTTGGGAAAGGGATGGGAGCGGTTGGTATCGCTCCGAGACTGAATCGAGCATTTCGATTACCGAACGTGCGGATTTTGTCGTACGAAAACCTTCACCTTCCGAAGAGGGGAAAGAGGAGGGGGAGAAGAGTTGAGTTTCATCGTCGGCGACGGAATCGGTTGAACGGATGGCCCAAGCGTCTGAACTTTCCATGATTTGCTCGAATCGTTGTAGTGCGAATGTTTTTTCTCCTTCGAGCCAGCGATTGAAGCATGTGGGGTTGTCGAGGATGTCTGACGCCAAGGAGTGTGTTCCTGCGCCATTGAGCACAGCGAGGGAGGGAGGGAATTGGCTGGATAGGTCAGCGTCGAAGGTAAGCGTTTGGAAGATCGTATGTGCCAGCAACGAAGGATGGTCTAGTAATGCCGGTAAAGTAGACGCGAGCTTGTGTCGTAGCGGGGTGAGAAGTCCGTGCAAAAGCTCTGCTGTTGTATCGATGTGCCGATAGGTGCGGTGAGAGGGCGAAGAATTGGCATATGCGCGATTGAGCCTCACAACGGGCCCACCCGAACCGGGTACCTTGTGAATAGCAGGCGAGAAGAGGGGAGCTTGAGACTTGATCAACGCTGCAATATGCGACAGAAACCATTCTGGTTTATCCAATCGATTCGTAGAACGATCTCCGTCAAAATGGTATCGGAAACGAAGGAGCATAGGTTCGATAAGACATTGAGTTGTGAGGAGGGGTTGGTAGGCCTCGCTTCCTGCTTTTACCCCATCGGAAGAAGGGGTGCGCGGTTTGGCGGTTGCTCGTTTGAGCAGACCTAGTTGTTCGGCTGTATCTTGGAGCTGACATACCTCCATCCAGGTTTGCTTGACTTGTTCGCTCTCGAGGAGCTTAGATGCGGACGACGAAGGTGTCTTTGTATCGATGTCGGGGTTGTTAGGATGGATTTTCTCCTGCGAGGATGCAGTAGCAGCAATTGCTTGGGACAGCCTACCACATCTAGCCTTTCGAATCGCTTTGAATGCTGCTGATCGCTGTGCACGCAGAAACCCAACCAATTTTGGCTCTTTTCCTCTTTCTGCGCCTTGGTAAATGGAAAGCTGCTCAACCCTCCGCACTAAGCCATCTAACTCGCTCAACTTGACCAACGCTTCCCCCCCCTTCTTCCCTCGCTCTTCATCGCACTTTACCACCTCCAAGCGCAAATCCTCCGCCTGAGCAAGAATACCAAAGTAGTCCTTCGCCTTGTTCAACTGTGCAATTGCGGTATGCAGCTGCTCCAATCTGTTCATCAACGTTTGCACACCGGTTTTACTCGATTCTGCCGCACTGCGAGCAGAGGAGACAACAAGATCCTCGCAAAGATCCAAGAGCTTATCTTCGGTCGATGCGATATGTTCCGGAAGCGAGGCCAGCTTCTCTTTGAGGATCTTAACTCCGGATAGGCTGGAGATGAGTTGGCGACGGAGTTGCGATTCGAGGTCGGATGTGCGTGTGGAGGCTTGTGCGTGTGCCGAGGTGAGGTCGGAAAGGTATGCTTCGAGTGCAGAGGAGGTGGGGAGGGTGGTAAAGAGCGGGGTGTTGGCATTGCTGGAGAGGGAGGAGGAGGAGGAGAGAGAGTCGGATGCGAGTTGGGGAAGAATGTAGTTGCAATGTTGAACGACGTAAGTGAGTTGTTGTTCTTCTGTAGGTGGTTGGAGGTAGGATGATAGCTGGTGCGGCTCCAGCGTCGTGGCTGGCGGCGCTGTGTCGGATGCAGCCATTTTGGCGAGGGAATGTTAGGGGGAATGTGGTGTGAGATGGAAAGAAGGATTGAGATGGTGGTGGGAATGCGAGATGGCACAAGCGAGCGAGTTTGCTTCTTTTCACGTGGAGGGCATTTGTCTGAAATAGAAGTAGTAACGACGGCCTAACAGGTGGGAATAAAAACAATCCTCGGAAATCGGAACTCGGCCAATCCTCAGCACAGAACAGCACAGCACAGCACAGCACAGCACAGCAACAGCACAGCCCCATTCATTCATTTCAGGCACTTTTGCAGTCAACGCTTTGAGGGCCACGCTACACACAAACTCTCTCGTATCGCATTACTTGGCATTTCCCTACCATCATCACCATCTCCCATCATCACCTTGCCTTCTCTCCACCATCAATCTTTTCACAGCACGATTCAGCACCAGAACTATCACATCAGACAACATTCACTAGCGTACATCGGCCAGCCCAATCGAAGGGCACAGCCGCAGCGATGGCTCGATCAGGCGAACCCTCTCGATCTCAATCCACCTCTCGTAGATCCGACGAGCTCTTTGCCGCATTCAACGGTCCAGCTGATACCGATCCTGGGTTACCAGGATGCAAGGGAGCTAGTTCTTCAAATAGACGCTCGACTGATGTGTTCTTCGATGCTGGTGATGCACTTCCCGCACTGGACTCACACCATGACAACAACACCAGTGCCACAGACAGCGACCCTTTAGGTGCAAATAGAGCAAATACAGCATCCAGCGCTTCTGCTCCATCCACTTTCCGACAACCAGCCCTTTTCAACCGCACTGGCGCTACACCAGCGTACGACTTTGAAAGGCCGGAATACTTTCCTATCGTTACAAGGAGACCTCCACCTACGAGCTCTCGTCCTGATGCTGCCAACCACGGCACTGCCGATGCAAATGCATCCTCGAATGGAAACAGCAACAGCAACAGTGCGCACCAAACAACGATAGACATGGAAGGGGACGATTCAATGCACTCAGCTGGAGGCGGGGGAAGTGGTGTCACTCGCAACGGATACAGTTCTTTACCTACCTCATTCAGTGGAGGAGAAGCCGTCGCCGGAGGTAGCACTCATGATGAGAACATGTCGAGATCCGATCGCTTGCGCTTTGCACTTGGTCGATTCGGTCGGTTTGTCGGAATGGGCATCCCTGGAGCCCGCTACTCCTCTCTCTCGCAGCAAGATGGTAGTCGAGCCGGCGTCCACCGACCGCGCCTTGTCGGCGGAGGCATCGGTCAAGACGGTGTATTCGCCAATCTCAGTGCTAAACCAGAACGTCGTCGTCGAGGTCAAAACACCGGCACCACCGACGACCGCGGCGACGACGACGATTTGGAAGACGACGCACAACCACCCACCTACGAGATCGCAGCCGCCGACGCAGTGCCGCAGTACTGGGAGACTACGATTTTGGGCGGAAGTGTACATCCGCTCGCCAACGGATTAGGTTGGGTCCCTGGAGGAGCGCATGTTGGTGCGATAGAGGATTTGATTGTCGAAGGTCTAGCAGTGGGCAATCTGTTTGGATTTGCATGGAACTTGTTAGTTTCGATGACGTTCCAGTTTGTTGGCTTTTTGCTGACGTATTTGTTGCATACTACGCATGCTGCGAGATGTGGAAGTCGTGCGGGCTTGGGGGTTACGCTGATTCAGTATGGGTTTTATTTGAGGACGAGGGCAAGCGAGATGGCCGAGGGCAAGATTGTGGATACCAGTGGAGGGTTTGGGTCGGGGGGAGCTATTTCTCCTGGTCCAGGCTCGGCTGGGTGGTTTGGTGAGGATCTGGCCGATACCCAAGATGAAGGCGGGGCGAGGAGGAGGAGAGGGTGGATTTCGCGTGCTCAGGTTCAACCGGATGGTGGTGCGACACTGGCGGATTTGTTTGCAGCACAAGCAGATGGTCAACCGGTGAATGTGGAGGCAAGTATCAGCGATTCGATGAGTCAATCGACCGAATGGTTGGCATATGTGTTGATGGTTTTGGGTTGGACGATCTTGCTTTCGAGTATGCTGAGCTATTGGAGGATTTGGAGGTGGGCCAAGTCGCTCGTCGATGCTGCGCATAGAGAACAAGAGTCGTCCGACCCGCCGCAAGAGACAAGTAGTGGGGAGACAGCGGATGCAACGAGTATCGTAAACAGATTCAGATCTCTTTTCGGCTCAAGAGATGGGAATGGAGCTGGATCGGGAGAAGATTGGGTTCTGTTCCCTGGTATTGGTCATCGATTAGGTAGATCAGGCGGCGGCGGTGGTGGTAGCGGGAGTGCAAGAGATCATCCAACAAGTATCGCCGATCTGGAAGATGATGACGGCTTGGATACGGAAGATGCTACTCTCAACCCGGCGGAAAGAAGGTTGTTGGCCGATATGAGGAGAGTTGGTCTTGCCTAGCCTCTCCTTGCCTCCCATGCTATACATACACATTCTTTTGTTTCTATCGCAATCGCAAGTGCAAGTCATGGTTTCTGTCGATCTCAAGTCATGCATGAATGAGGTGAAGGTAAAGAGCGTGATGCCGAAAGAGTGACTCCTACGGAAAGTGGGTGACTCTAGTTGGTGGTAGTCTGACTCGAATCTATCGTCGACTGTGTGGCCTTCCCCGCGGAGCTGAGTTGCACGAGTCAGCAATGGAAGACCTTGTTCCGCTTTTTGTGTGCTTCTACGTCGGACTGAAAAGCACACATCTCGCTCATCTCAATCGTTCTTCTTCTGTTACACAGATAAGCATTGATGGGTTGGTCGAGGTCTATCATCACCTTAAGTAGGGGCCAGAAGGATCCCGCTATCCCCCCCTCCTTAACCACCTATACACATCACAGAACACAGAATCCTACTCAACACATAACACAACTCTCGTCCAGAATAAAAGATAGAAGTCTACGTTCGTTATCAAACACACCCCCTCTCTTACACATAGAAAAGCTAGGCTGTTGCTGTTCCAACTCCTCGCATTGCTCTCCGTACTCGGCTTGGCAAGATTCGGCATAACTACCGGCCAGAACAATAAGCAAAGATGATCCCTTTAATATCCACTGTTACCTCAGCTCTCCCATCCAGAGGTTTGCCGGCATGGGATCAATACACAATAGCCTCGGCCTCATTAGCAGGTTTGGTCCTTATCGTGCTTTTCTTCCTCCTCGTATCTCCTTCCTCCGCCTCTTCCCCCAGCTCTGCTCCCATCCCTTACTCCCGGTTGAGCACGGTAGAAGATTGCGAAACCTACGCTTCAGAAGAGGATCAAGGAAAATTCCAGCTCGACGATTATCCCTCCCACCTCCGCTCAGCTCTCGGCACCCCGCTTGATGCGCAGAGCTATGAAGCTAGACGGTTGTACACCCATGTCAGCCTCGCTATCCTCTCTGTTGTGGGGTTGGCGATCGACGCTGCTGCTATCGTTCAACACCTTCTCAACACTACAGATGCCGGACTGCATTCCAAGGTCTACCTCAGCTCGAGTTCGGCGGCGCTGCGAACATTAGTGGTTGTGTTGGCGATGCTAGATCTGGGCGGTTTGAGCGAGTCGACGAGGTTAATCCACGTTTCGCTGTTGACCTTTCTGTGGTTGATGGCACAGCTAATGGTGGCATTAATCAACGTAAAACTTGATCTGTCTAGCAAGGGAGCGGATAGCAATCCCGCTTTGCACTCGATTGGTCTTTTCTCCACCTTGTTCTCCTTTCTTCTTGCTTTCCTGACACCGACTGGTCCGGCGGTAGAAGTGGAGATGGATGGCGTCAGAACAGTCGTGCGCAACAGCCAAGGTGGGGGATCAGTAGCTGAATCCGTTTTCGGCTTTCTCGCTCTTCCTGTCGTCCGCCAGGCTTATAGGCAAGGGACCATTAGCCAAGACAACATCCCCGCGCTGGATCACTCCTATCGTTCGGCAGTGCTAGCTGAGGAGATGATTGGCACTTATCGTCGGATTCTCTCCTCCTCTCTCTCTAACCATCCAGCAGGGGAGGCAAGGAGTGCCCGAGTGAAGGGTCAAGCCCTACTCTGGGCGCTAATCAAATGCAATTCTGCAGAGTTGAAAAGTACCGGGGTGGTGTTGGTTATTGCTACGTTCAGCTTCTACGTCCCCAAACTCGGTCTTAGTGTCTTGCTCGGTGGGATGCAAGACTATGATCGCACTCAACAAAACCGAGATACGGAGGATAATGTGGGCAACAGAGCCAGAGCAACGTTGGTCTACTCTGCAGTATTCTACCTCTCTCTTCTCTGGGAATCGCTGGTCATTTACTACTACTTCAGACCACTTGCGGTTAACCAGAAAGCACGAGTGCAGATCCAACTGACCACTCTTCTTGCTTGGAAACGGTTGCGTCAGAAAGAAGCTTACTCTTCCACCTCGTCCACTACCGAGGCTGGAAAAGGCGAAGCGGTTTCTTCCTCCTCTCAGGTGATCAATCTGATTACGACGGATGTCAATCGTATCTTTGGCCGAATCGACATGTTTTCATTCGCAATCATGGGTCCACTTGAAGTCTTTGTCGGTGGATACGGTGCATATTATCTCCTTGGAAATGGTGCTTTGGTCGGGTTGCTAGTCGCTGCGCTCATGCAACCCATCGCTATCCTCATCGGTAGAGTCACCGAGAAAATCGATACCAACCTCCAAGCTTCTCGAGACACTCGAGTTTCTCTCCTCTCCGAAGCTATCCGTGCTATCCGTCTGATCAAGTACAATGCCTATGAAGACTCGATCGCAGCACAAATCATGCGCAGTCGTCGCGCAGAACTCAAAGGTCAGGCGCAAAAATGGACCCTATTCACCTTTTTCGCTGGATTCTTCGCCCTAGTTCCAATGCTAACCATTGCCGTTGCGTTCGGATGGTATACGCTCGTGGAGGGGAAGGAGTTGACTGCTGCAGTTGCCTTTCCTGCAGTGGCGGTGTTGGTGGAATTGAGGTTTGCGGTGAGCTACCTTCCGAGTAATTTCCTGACCCTCATTCAGGGTTGGGTTAGTTTGAAGAGGATTGCCACTTTTATGGAGACTGCGGAGGTGAAAGAGATGCTAAACGATTACAAGCCAAGTTTTGGGCGAGGGAGCAAGGAGCAAGGTAGGATTGAAGTTAGGGATGCAGAGATCGCTTGGCCTGTTGAAGGCGATCGGACTGATGGAGATGGTGATGGGGTGTTTACGCTTTCGATAAGCAACGCAGTGTTCGAAACTGGAGCGATTAATCTGGTTTGTGGTAAGACCGGATCAGGTAAGACTTTGCTGCTTCTTTCACTACTTGGAGAGGCACAGCTTAACGCAGGGAGCATTGTTTGTCCACGCTCTCATCCGGCAGCATCACTCTACGCCAGTCGAATGTCTTTGAAGAACTGGTACATCGACCCAACCCTCACCGCTTACGCTCCTCAGCGTCCGTTCCTGTTCAACTCTTCTCTGCGGGATAACATTCTCTTCGGTCTCCCGCTTAACGCTTCCCGTTACCGCGCCGTTCTCTTGGCTTGTGGACTCAAACCCGACCTCAAGATCCTCAAACACGGAGATCAAACAGAACTCGGGGAAGGCGGTACGAACCTTTCGGGTGGACAAAAAGCACGTATCTCCCTCGCGCGCGCTGTCTACTCCCACGCAGGCACTCTTTTGATTGATGACTGTCTGTCAGCGTTGGATTCGCATACGACCAAGCACATTTGCGAAGAGCTCTTTGGAGACCGAAAAGCAGGCTTGTTGGAAGCAAGGACGACAGTGTTGGTTACACACCACGTGAGGTTGATGGTCGCAAGGTGTAACAAGGTTTTAGTGCTGCAAGAGGGTAAGCAGGTCTTTTGTGGTGGCACGGCAGAGTTTGTCGATAGTCGTTATTACGAGGGGTTGGAGAATGAGGTGAAGGACAGCGCTCAGGATGGGGAGCAAGAAGATGATGGAACCCCGAACTTTGGCAGTACCAGCAGCACCGCTGCTAGCTCTGCCAACAACTCTGACGACGACGCAGTGGAAGGAGAGGGGTTGTTGGAAGCCGCAGTAGCCGCTAGCGTGGCGGGTAAGAATGCATCTGCCTTCTCTCAACGTACTATCAAGCGTCGTCCCTCTTCCTCTGCTTTCTCCAACGTGTCTGGTATCGTCGACCCCAACGCTGCCCCTGCTCAGGGTGGTGATGGGGATGAAGGGGAAACCTTCAAGCAAGTGACCGAAGAGAAACGCGCACAAGGCCGAGTCTCATTTGCGGTCTACAATAGGTACATTGGTGCTGGAGGAGGTATCTTACTCTGGATTGCCCTCGTCGCTGCTTTCTGCTCGAATGCATTCTCTGATCTGGGTGCGAATTGGTGGCTTCATCTATGGACACAATCCTCCGTGTCCCACCAATCAGACCATTCGACTGAGTGGTGGTTCTACCGCTGGGTGCTCATCCAATCTCTCCAAGTGATCGCCATTACTCTCGGATACGCTCTGGTTTGCATAGCCTCGCTTCTCGCCGGTGCACGTCTGTTCAGTCAGCTTCTTCGCACTGTTCTTCGTGCTCCTCTTCGGTTTCACGATTGCACTCCCTCTGGACGACTGCTGAATAGGTTCGGGAAGGACATGGAAGCCATCGACTCGAACATCGCCGAGGAGCTGAGCGAAGCAGCAAAGTCTCTACTCATGGCAGTCGCTGCTCTCGTAGCAACGTATCTCGGAGGTGGACCGATCATTATCGCTATCCTTCTCATTATGTCTCCGTTGTTCTATATGCTCGTTTCCACCTTCACCATTGCTGCTCGCGATCTCAAGCGACTCGATTCGAACGCAGCGTCAAAACGCATTACTTGCTTCACGGATCTAATCACGGGTGTAGTCACGATTCGAGCCTTCGGTGCAGGTTCAGCTTACTTTGCGACGTTGATGGAGAGGTTGGATGAAAACATGATGTTTTATTTCTGGCAGGCGACTGTTCGACAGTGGCAGAGTCTCCTGCTGGGGTTGGGAAGCAGTGGATTTGTAATTGCTAGTGTATTGGTGGTCACTTTGACACCGGGTTTTACTGCAGCGCAAGCGGGGTTCACGTTGAGTTTCGTACAGAACTTGACATCCATGTTGCAGTTCGGACTACGAGCTGTATCGAACGTCGAACAGAGCTTTGTGGCAGTGGAGAGGGTGATGGAATATTTCGATGTTGAAATCGAACCGCTCGATTCTGCTCCCAAAGCGGTGGTGGAGAGAGGAGAACAGATCGAACCGAGGGCAAGCTGGCCAGAGAAAGGTGCGATCGAGATTAAGGATCTTCACCTCGCTTATGCGGAGAAGCTACCTGATGTGCTGAATGGCATCTCACTATCGATCAAGCCAGGAGAAAGGGTCGGCATTGTAGGTGCTACAGGTAGCGGCAAGTCAACTCTTGTATCGGCGCTATTTAGGTTCTTCGAGTACCGAAGTGGCCAGATCATCATTGATGGGGTGGATATTGCTAAGGTAGGATTGAAGACGTTGAGGAGTCGGATGAAGATCGTCCCTCAAGATCCACTTATTCTGTCGGGTACGCTGAGGAGTGCGGTGGATGCGATGGGAGAATACAATGACCAAGACATCACCCGAGTGCTAGTCCGGGTTGGATTGCTCAAAGACAAGCTCACTTCTGGCTCCCCTTCGGCGGGATATGGCACATTGGAAACCACCTCTACCCCCAACGTTGCTAGTCGGGGCGGCAGTACAGACTCATCCACGCTCCTCTCCCGTTCCTCCTCCGCCCCAGGTGAGGGCAACGACGAATCAGGCAGCCTCTCATCGCTCGAATCGCGCATCGAAGAGAGTGGCTCCAACCTTTCCTCTGGTCAAAAGCAACTCGTCTCGCTATGCCGCATTCTGCTTTCCGCCTCCTCCGCAGAGAAGGCAAACAGCATTGTAGTGCTCGACGAGTCGACTTCGTCTATCGACTACACTACCGACGCCAAAATGCAAACTCTGCTCGACTGGCACTTTGCTGCACACAACACTACGGTTCTTGCTATCGCTCATAGGCTGCGGTCGATTATACACTTTGATACCGTTGTTGTGCTTAACCGCGGCAAGGTAGTGGAGAAGGGTAACCCGGTTGAACTGCTCGCTAATGAACATGGCTGGTTCACAAGGTTGGCAAAGAGCACAGGCGAGCAAGAGTATGCTTCGTTGAAGCGGGCGATTGCCTTGTGACTGTTGAAACGAGTGGCAGACTTGGATGGTGGGAAGCGGTTTATTACGTATGTCGACGATGAACAGTATGTACAGGTAGATGGATAGCATGCGAACAGAGAACAAACTAGCTGAATGTGGTGTTTTTATACGTCTTACCCTGTGTATGACTCAGTAACATGCTACACGTGTTTCTATGAACACTCAAAGTTTGATACTCCCTTTTAGTTAAAGATACGTCGGTATTTCTACAAGCCTATATGTTAGATCCGAGTACACAGGGTCGGGAGACCGAGACTAAACAGGGTGTCAACGGAGATGAGATAAAGGTGAAGCCCGTGGGAGCACAGACAGCTTATTCTCGAGGGTTGACACCAAGTTATGAGGTATGCAGGGGGTATGTTGACAAGGCAATAGCTATGAAAGGGTGGTGCCATTGGATGCACGGCCCGTGGCAATGACTCGAAGGGGCGAGTATAGGTTAACTGTGAAGGTATATATACTCATGTCCTGTAACCCCGATTTCCTTAAAACTATAAGATCTTTCGTAGAGATATACCTGGTTGTTAGGGCGTCTGATTGTGGCCTCCCAAGTGGTGTATCTAATTTCAACTGCTTTGTGCGTATGCTGAGATGACTGACATCTTGTTGAAGTACGTTGTTGTGCGTTGTGCCGAAGCGGGCATAAGAGCATGAGAATAGGAGTAGGGCGACGTGCGACGACAGAGTGGGCGCGTGGCGGTAGCTATGACGTCTCCGACTTTTGACCGTCAGTTCTGGTTATGCAATCGTCTTGGCCTTCTTTGGAGGGGGTTGATCGGAAGCAGTCTGCCGAGAAGTCGAACCTGCTGAACTGCCAAAAGTGCTGCTGAAAGCCTCAAACAGGCGATGGATGCCCAAGGTTCTATTTGGTCGAAGCTTCTGAAGAAGGGTTGGAGTATTCCTGACGGTGGAGGTATCGTCTAAAAGCTCGTTTGATGGAGCTTCCACCGCGTGGCCTTTTTGCACATAATTGCAGGCGGGGAGGCGAGCAAGATCATTGTGTTCGGAAGGGATAAGCTCGCCAATTAGTCGTTCCTTTGCGGTTTGGACGAACAAGCCTCCGCAGTGAACCTCGAGCGTTGGAAGGAGCGCATAGACTGTGCCCGAGAATTGCGGAGAGCCTGTCTGACGCTCATGGACGGGGCGATAGACTGGCCAGATGGTGTTGACGTCGTATCTCTTGTGCAGCGTTTCAAGAATAGATTTGATCGGGAAAATCGGGCTTATGCCGTCGATGCGAACGACACTGTCGGTTCTATCGTGCTGAGCAAAATTGAGCCCGACAGCCCGTTTGATAGTAGGCGTCAAAGGAGATGCTGAGCTCTTTTGCTTCATAGCCTCTTGAAACATGTCTCGCTCGCGCTTGCGCCGACGTTGGCTTCGAGGGTGCGAACTGAGAACACAAAAATGATTGTATTCGTGCGTGTGAGGGGGTAAGACGATGAGGTCAGGAGCAATGGATGAAAAGATTGATTGAAGCTCCCGTACTACATCGTCGTGGGCTTTTAGTGGCTCCGGTGGATGATGTTTTGTGTGTTTGAGCACGTATTCCAGGCGCGGAGCTTGATTGCAAACACCTAAGCAAGGCACATGGTCCGACGGCCACGATGAGATGAAAGGCACGATCCGGCCTTTTAGCAATTGTCGAGGCTTCAGCATACTATGCAGCTTCCGCTTTGGGTGCTGAGTGAAGGTTAGAGAAGCTGAAGTTTCTGATGAAAGGAGGGTTTAAGAGTTGTTCACGCTAGCGATCGAGGCAAACCAGAAATGCAACGGTGAAGCGACAGGTGAAAAGCCTGATGCAAGTGGAAGAAGCCCCCAAAAAAGGGAAGAGAGGGTGAGACGAAGGGGGCGAGCGTGTCTTTATAAGCGCTGGGCATTCCAAGTAAGGCGGTCTGAAGTGCAAAGCACCGGCATACAGCAGGCCGAGGCTGAGTCGAGCGCTGTTCCGATGCCAAGTTGTGAGCGTGAGAACTTTATCGGAAGATATTCGACGAGCGTTTGTATGCGTCTCATTGCTCTTCGGACACGCCGAACCAAATGACTGAGAGGAGTGATTAGGCTATCGACACATCCTCCAACAACTGACAAATGATGAAGGAATAATAGAAGACGCGTGTCGACACTCAGCGGTCGACAACAGTCTCAGCACAGTGTTGAAGCTATTGAGCAAAAACACTATACTATATTGACCTGGGCAAAGAATGTGGTGGGAGCCTCGAGCTCTCCGCTCGATATATATACAAAGTATCGGCACATGCCAAATGTGGGAGCATCCCCCTTAATGACCAAGGATGACAACGAGCGGGACTAAGCGATACCCGATCTCCTACTGTGTCGGCTCGGCTCGATCTCTGATCAGATCGGCTCTGCGTTTTCCTTTAGCATCTTACTGGATCGTAATCTTCAGCGACAAACTGCCTTGCACCAAGCCCCTTTCGCCTGACCCTTTCCAAGGGACGAGAGAGAATCCTAATCGATTGCAATCTCTGCCGTGTGAAAACTCTGTTGAAGTGATGGTGGACTCTTTATGGCAGGAGACGGTTGTATTGCCTTCTCGACATTGGTGAGTAAGTACAATGATGGATGATATGATCAGGAACAAACTAGCTGACTCGAGCACTATATATACACCTCGACACCGTTACAAAGGTAGGGGGAAGGTCTGAAGCATGAGAGGCAGGGCACGAGAGCCCTTTTGAAAGCAGGAGTCCGTTTTCGCTGAGCGACTTTGCCACCCTGTCGAAAGGTGCCGATGAAGGCTTATCATCGTGAGATGATTCGTCGGCCGAGCAGGACACTAGGCAAGGCGAACGGAAGTGCTGAGAATTACACAAGATACATCTGTATTACATTCGATCAAACAGTCTAGATCATCAACAGATGGGTGCAGCTCGATGTGGTGTGCTGCTACGACCTCAAACAGGAGCAGCGCAGCCGAAACTAGTAGCAGCACCCCCGGCTGCAAAAGTTTCCTTGATTGATTCTCCCGACCCATACATACCCAAACCGGAAAGTGTGTATGCACCCAAGGTGACAATCAACAGTACCACCTTGACCACGATACCTGGAATTGCGACCATTCTACCGGCAAGCAGAGGGTACTCATAGTACCCGCCGAACAAGCCTCTCTGCCACCTGGACCACTGACTCCAAGTGTCCTGTTTCCTCACCTCGTTTGCTGGCGTGAAGGGTGTGTCGCCCTCCATAGCATCGCGCTTGATGCAAAAGATGAGCGCAAGCATAAACGGGAACGAATAGGAAAAGTTGACAATCGCAATAGCCGCGATCAAACCCGAAATCGTCTGCACTTGCGGAATCGAACTTGCAATAACGAATGCCAAGGCCCAATACACCACCGATACTCCCGCCCAAATCACTCGTCCCCTCGCAGAGTTGAGCGCAGGACCTTTGAAGAAAGTCTGGACGGTGTTGACGTAGATGACTTTCAAACCAACGTTGCCGTATAGTGCGGCGGCGATAGTACCGGAGAGAATGGCGAGCATGTTGCATACGGTTTGGAACGAGTATTTCGCAATACCGTTGTAGGATTGGCCGAGCACGTATTGTCCTTGGAAAGCATAAACGACGTTGGCATAGATAAGGTAGACCGAGCAGATCAAAGCTTGAGCAGAGATCATACCTTTCCAAAAGTCCATGGGACGACGCATCTCTGACATTAACTCGGGGAAGATCATAGCTCCTCCGTAAGCGAAAACCTGCGGCGAGTTCGCCAAGCGAAAGAGCAGTCGAAGCCGAGTAGAATAGTGGAAAAGGGGAGCGGAAACGAGCAAGAATCGATCGAGGGGAGATCGTTAGTATAAGTTTCAGATGACGGTGGTGGAGGTGCCGAGGTGCCGAGGTGCGGGGGAGAAAGGTGTGCATGGAAAGTTGATTTCATATGTGCCACCAGATTCGATATGCGAACTTACCATGTTCATAATACCGTTAACTTTCTGGCTAATGGGGTATGAGACAAAAGCCTCGGTGAAGACTGGCTGGTTGTTGTAAGGGTAGTCCTTGCCGTAAGATGCTTGAGCACCAGCAATGTAGGGACCGTACTTGATGATCGCGGCCATGGAGATGATGACAATCGCAATGTTCTGGTAAACCGCAGTCGAGGCTGCAAAGCCAAGTCCGCGGAAGGTCTGCACCTGAGCGAAGGCCATGCCGATCAGAGAGAAAAGGACGACGCAGACGGAGAAGCAGAGGTTGGCATTACCGGGAGCACCGTTGATAACCTGGCTTAGAGCTTGACCGTTGGTCAAGCAAATCAGACCGACGTTGATGATTAGCTGAAGAGTTTGAAGGGTGTTGAAAGTCCATCGCATGGGGTGCCCGACGATGCGCTCTCCGAGATCACCGTAGGTCTTGACAGGATATCGGGCGGAATCGAGCTGGAGGAACAATTTCCAGAGGATGATACCGCACCACCAAGCGCAGAAACCCATGACGATGTACATGACGTTACCGGTAACCCAACCATTCTGCGACATGGCGTATGGGGCACCGTATGGACCCAAGATATCGGTAGTGATGAGGTAGAAGATGCCGACCCAGGAAGCAGTCTTGATCGCTCGGTGGGCGTTTCGGCTTTCCTTGTCAACCTCGGAGAGACCCTCGAGCTGGTCGAAAGTGGATGCATCGGTGTTGTTGACCTGCGGCTTATCGTGGATGAAAGTGCTGGATTGGGAGACCTTCTCATCGGATCCACGCTTAGCGTTCTCCAGATAAGCAGAGACGTGGGGAGCATCGGCTTCGACAGAGATACCAGCAGTTCCGTAGAGCTTTTCTTGCTCGCGCTGGATCTGAGCGTAGAACATGTACTCCTCGAGCGAGACGCCAGAGTTGGGAGAGGCCTGATACATAGCAGGAACGGGAGCTAGGCCGGTAACACCCTGTCCAGGAAGATCGGACTGATGAGTCTCCTCCTTGTTAGAAGTGTGGTGGCTGCGTTCGATTTGTACGCTTTTAGCGTGCTCGACCATGTCGTGGATGCCCATTTTGGCAAAAGATGGGGGGGGGGGGGGGAGGTGGTGATGGGGAAATTGTGGTAGGAGAAAAGAATGAGCAAGTTGTTGTCTCGGACTATATGTTCTGCTATCGAGTCAAGGGACCAATGACACCCAATTGGAAGCGCAGACATCCAAACTCCAATGAGGAGAGGGGCAGACGATCAAAGCGACGAAACCATCCAACCGGACAACGGAGCGGGCATGTCCGATTCGCAACGATCATATGGCACGAGACAAAGCGACGGCTAGACTAACCGAAACCGGCGGTCTCTGCAAGCGAGCATACGCTATCTCAGCCAAGCACACAATACGCAGACGCTTTCTTGTTGTTGTGTCTGAACCGAATCGAAACTACTGTTCACAAGTGACGAGATGTGCGCCACACCATCATCCAAGCGGCCAATCGTAATTGAGCGATAAAACCTCAACACCTCATACGATGGGCTCAGGGCGTAACAAAAAGCAAATCAACGTCACTCTCGATCCCCTCTCTGAGACCAAATCAGAGGATAGTCGGGCGAATAGGAGCATCAATCCACAGCTTGCATTTTTTTGATGCCGCGGAGGATTTGCTGTAACTACTTGAACAATGCTGTCCAGTTGACCGCCGCCGCCGGCGCGATGAGCACCGATGCATAATCTCATTCACATTTGTGCCGATTTTTAAGACAGCGACCCGCACCACATATCCGTTGTGCCAAGAGCGTACAACAGATTGAATTGAGGCTCCCTCCAGGGTCAGTTGGGCTGTTGAGAAGTGTGCAAAGAGCGACGGCCTGCAAACAGTCGCAAGTATGAGAGTTGAACGAGCAACGTCCGCAACGTCGCATCGAGATCTAGCCCAGATCTCAGGAAAATCGGCGCCTTGCATGGATCTAACAAGCTGACACGAGCAGCAAAAGGGTGCCCGATTTTGCTGAGATTGACCGGAAGTTTATATCCCCCCTCCCCGATCTGGCACTTTCTGCGCAATGTGTCTTCACGGGCCCTGTGACACATAGTTTGGCGTATTTCTGATTGACTTTGTTACACTTTCCTCCATTGCAGGGATCTCCACTTGAGGCTGCCCCTCAATGAGCTCCCCCTCAATTGCTTCCTCCTCGATGTATGGTTTCTCAGACTCTTCCGTTTCGATGAATGACTCCATGTCGACGTATTCGTCTGAGTCAGCTCGTGAATAAGCGATGTATGCTTTTACGAGCTTCGCCCTGTCAGCATTCTGGATAAAGGCTGGAAAATTTCCGACCTATCTTGAACTGATTCCGCTCGCAGCATAGTGTCAAGATAGCATAGCATCAGCTGGCATTTCGCAACAAGTACGAGAAAGAGAAGGCGACAGTGGAGAGGCAGACTTGAGAGCAGTGAAGGGGATTGATGACGTCAACGTGGCTTGTGCGCTCGATTTTGAGTCAGCTTCACCACTCGCTCTTGCTCTCCTGGCTCCTCTGCAGCTTCAAGTCTGGCTATGGGAGAAGGGGAGCCGGATGGTGAGAGTTCAACCCATGGGTGGAGTGGCGAAAAGCTCTGCTAGCTCGCAGGTCTTCAAAGGTCAAGGAGAGGCAGCAGCTATCTTCTCTTCCGGTCTCCATCCACCATCTCAAACATTTCCGCAAGGTCGATTTCAGTGATGTCGGTACAGGAAAATCAACCCAAGGGACAAGCTAGTGTTCCTCCCAAGGTGAGTCTTGCACACTTTCTACTGGGAAGATGGCATTATGAATTGACTAGAAAGCAAGATGTTGCTTCTTTTTTTTCCCATTTGTGCGGCGTGTTAGGGGCCGGGTCATGACCAAATGCCTCTATGGAAAAGAATGACGGATACGTCGAGACGATTCATGAAAAGAGACCCACAGCTGATGCCTTTGGCTGCTATGTAAGTTCATCCGACGCCCTTTTCACGTTTTCTTGCTGCTGTTTGCTAACCGTTTGTCTCTCTTGATGTTGCTGGTGATGATGTTGCTGGTGATGACTGGGCTGGTGATGACTGGGCTGGTAGAAGTAGGTAAAGCTCCGAGTCGAACGCGATAGGAGTCGAGACTAACACTCTTGCTTGAATCCTGTGGATTTACAACAGCACTCAGTACCATCGGCCTATACGCATACTTTCACTCGTACAAAGTCCGAGACGTTTCTCGCGAAACTTCCTTGCCACGACACAGCGAGACAAAAGCTTCTGGTCGTGGTTCCTCCATCGGCACTTCTTCCGGCGAAGATCCTGGCAGCCAAACGCCCAACGATTCTTCCGCCGATAAAGGAAAGTATCAGGCCGCATCAGGTGGGTTAGGCAGCTATCTTTACCCTCACCTCGATAAATCTGAGAAAGAGGATCTGGAGAATGTAACGGTGAGACCGGAAGAAGGATGGTTCGGAAGAACGATGAAGCAGGCTGGCGTGCGGGATCAGAAGAGAAAGGATCAGGACTTTGAGGAGAGATCGAAGCAGCAACAGGATATAGTGGCTGGTAGGGTCGAGAGAGAGGGAGGTGATGTGCCGGCTAGGGAGAAGGAGCATTTGAGCGATTTGCAAGGACATAAGCGGACTAAGTGAACTTGATCTGCACAAATCGTCTTGCTTTTTCGAAATTCTGTTCTCGTTGCGCATTCTGTGGTGAATTGGTGTGGTGTTGTTGTGTATGCGTACAATGCGTGCTTGATAGCTTTCAAAGTGACGAGGCAGGGGATGAGCTGGCATCATACAATCACGCGAGCCGACGCTGATTGCCCTTGACGCTGCAAATAGGCAGCTGCTCTCGCCTCGTCGTTGTTTCTCGTCAAGCCAGGTGTCGCGACGATCTGCGAGACACCTGTCTCTGTTTCTCGACCGGTATCTGAGCTTACAACTGGCGTAGTTCTGCCAGCAAAGATACTTGTGGGGGCACCAATCGCCCCTGTACTGCCAACTCTGTCGAAGGAAATGAGCATCGATCTTGCCCCTTTGCCATCCTGACACTCGTTGCCAGCCAAAGTCGGAAGGGCTCCTCTCCAGCTAGTGCTATCGAAGTAATGACTTGCATGCACACCCAAGCCGATCGTCAGTACAGCTGTTGAGAGTGCGGCTGCCAACGGATTGCGAGGCAGCTGTTTGATCGAAGGAGCAGTCTTAAAGAGGAGGTAGGTAAGCGACCAAGCTGTGACCACACCGCTACCATTGAGTGCGTCTCCTTGATCGATTATGTATCCGCCTGTACCGAATGCTGCGGCGAAGAAGGCTAGTTGCCAGAATGGAGGAACAGTGCGAACTGGTGCGAAGGACGCCGATACTGATGCGGCTCGTTGGGATGCAACTATGCGGGCGACAAGGCTAGAGGAGCCTCGTGAGGAAGCGTAAGCGGAAGCTTGGGAGAAAGCTTGTTGCCGTTGAAGCTTTGCGGCGGCTTCAGCGGCGACTTGGGCTGGAGAGGCGAATCCGAAGGGTGTGGAGAGGGCGAAGAGGGCAGCGAGGGTGTAGGAGGGAGTGCTTGATTGGGCATAGGAGCCCAGATTACGGACGGTGGACTGCAGCCAGGCGTGCTTGTTTGTATCCGGCATCGACTGGATCGCCGACATGGTTGCGTTTGCCTTGGTGTCAAAGAGAAGGTGAGGATAGAAGATAGAGGGATAGGGAGGGTGATCGAGGAGCATCAAAAAGGGTCCTTGGCCTCCACTCTTCTGTGATCCGGCTTCCGAGAAAAGCTCAAAATTGATTGATATATATCTATAAAAAAACAAAATGTCGTTGAGGTCTAACATATGGGATCTTGAAAAAGCTAGCGCGCATCCAAGTTGATCTCTGTTGAGAAAAGCACGGTCAAGGCAGTCAAACGAGTGGCAATATCATTAGCATTTTTAGAGAGCTAAGTACAAAGGAATATCATGAGTATATATATGCTTCTGTGTCAAGCAATGTGTATGTATGCCTATGAGGTGACACATATGAGGATGTGCCACTGTCAAATGAGATAGGGGCATTGGTGGGTGGTGCTGAGCATTGGTGGGAGTTGATGGGTGGCAATGCCAAGTGAAGTTTGCAGTTGTGTTAGAACATGGATGCATGGTCATGTGATTTCACTGTCCCCATCACAAACTGAATGAGCAGAGGGGTTGAGGTCTACTATACCAAGACATCTCTGGGTGTGCATAAGTAAGTGTTGGGACACCAGCTTAGTGAGGTAGTCTGCATCATTGTGGTCAGTCCCTATATATTGCATGGCAATGTCACCCTCTAGAACATGATTACAGATGATGTGGTACTTCATGTCAATATGCTTGAGTCTTGAGTGGAGCACCTGGTCCTTTGCAACTTGGATGCATCCAGTATTGTCTGCAAAAATGATCAGAACATGGTCCCCGAAACCAAGCCCTCATAGCAAATGCCAATGGAAAAATGCTTTGCATGTGGCAGTTGAACCTGCCATGTATTCTGCTTCAATGGCTGATTCTGAGACACACTTCTGAATGTGTGAACTCCAGGTCACTATGCTGCTGAAAACCTTAATGATCAAGCCTGATGTGCTCCTTCTGTTTGTGTTCAGATTGGAGGCCCAATTTGAGTCCATGTAAGCAGCAATGGGTGGCTTGTCATTATTTCTGCTGCCAAGTTGCAGAACCTATCCTGTGTCTGGTTCAGGTACTTCACCACCTGCAGGGCTGCTTGCATTGCTCCCTTGGTGGGGTTTGACATGTGATGAGCCAGGGTATTGACCACATATGAGACATCTGGTCAGATGGTGTTCGAGATCCACAGTAGCTTTCCCACCAGGACCAGATACTTGACTTTCAGTTTGCTGTCTATCTCCTCTTCAGGGCTTGCCTTTGATGGGGTGCAGACCATTGGTGTCCATGTCTTCTTGTGCAGTTGAATCCACTCCCTTATGATTTCCCTGATATACATGCATTGATCCAGGTCAATGGTTCTCTTCTCCTGGTCTTGTGTGATCTTGATCTTGAGGAATTCTGTGGCTGGTCCATTGTTGGTGATCTTCCACCTGTTGATGATGGCCTTCTTTGTTTGATCAACCTGGTCCCTTTGTGGTGACACAATGAGCATGTCATCCACATTGACTGCAATGATCACCTGTGATGCACCCACGCCTCTAAGGTACATGCAAGGTACATTGAGGAGTGGGAAGAAACCCTGCCATTGTAAATGTGCATCAAGCTCCTTGTGCCATTCCTGGCCAGATTGCTTCAGTCCATATAGGCTTTTAAGTAGTTTATACACCTTTCCTGCCAGGACTTCCACACCCTCTGGCAGTTTCAAATAGACATCGTGATGGAGATTGGTGTTGAGGTATGCTTGAGTGATGTCAATGGAGTCCACTGTCAGGGGTCTCGCGCCTGAAACCCAGGTCGGTCTGTCGAGATGCTTGGTGACTATCAAATTGTGCAACAGCTATTGTCTCGGTATCGGTCTCGACGAGCTAGTTGTTCAGTGACTATCAAGTTGCACAATGACAGCAGGTGGCATTCATTGTATATACTATCATAGGTTTCAGCTGACCTCTGTGGACACTCTGTTCAGGGGTAGCTTGGCATGATCAATATCAATGTGTAGATTATGATGACACCAAGGTCTGGTGTGAGTGTTGATGATGATGAGGTTGATGGTGTTGGTGATAAGGTTGGTGGCATCAACATGAGTGTCCAGTGTGTTGGCTTGATGCTTGAAGTGATCCCTGGACTGCAGTGGACTACTGCCTTCGGTTCTATCTATATCTGGACCACTGGTTTGCTATGAACTGCCTTTGGACATCAGGTAGTGGTGATACAACACACACACTACAATGAGGAGCAACCTTGATAGATTGTGTCATGGGCCTAAATGCGAGTAGACAAAGTAGAGAAAGGAGGAGAGAACAGGAGGAGTAGAGAGAGGAAGAGGAAGGATGATGTTGGCGATGTTGTCGAGGAGGAGGAGGAGGAGTAGTCAGCATGAACCAGACCAGAGCATGCCTCGACAGAGCTCGGCTCTTAAGAGGGGGGTAGTGTCATGGGCCTAAATGCTCAGGAAGCAGGAGGGTCGCTGGTTCATATGGAAGGAGCACAGGTATTGAAGATCTAGTTGACACCAGTAGAGAGCATGGTCATAGTGCAGTCTCCATGGAGACCATGGACTCCTACAGACTCACATGCAAAGGAGGACCGAGCCATATGCGAGGAGGGCCAGGCACAGCCATGAGGAGGACCAAGCTCAAGGAGCAGGCACAGCCATGAAGAGGACCAAGCTCAGATGGTTACCACTCAGGGGCTCGAGAGACAAGAGTCAAAGGAACTGTCACTGGTCAAAGGAAGAGGAGCAGTGTTGAAGGAGTCGACACCAGGTCATGAGGAGGAGGAGCAGTGTTGAAGGAGTCGACACCACTCAAGAGACACAGGGGTGCCAAGCAGGAGAGGCCCCTGAGCAGTACTCGATGAAGAAGGTACTCTCTGGAGAGAGAGCAGGAGCAGCATCGCTGGCAATGCTGAGTAGAGGTATATAACCATGCTTTCTCATCATCATAGGTCAAGTGGATCCTCATCCACTCTACTCACCATAACTAGTTATCACTTCAGCATAAGTATACATTAGTTTCAGTCAGCATAGCAGCAATCTATCAAGGTTGCTCCTCATCGTAGTGTGAGTGTTGTATCACCACTACCTGACGTCCGAAGGCGCCCATAGCAGGTTAGCGGTCTGGATCAAGATAGAACCGAAGGCAGTAGTCCACTGCAGTCCAGGGATCACTTCAAGCATCAAGTCAACACACTGGACACTCGTGTTGACGCCACCAACCTTATCACCAACACCATCAACCTCATTATCATCGACATCACCAATCTCATCACCAACACCATCAACCTCATCATCATCAACACTCACACCAGACCTTGGTGTCATCATAACATTGATATTGATCGTGCCGAGCTACCCCTGAACGGAGTGTCCACAGAGGTCAGCCGAAACCTATGATAGTATATACAACGAATGCCACCTGCTGTCACTGCGCAACTTGATAGTCACCGATACCGAGACAATAGCTGTTGCACAACTTGATAGTCACCGAGTATCTCGACAGACTGACCTGGGTTTCAGGCGCGAGACCCCTGACATTAGAGTGGATCGTTCAAGCAGCTCCTCATGATCACCATGACAGACCCAGACCTCAACAATAAGCTCGATAGACTACTCACTCTATTGGAAGCACAGCTAGAGCTTACCAGACAGGGTCATCGAGAGGAACGATTACAACGAGCTCAACTGAGCAGGGAGGAGACAATGGACCTCTCTCACTCAGAAGATCAAGCAGGAGGAGGAGATGAGTCTATGATAGGAGACCCACATACTCCTACTCCAGCTCCATGACCAAGACGATCAGTCTCATTCAACCTGGATGAGCAGGAGGACATCAACTATGAGAAGTATGCTTCACCTACTGGGCCAAGATATGTCAAGACTAAGCTGGACCCCTACAGCAGGACTAGGACGGACCCTTACCCCCTGGACCATGAGGAGGATACCAGCATCATGGCAGAGCTTAACCGGTCAAAGCCCATTGCCACCCCCTTTCCAAAGTTCAATCCCCGAGACATGGAGATCTTCATTCTAGAAGCCGAAGCATGGTTTAAGTTCAACCAGGTGTATGAGCAGTCTAGGATGATCAATCACATGGGTGCTCAACTGGAAGGGACAGCAAGAGAGTGGTGGACCTCCAAGCTCCGTATTGATAGAGCTAGAGAAGGAAGGTTGTTCAATGATTGGCACTACTTCACAGAGCGACTGTCAGAGCAGTTCAACCCACGCAATGCTAGGATGGAGGCATACAACAAGCTGTTGGCTCTCAGACTCACAAGTGATGCTCCTGGTGCCGCCACATGTCATGTAGAGCAGTTCAGAGACTTGGAAGGACAGGTCAATCTAGATGACAATGAGCTAGTGATTGATCTCTTCAGAGGTAGTCTCACTTGTAGCATACAGGAGAAGTTCGAGAGGAATCCACCTGGGAAGAGATGGGAGTGGTATCGAGAGGTCGAGGAGATCGATCGACAGAGGATGCTACTACAGCAGTCCTCGGCTAGACACTCACTCCCAAATGCCACATCACCTCCACTAAGAACTGGGTCTCAGCCAAATCAAAGTTCAATCCCCATCTGACAACCCACTCAACCTTATCCAGCTCGATCACCAGCACAAGTAACTACACAAGCAACTACACAAAACCTAAACTGACCCCTTCCTCATCAACCCACCCAAACCTCGAAGCAAGGAAGCCCTACTCCATCAGGTATCAACACCTGTCATGTATGCAAAGGTATCGGCCATTGGGCCAGAGACTGCCCCAGCAGGAGGGTAGACCCTCTTAGCTCTCGACCCATGGGACCAAAGGTTATGGTCACCACAGCAGACCCCTTTGAGGAGGCCACCGACTCAGGAGATGGCCACACAGGCAGTACTGAGATGGGTGACCCCGAGGCCATGGACCTCAGCTCATACCAGCAGCCCATGGACCTCGACCATGAGGAGGAGGAGCACGATGATGATGACGATGAGGGAAATGTCAGTGGGGTGATGCACTGATGGCATGCATTGC